TCTACAAGTAATTCTGTAAAACATTTTTTAAATTTTAGTATAGGTAAGTTTTTAAGTTGGTCAGGAATTTTATTGTAAACAATAGGAGCCATACAGATCACACTTTTTTTTAGTAGGCTAGTTTTAAATACACCAGTGGATAAGAGGTTCTGATATTGTGATCTTAAGGCTGTACTACGTTGTCTGTTGGCAGTTACTGGTACAAATAAGCATCGGTTAGTTATTACAAATACTGCTAGTTCTAGTATATAGAGACATGGAAAAGTTAATAATTTATGAGACTTGAATATAGGTACGCAGCTGTCAGTTACTCTAAGGCCAAACATTGCTCTCAAGCACCGTTTCTGGGCTTTAAAAATGCTTTCCCGTTCACTACAATTCCCCCAAAATATTATCCCAAATCTTAAAATGGATACAACAAGAGCATGATAGGCTAATAACACTGTTGGCAAATCGACTTTTTTTGATAGGTTATGTAACATAAACGCGGTTGTACTTAATCGCTTACATACATCTTCTGCTTGCGGTTTCCAAGTTAGCTGGCTATCAATTAAAATTCCTAGGAATTTTGCACTTCCCACCTTCTCTATTACTTGGCCATTATAGTTGATATCCATGTCCATAATATGTGTTCTTTGGTGAAAATGCATAGTTTTAGTTTTAGCTAGATTAATTACTAGGTTATTATTGTCAAGCCACTTTATTAAACTACTAATAGAATTATTGATATCTGTAACATACAAGTCTTTGTTGGTACATGAAACAATCGAGGTGCTATCGTCTGCAAATAAGACCATAGGGTTAGATACATTACGTGGTAGGTCATTAATATAAAGTAAGAATAGTAAGGGTCCGAGGACACTACCTTGCGGAACACCATATTTTATTTCTCTGAAAGAAGATAAAGATTTAAGTTCTCTTCTGGATTTTAGACACATGCTAGATATCTCCGTACATTGTTTCCGGCCTTTAAGGTATGTTCTTATTAGATTAAGGACATTGCCACGAATACCATACGCATCAAGTTTTGTTAGAAGTATATCGTGGTCGACACAGTCAAAAGCTTTCGACATATCAGCATATGTATAAAATAGCGATGTAATAATAATCTATAGGATTAACGCGTTTTAAAAATATTGGTTCGATGGATATGTTTAACCTATTATTACTCAACAATCACATTTGTAATATTAAACTTTATCAAATGCACAATGTATTTAAGGTACATTACTGGATAAGGATTAATGGCGTATTGCTTGAATAAGCTAATATTTCTCGTAAAAAGTACCTACATTATAAAGATTTTATATCATCGCGGATTTTTAAAGGTGTACAATACTGTAGTATATTTTTTGATCTATCTTATAAGGTTCAGCCATCGTTTTCAGTGTAAGCACAATAACTTAACCAAAATTACAGTTAAATCAACCTATCTCAAAAACTATAAGAGATACTTTGATCAAACCAAAAATCGTTGAAAGAGTTAATTAGCATGCATCACCTCTATTTTTTTTAGAATTTTATACCCCGTAGTTATAAAAATAGAGGGGGGGGGACATACTTTTTACGACTTTGAGAGCTGATATCTCAAAAACCGTTCACTTTAAGAAAAATGTTTTTTAGAAAACTTTATATCATTTTAAAAGACCTTTCCATTGATACCCCACACGGGTATGTACATCGAAAAAAAAATTTTCATCCCTCAGTTACATGTATGGGGGGCCCCACCCCCAATTCTTTTTTTTACTATTTAGTGTCATAATTTTGTAGCGGTTCATACAACACATATTCCCATCAAATTTCATCACTGTAGTACTTATAGTTTCCGAGTAAATCGGCTGTGACAGACGGACAGACGGACAGACGGACAGACGGACAGACGGACATGACGAAATTATAAGGGTTCCGTTTTTGCCATTTTGGCTACGGAACCCTAAAAAGGGATGCATAAATGTAAAAAAGTGATAAATAATAATATTGTATATGTATGGAACATCAATCAAAAAAGTATACAATCAAATAAAAAAATATTTTTATCATGTCCAAAATAACACTTTTGGCTGCACAATTTGTGCGGTGGCTGGGCAACTGGCAGCCGCACAATGTGTCACGGGTTTGATTCCCGCACTGAACAACACTTTGTGCGATCCACAAATTATTGTTTCAGGTCTGGGTGTCATGTGTATATGGAATTGTATGTTTGTAAACGCACCCATGACAGGAGAAGACACTAGTGTGGGGCAACATAAAAATAAAAATAATAACAAATCTAAATAAAAAATGGCAAGCAGTGCTGGTGATAAAAAACTGTGTAAACACAATTTTATTAAAGAAAAAAAGTAAACACAAACCTATAATCTTTTCAGGCTCTAGACCACGATCAAAACCAGATGCCTTTTTGTCATCACTCTTAGCCTTCTTTGCACCTTTTAAGTCTGGAGTTGGCACTGCAGATTTGCGCTTCTTTGCATCCTTGTCTACTTTGACAGTTTTGCCTTCTGTAAGTAGATACAAAAATCTATAGGACATATAATTGGCTTTTGTTCTTATTAAGTAGACTAGGAAGGAGTACATCTGTTTTGCTAGGAGTCCCATGTCTCTCAACCAAGAGGCAATCTAAATAAATTATTATACAAAAAATAATAATTCCTACCAGCTTCCTTCTTTTTTCTAGCTTCTTCAAAAGCGGATATGAGGTCTGGGCAATCCAGATTCTCTTCTGGTTCCCAAGTATTGTCTTCATCACTGTAACCTTTCCATTTTAGATAGTACTCAACCTGGAAAATAGTGTTTGTTTTTAGTTCTGTTAATAAACAATAACACGTCTAGGTGCTACTATGCGCAAATATACTTGATTATTAGCAGCCGTAAGAAGCCTGGACAAAACTTTCGAAATATAAACAATAAGCCTACCTTTCCGTTTCGCACACGACGGTCTAGCACTTTCTCGACAGAGAACTCTTCCTCTCCTTCTGGTTCACCTTCCTTCTTCTTGTCAGCCATTTTCTTGGAGATCAGACGGCCTGCAAAATTTTAGATAAATAAACATTACAACTAATAATTCCTGTCCTGCTTCGTTTGCACCTTGACATTATCGGGCCATATCCTTATTTATTATAACAGAACATAGTATTCTTGTATCCAATGCACATAACTAATCCTTGTTGATACCTACATTAGTTACACTGTTAAAGTGCACACTTGCATATTGCAGCGTCTGCAGCTAGATTACACCTTACCTTACATGTATAACCTATACCAACTTTATTTCAAATTAATTCTAAATTCATACATACATTTTACCTAAAACTTAATTATTCTATTTGTATCTATCCATATCTAAATAGTTTATTTATTATCATAGCAAAATATTTGTAATTGTATACAATATGATGCCAGCATCGTGTCCCGCCATTTTGACTAGTGTTTAATATCATATTGTTCAAGTCCTCCTATTAATTTTCATTCATCGTAAGGTAAATATTATTAGAAATTGACACAAAAATAAAACAATCATAATAAATCTTTTAAAAATTACACACCTTCTAACTTCCAATCGCAATTCGCAAAAATTACCGGCACACAATAACTCACTCACGTTTGTAATTGATTTGAGATTTGTATTGATTAGGGTTGCCAACTCTCAATTTTACTATTTCCTCACCAAAGACTATATAATAAGTGTAACTACCTTAGAATAAGACTTATTCTAGGGTAGTACTTAATACTATAATTACGTCATTGGCGACAACTTTAGGGTCACGCCATCATTAAGATAATCAATTAAAATCACAATCCTTTTGATGAATTATTACGATTAGTCTCATGTGATATTTGTGATCATTTTCTATGCGGTATCGAGAATTGTGGAAGAAAACTATGCTGTTTTATTATCAATACCAATCAGTAACTCGATATATACAGAATATAGAGGAAAAAATGTTATGCTTAGCGTTTGAAGACATAGAAACCCAGATAACACAAACACAAAGCAACACAAGATTAGGTTTCAGCCGGGGTTGCGGCGTAAGGGCAATGAGGCACCGCGACCTCGGCCCAGAGCAGGAGAAGGAACAGGGGGGTTTTTAGTCAGTAAGAGTCTGACACTCCCTCCCGCCCGGCCTTGGGCGAGAGAAGTCATTTGATGATTTTCCCCTCACAAAAAAAACTACTTATTCTGAATTTCCAATGTTTGATGATATAATCCCTAACTTTGCAACTCTTATTGACTTTTAGTCAAATTACAAGTCAACAACAAATTGTTAAAGAGAACTGCAGAATGAATTGATTACATGTAAAAAGCAAGGAACAAAAACTAGCTTTTAAATAGTTAAATATCAAAGAATAATATAATCAAGGAGTATTTTGGACATGGAGATTGAAAGATGATGAAGTGCAATTAATAATAATATGTAACATGAAGAATACATAGGAGGTAAACTACATATAACCATACATAAGAGGTCTCGCTATAGCAAGTATTTGGAATAAACTAACATTAAAATTTTAACATCGAAATTATTAGCCGATCTCAATCTAAAAAGTAACCTATTTTTCGTTTTCGACAGACGCTCCAAACAAATAATGTTATAAATCAATAAATATGTATTTCAATAAGTGTAACTTTGTACTTTGTACGGTTATTAATTTTAGTAAAAACATAAAACACACTAGGTTTTATTGCTTTATATGAAGTATAATGAAATAATTATAGTCATCGATGAGATCTTTTCGCTCACTTTATAAATAAAAACTATTAAAAACATAATTTTATTTAATTTTATTCATAGTAATAAATATTTGTGCGTCATTAAAAAAGATTTTATAGAAGAAAATACTCACTGTATAAAATAAAAATATTGTATACATTTTCTATACACAACAACGTACAAAGAAGGAAATTAAAAAAAATCTACTTAAATATAATATCGACTAAGCAATCGATCTAACTAAACTCGATTTTTCAATCGAACTGCATATGTAATATATTTATCTGTATGTGTCTGTGTCTATGTATGTATGTCTCAGTACGGGAAAGTTGTAAATAATTTTCATTAAAATTTTGACGAAGCTCCTCAATTAGAAGCCTAAGTTAAATAAAAAGTGACCGAATGATTACAAAGTGAGTTCTGAAAGTGATGGGAACCTGTAAATGGTGTGCCTTATGAAACAAAAAACTATCATTGCGCACGATCCCCCAACGCCATTTTGAAGCGAAATTTTGTATGTAAGTGCCAAGTATTTCGCAATATTTTCAATCCTCACCCTTGTTGAGGGGGTGCGTTTGATAATTTTTAATACTAGTGAATGTGAAACACACCTACGAACGTGCCAGTATGTGATCAAGTGCATTGACGGATCCTCAAAGTCGGTGGTTGCATTGAGGTGGGTTGCGGCGCCGTTTATCTGGAGCTCGCATTAATTAAATTATTAGTGGTATATTGAACTGACAAATTGTTAGTTCACGAAGTTTTCAGTAGTCAACAATGTGTATAATATTCCTGTGATATTCGAACAAAAGTGGTGGCAACAAAATAGTGTATTTCGGCGTGGCGAGTGTTATCGGTGGCGTTTCCGATTGTTGCAGATAGCGGGTGGTGCGGAGGATGGCCCGACCCAACGGGAGCGCTCTCAATAACTGACGGACGCTGCCGGCTTCCAGCTGGCGCAAGCAGTATGTTACACATCTTATTTTTGATCCAATTTACTTGCCCTAATACATATCTCTGACATTGATTTTCAACCTATAATTTAAGCTCAAAATCCTTTTTTACTGTCTAATTTGCACTGATTGACAGCTTACTGTGATATTATCATTAAATCTGAAAACTCTTAGGATATTTATATGTTTTCAGTCATATCAGAGCCATGACAATCAAGTTCTTGACATCTGCACTATGATATAAGTATTCAATAATTTGCTTGAAGATATTTTTAAACTACCTGTGCCTTGTGTTATTGTAGATATATGTTCAACACATCTCTACAATGATACAAGGGATCAACAAATAATGAAACCTACAAATTTCAGTTTGTTAAATATGGAAACATCAACCAGATTTTTATCTGTAATTGCAATATCATGCTTTGAGAGAAAAATGCAAATAAAACTCTTCAAATTTATGAATCTGACTAAGATGTATCAATAAACACTCCTTTGCACCTGTTCATGACAGAATAAAACAAATAAATACAACCAAAATTGTGTTTGTAATTGTTAAAAATGTTATTGTTATTATTTGTTTGTATTACTAGCTCCACTCAATCGTAACAAAAAAGCTCTTTCTTATGTTTAGATGCTAATTTCTTAAGCTTTTTGTTTCAAGCAATTATTCTGATTATCATGATGGTTTGTGTAAAGAATGACATTTGGATCAATAGCCTTAGAGGTTATGTCATTTGCTTGTAAAGATTGTAAACCAATGTCAAATACACAACAGTCCTTACAATGAAACATTTGGACAAATCTCATGGAAAGTTAATAAGACATTATTTTAAATGAACTAACTTTAGTTTACATTTCACTAATAAACAATAAAGCCCATCAATTACAAAACAAGTTTATCATATCATAAATAGCATTTTTGTTTTGGCTTATTGTATAAAATTTTGCAGATAAAAATGCCACGACCTGGCAGTCTAAAAGACCCAGACATTGCTGAATTATTCAGTAGACATGATCCGGAGAAGATCTTTGAGGACCTTCGTGAGATCGGTCATGGGTCCTTTGGGGCAGTCTACTATGCACGCTGCAATCTCACAAAAGAGATTGTGGCAATTAAGAAAATGTCATATGTTGGTAAACAGAGTGAAGAGAAATGGCAGGATATCCTAAAAGAAATTAAGTAAGTAGTTTGTATTGTTTATATTTTTTTTATCTATGACATTATATGGCAAAATATTGAGAAGATTGAAAAGTACCTCAACCAAAACAACATTCAACATTGTCATGTCAGTACATTGTTATGAAGTAAGCTAACCCCATAATGTCTCAATATGTCCTTATTTATGATTGAGTGTATTTTTAAAGTTTTATAATAGTCTGATTTATAAACAACAAGTTAATTCTTTTTATGAGCAGCCATACATTAGTTACAATATAATATTATAAATACTTATTCTCCCGTTAATATAGAGATACATTCTGGATGTATATTAACATTAAAATAAACCAACACTCTTTTCTGTTTTAGATTCCTCAAACAGCTGGAACATCCAAACACTATAGAGTATAAAGGGTGCTATAAACGAGAACATACAGCATGGCTAGTGATGGAGTATTGTGTTGGTTCCGCATCAGACATCATAGAGGTAATGATTTGTATCATTATTATAATATTGGACTTTATAATAGACTCAGTGTTTAATTAGCTCAGAAACATCAGAGAAACTTTGATATGAAAAGATGCATATGGTATATTTTTATCGAAAATATGTGCATAGACTCACACCATTATCCCATAGGGATTAGCAGGAAGAACAGTATATTATTTTTAAGAATGCCATGACAAACCATTTATAAATATGTGAGTATATAATATTAATGGCCGGTAGTTAATAATTAATTATTGGATTCAAATAGAACCTTTTTAAAATATAATAAATTGTACCAGTGGTCACTCATAAAATGTAAGAGGTATGTATTCTTACAATTAATTAGTTGAGACATTGCAATCATCATTCCAATAAAATGGTACCAGGAAAATGAAGGTTACATAATCAAATTGTCTTCTTATTAGATACATGTGACTATTAATTGAAAGGAGTGTTTGTTATTGAACTTACAATTTGTTTTTTGTTATGGTTGGTTGATATTCATCTATACAAGAGTTTATTTTAAGGAATTACAAATCAATGTAACCATATGTTTTTGAGGAAGGTTATGGGATATGGGATGTTGGATATTGCTACAACATATTGGAACATAGTATGGGGATTCCAAGAAGTATTTTGTTGATTACCAGCTGTTAGGTACTCACTGTCTGTATTTTATGAGGTATCCTGGCCGTAGTGTTTTAAAATTACAAAAATAACCTTTCAGTCAAATTCTAGAACACAATAGGTGCCGAAAGCCGGCGTTCGCTTGGGGTTTGATTAATCAAGAGGCTGTTTGGTTGTTACTAATCTGAATTGCACTGAATTATTGTTGGTGTCTCATAGTATCTCATTAGTAAAAAATATTTAAGATTTTCTATTTCATATTTTCCACTAGGTTCACAATCGCAATTTAAAAAATTATTTAATTTCAATTCGCACGCATGCGAAGCGGGGGCGGCTCGGTCCTCATGTAAGTCATTAGTTTTTAAAGGGAACCGCCACGGGACCGAAAATTCCAAAGGAGCGTATTATTTAATACTATACATATTAATGAAATGATTGTTCATCAAAATCAGAGTTTCGCTTTTATAATTCACAGCAGGAGGATAAATTATTTACGATGATAACAATATCTTAACAAAACGTATTATTTTAAATGTAAACTAATTGATCTGACATGGTTATTTGTAATTGTAATAGATGAATAATCGCGTTGTAATTTAATCATGATCATATCAGCCTATCGCTATTCGCTGCTGGTATTGTCTAATATTTATGATAATTTGGATTTTCGAGAAAACTACGTGTTTTACAAATAAATTACAAAAAAAAACATCCCTAGTTGTTATTTATACAGGATTCTGAAACTGGAATAAATCAATTGCTGTCTTTTTTTTTATAATCTGCATTCTCTATTTTTTGTTAACACCTTTCAATTCAGCATCATTGTGGACTACGACGGATATTGGAGAGATAATTAAACACCCACTGATGAACCAATACTAACTGTTTATTATAATGAATACACGATTAAATAGGATTACAATATGTGAATAAGGCTGGGTACATAGTATAAGGTTGGTTACACACTACAATATGTTAAGTTGTACATCGTACTTTTATCGAGAATAACAATAGAATTTCATGGAATTACATTTCACTAAATATTACATTAATCGTAGCAATGAGGAAAAATGTTTCATTATCGTGACTACAGTACTTTAATTACTTGCTTATCCTTGACCTGATATTATTATATTTCATTGTATCGTTGGCAGTCGTTGTAGGCAAGTCTTGATTTCGATTACAGTCGCCAATCGTGCCTTTTCCTTGGCAAAAGGGGCGTACCTGACTAATAAGTATAACGTACATAACCGGTAAAACGCGATATTTCACTTTTGTCTATTTCTTCAAGATTTCTTACTGCACTTGGCATTTTACTACAAATCACAGATCTCAACAAAAGACGAGTTGTCTATCTTATTTACATTTTTACTTTAATTGCTTATATTGATTCAACCGCAAGTCTGGCTAACCTCTTAGAATCTTGATGAGTCAGTCTGTCGAGATACCTATTTGTCCTTTATAATAATTCAGTGACGAAATGTTTACGTATGAGTTAATGACGCGAGACGTAAGTTGTGTTGTGGTTGAACTGTTTCATCATTGTGACGTCACGCACGTCACACTCCCACTGCAGGTCGCCCGTACCTCCAGCCGTTTCGAAAACAATGTTACTTAAATTAAATAGTTCTTGCAGTATTTGTAGCTTTGCTCTTGACGCAAATCACTGAATGAAACATCATATGAATTGATCCACCTCTATCCGAATGCCAAATTCCATTTAGTTCCGCGTGTATCGGATTGTTTTGTTGTTTTACGATAAATATTATATTTTATCTTTACAAACATTTATTTATATTATTACAGTTGAATGTGAGGTACTGATCACAGTGAGAACAAAATTCTACCACCAGGTTCTGTGAGCAAAAATTGATAGTTGCAAAATTGTTTTCTGACACATTGAATGTTCTTAGAACTTGAATGACTAACTATATTCATGTGAACGACTTACATCCGAAAAATGTGATTCTAACACTCTTTTTGTTGCGTACTATCGCTTATCAGCTTAGGCAATGCTGACTTATTTTAAATTTGCTTTTTAAATCATCAATACTTATCTATGGTTGTATATTAAAACATATTGCTGGATTCCTTTCGTGATAGCTTTGATATGACGTATCTAAATACATTGGATAACATTCTCAGAAAATATTTTTTATTCTCTCAATTTCATTGAAATATCTTTAAATTAAAGCTCTTATATCACTGCATCGATGAGTCCTTGGATTGAATATAGACAAATTCTTTATCTATTCTATACTAATATTATAAAGACGTAAAATTTGTAAGTTTGTATGTAGGGGGTAATCTTTGGAACCGCTGTCCGCTGATCAGATTGCCAAAATTCTTTCAATGTTCCCGAGTGCTATAAAACATCACGCTACGATTAAATGGAGCCGAGTAGCGGGTGAAACCGCGCGAGAGTTAGTCATAGATACTAAATATCATGTGTTTTTTTATTTTCACAACACATTTGTTTTTTAATATCAAGTATCCGTGGGTACCGTCCACAATAGTGTAATGCACGCACACCGCATGCCGACGCGCGCCACATGCTAATTAAATAAATATGATATAATGTCATATTGTTTCCTGTTTTCGTGTTACATAATACAATCTGACTTCCGACATCGTGGATCGTGCCTTACTTGATACTCATTGCTTTCGTGTACTGGCTATTGTTTATTTAGGAGAGTTAGATTTTTATTGTGAAGCATTATATGTAACATTTCAGCAATAAATATATATTTATTCTCAAATACATAAAATACGCGTCGAACGAATGTTTGAAAATGGATGTCTGCTGTTTGAATAAAGACTAATTAAGATATACAATGCATTTTGCGAAATATAGGTACATAAGTTCTTTATTGTTAGTCTGATAAACACGCAATTAATCCAGTGTGGTCCAAACTAATATTATAAATGCGAAAGTAACTCTGTCTGTCTGTCTGTCTTTTCTTCACGCCTAAACTGCTGAACCGATTACTATGAACTTTGGTACAGCATAGTTTGGAACTCGAGAAAGGACATAGGGTAGTTTTTATACGAAAAATCTGCAGGAAGTCACTATCCCACGCTGACGGAGTCGCGGACAAAAGCTAGTTCCTATATAAAAAACATTGTTTTGATTGTTCCCCAGGTCCACAAACGGCCACTACGCGAGGAAGAGATCGCGGCAATCTGCGAAGGCGTAGTGTGCGGTCTCTCTTACCTACACAGCCTAGGACGCATCCACAGAGACATAAAGGCGGGCAACATATTACTTACTGAGAATGGCACGGTCAAGCTCGCTGACTTCGGCAGCGCGAGTATCAAGTGTCCCGCCAACAGCTTCGTGGGCACTCCGTACTGGATGGCACCTGAAGTTATACTCGCTATGGACGAAGGACAGTATGATGGAAAGGTTTGTTGGCTATTGGCTGTTTGACATTGTCTTATTTATTTGTTCCTATATTGTAAGTGACTCCTTGTTGAAAGTTGTGGTGCCTTTTATATCCTTGTTTTCGTCAATCTCTTCCAGGTGGACGTCTGGTCGCTAGGCATAACGTGCATCGAGCTTGCAGAGCGCAAGCCGCCATACTTTAATATGAACGCCATGTCCGCACTCTACCACATCGCGCAGAACGACTCCCCCACCCTACAGGTAACTATAGTTTAATCATTAATAGTCGTAAGTAGGTTCCTACTAAAATTTTGTACATAGCTTTTATTTAATTAATTACTTATAATCTCTTTTCATGCACACAAACGGGAAATAATTTTACGTACAATGTGTTTATTTGATTTATGGACCTAATATTTATATACAAAAAAGTACGTGTTACAGGCGCCGGAATGGACGGACACGTTCCGGTACTTCGTGGAGGCATGCCTGCAGAAGAACCCGCAGGACCGGCCGTCGTCCACCAAGCTACTGTCGCATCCGTTCATCACGCGGCCGCGCTCCCCCAACGTACTAGTGGACCTCATCCAGCGGACCAAGGCTGCCGTACGAGACCTCGACAACCTCAACTACAGGAAGATGAAGAAGATACTGATGGTCGATGCTGATAACGAGAGTGCTATAGGTATGTACTGATAACTTATCTCTCATACATATTTAGAAACACTTGACCGACTTTAGTGTCGCGTATTTGACCCCTTTATCGTTCACAAAAGATTCATATTTATTACGTATCTCGTGTTTAATGTTTTCGTATGTAAAACAGTTTTTTAAGTTATCTTGTTAATATAGTGAAAGATTATGCCTTGAAACGAAAAATATAAAAATAAGTTTATCGAACAGAAAACAAAGTTGTGTCTCGAAATGTAACGTTTTTGGAAGGTGGAAGTGATGTTTGTGTTGTGATGGTGCAGGGGACAGCGAGGAGACAGCGGAGGAGCGGTCTGGCGGTGACAGCTCGAAGTCTAACTCTGCGACGTCGGAGCACAGCGCCGCCGGCGCCTCCAGCCAGAGCTCCTCCTCCGGCAGTCTGCGTCGCCGTCCACACGCTGTCTGTACCAATACTACTTATAATTATATAGACCCGGCAAAAACGATGACTAGATGTGTAATTTCTCATTATTTCTTGATTTTACCCCTAACACAATTTCGTAATCTTCTGCCTTCGTTAACTTTCTTCCAAAAAGTAATTGATTAAAACTAAACTGGACAATAAAACATCATAGTAAAAATGGGATGATTTAACTGGCCCTGGTTCGTGTGGAAGGCTATGACAGCAATGAATAAAGAATGATGTTTCCGGCAGCAGGCAACGAACGCGAACCACCACAGCCAGGCGGGCGCGCCGGCGCAGTACAGCCACCTCAACCACCAGCACCCCGCGCACTCCGCGCTGCCCGCCAGGTACGTGCCTACATTCTATACACTTGCTCAAACAACTTTTTGCCATCTATATCTTTTTGATAAATTTGTAAAACAACATTATTTTATATTTACCTGGAATCAATAATGGATGTCAAGTATCAAACGAAAAAAAAGATTAACTTAAGTTTTGTAGATTTAACTAAATTTATAACAACCGAATTTATGTTCTAGATTGTCCAAAAATTTATATGACTATATTAGTATTATTCTTGCATCCAATTTGTGAAACAACTGCATGTATATAATGCAAAGTATAGTATTTGTTGCTAAGCTTGTATTTGTTGTAGTCAATGTTGTATGGCGTATCTTGTGTTTAGTTTGCTTCAGTTTTAATTTAATTAGTGCAGTAGTATAAAATTAAATGTAGTATTATATGCATGGTAATTGGTCTTCTCTGTTGAGTAGACATAGAAAAACAGTATAAAGATTTATGCAACTGGTCATTTTGGTCACATGTTAATGTCGTTGACAAAGCTATGAACAAACAAAACTGAATGAATTGAAAATGTAGTGTAAATATATTTGAAGGCCAGCTGCATGAATGTTTACACGAGGCATCAAACGTAGTTATAAGCACGCACATGTAGAGCTTCCGTATGCACGTCCCGCACTAGATAGAGCCGCACTTGCGTTTCAGAGCACGCAAGAGCTGGCTTTTCTCATGTTGCTGTTTCGTACGCAGAGAGAGCGAGAGCCCTCTAGCGGGGGCGCACGACGACTACGTGAACAAGGACGCACTCAGGGACTACGCCAACCGCGACTCGCTGTGTGACGACTATGGAGACGATTACGCCAACCGCGACGCCATCCGCGAGGCGCGGGACCGCGACCGGGAACGGGAGCGCGACCGCGAGCGCGAGCGGGACCGCGAGCGGCCGCCCAGCGACTACCGCGAGTACGTCAACGCGCCCGCCGCCTGGCACGACCCCGACGACAACCGCAACACGCAGCGCAGGCAGACCACTCGCAGTACGTAGCTACTTCACCTTCCTCACTGCTACTAGTTATTCCCTACTTTCGATTCTTTTCTATACTTTTGCCCTTCAATGTTGGGTTTTAATATCTTTAATTTTACTTTGTTAGTTAGAAAGACACTTACAAAATCATAATTTTTGTCACAGGTATAAGCAACAATGTATCGGCAGCCATGTCGCTGGTATCGGAACACGGTGCCAATAACTTTGCTACGATACGAACCACCAGCATTGTCACCAAACAGCAGAAAGAACATAACCAGGTAAACATCAAAAACAAGATAATCTAAATATACATAATAATCATACCTTTTATTCCCTGATTGGGTAGTAACATGTGAATTTGAATCAATAGCATAAAGAAGAGGCAATGAAATGTATGAGGCGGTGTATGTAAGAGGACAGATAAGCAGGGGCGGTTGGTTTCAGGAGATGCACGAGCAGATGTCGGGCTACAAGCGCATGCGGCGGGAGCACCAGGCGGCGCTGGTCAAGCTGGAGGAGCGCTGCAAGGCCGACGTCGACGCGCACAAGGCGCAGCTCGACCGCGAGTACGAGGCCCTGCTGCAGCAGCTCTCGCGGGACCTCGAGCGCCTGCAGGTACATATCTCTATGTGTTAATCTTGGTTACTAATATTATTTATAAATAACTAAGCCTGTGGGATCAATCCTAAGAACCTGTTACTTGAAGTAATAGGTTAGTCAATCCAAACCAAAGAAGCTCTTAAACCTCAAGGTTTTTCTTCCACATCTGTTGAGCACGTATTAAAAAAATATATTTAATTTTAGACCAAGCACGCGCAAGAATTGGAACGCAAGCAGAAACAGAACGCAGCGGCTGAGAAGAAGTTAATAAAGGACATTACGGCGAGGCAGGAACAGGACAGGAAGGCGTTTGAGACGCAACGCAAACGCGAATACAAGGCGAACAAGGAGCGGTGGAAAAAGGAACTCAGCATGGACGACGCCACACCTAAGAGACAGCGGGATGCCACGCTACAGTACGTAATTATTGAAATCTATTGACTGTTCGATTAGGGATTTTATATCTTCATTTGCTTATTTTTGGGATAGGGGGTGGCGGATATTTAGGGATTGGGAAGAGTTGGGGGAGGGCAGGGATTGGGCCTTCGGTAAACTCATTCATACGGCGAAACATCGCAGTGGTTGTATCCGGTCGAGCCGACCCATTTCTGCGAAGCATAGCTCTCCCACACTGTTTTTTTATGTAATAGACCGGCAAACGATATCACGCATAACCTGATTGTAAGCAATCAACGCTGCCCATGGACATCGCAACAGAGGAGTTACGAGTGCGTTGGCGACTTTTTTGGGATTAGGGATTTCGAGATTCAGGAATTGGGGAGGGATTGGGGGAGGGGAAGGATTAGACTTCTAAAAATTACGATTATTCGAACTTGTCAAATTGTTTATTTAACAGAATAATCAGGTGAGTTAAAGTATGGTATATGTACAATTTATGTGTGTGTACAGGTCTCAGAAGGACAACCTGAAGCAGGCGGAGGCGGCGGAGGAGATGCGACTGGTGCGGTCGCAGCGCGAGTACCTCGAGCTCGAGCTGCGCCGCTTCCGGCGCCGTCGCATGCTGGCCCTGCATCACAAGGAGCAGGAACTACTGCGGGAGGTACGCGCCTAAATTTCACAGGCGTAGTTGGCCTCGGTTGCTTCAAATCAAATGATACGGATAAATATATATATTATTTGGTTTTTTTTTAATCTTTGTCCACACTAGATTTTCTCCTATGTCGGGGGTGCGTTTACAAACAAACAATTTCACACACACATCACACCCAGACCCGGAACAACGATTTGTCGATCACATAAAGAGTTCTTCTGTGCGTGAATCGACCCCGCGATTCGTTGCGGTTGCGCAGTAGCCAGGTGCCTAGTCACCGCGCCAAACGCTCATTTCATTTCAAATATTGTTTTAAGTGCCGAAATATGATTGATACTTGCTCTTCAATACACCTATGCACGACATGCTTCCTAATACAGGCTATAATTTGAATATTATAACATTGCAGGAGCTGAACAAGCGACAGAATCAACTGGAACAGGCACATGCAATGTTACTACGTCACCACGAGAAAACGCAGGAACTTGAGTATAGGCAACAGAAAGGTGTACACGCGTTAAGGTATACACTTTACATCATATCCTAACTATTATTTATTTATATAAAAAAAATACAAGCAAAGTAAATAATAAGCATTTGATTGCTGACAGAAAACTAATGGAGTCTAATCCCCCACTATTGTAGGTCACCGATGACCTACGTGGCCATCAACGTGTTAAAATAATTAATGTGTGTCATGAGAAACATTTGGCTATACCTAGAGGTTTTTCGTATAATGCGTGCAATGACGAGAGCACTGCGTGTACAGGGAGGAGCAGTTGTCGAACCAGCACGGCACGGAGCTGGCCAACCAGCGCGACTACATGCAGCGCGCCGAGCACGAGCTGCGCAAGAAGCATGCGCTGCAGCTTAAACAGCAACCCAAGAGCCTCAAGGTACTACCCCAGTTTACCAATTTCATACATCTCGTATGGAGCTCATGTCAAATTCTATCTTTAGTGAGCTAATTTTTAAGTAAGATAGGTTATTGAAAACACTTGTTTAGTTACATTTCTGTGACTCTCACTTCCTTACACACCCAATAATCATCGACACTTGTATCTTGGAACAAGTGAATGCAAAGCAAAATCATCATCATCAAATCATCATAGGATCGCATTTATGTTGCATTGGAGAGCACATTCTTGCTATGTCCCATTTCTGAAATGGTGTAGCGATAGATATAACATTGAAATCTTCCCAAAATGTTTACAGCAAAAAGAAATGCAGATTCGCAAACAGTTTCGTGAAACATGCAAGATACAGACACGCCAGTACAAGGCGCTCAAAGCGCAGATACTGCAGATGACTGCTAAGGTAAGAATTCAAGATCAAAGATGTAATATAATTGCTTAGGTATTCTTTGTTTAATAACAATTTAAATCTGTGCATATTAGTTATTTGTAAACTATAACAATTGTGTTGTGTTCTACTAGTGAAATATTTACACCCTCTGATCAATGTCAAAATCAATTTAATCTCTTTTCAAGTCATCTGATTGGTTGACTGAATTATAAACAACCAATGAGATGACTTGACTAGAGATTTAACAGGAGATTAGTTAATATTAGCGCTGACAAGTCTTTTAGAAACCGGGCGTTAAACTCGTAATTTTTTGTACATTGTAGGAGCATCAGAAGGAAGTGATAAAAACGTTGAAGGACGAAAAACGTCGCAAGCTTGTGCTGTTGGGTGAGCAGTACGACCAGAGTATCACTGAGATGTTGCAGAAGCAGACAGTCAGGCTGGATGAAAGTCAGATGGTCAGTATCATACTTTATGTGACAACTTTTTTGAATATTACGTATTTTCTGACCCTTAGGATTAATATACATATTATTAATAAATTAAAGGAACTCGATAGTAGTAAGATGTTTTTAGTCAACATGAGCTGCTTGTCTGCTATTGAGTATTGATAAGCACTCAATGAGTCGGTCGTGTGCTTACAGATGGAGTGCCAGCAACTGAAGATGCAGCTGGAGCACGAGCTGGACATGCTGACTGCCTACCAGAGCAAGAGCAAGATGCAGGCCGAGGCGCAGCGCAACCGCGAGCGGCGCGAGCTCGAGGAGCGGGTCGCCGTGCGCCGCGCCCTGCTCGAGCAGAAGGTACGTGCCCCTTCCTCCCCCCGCCCCCCTCCCCCGAGCGAGCCGGCAGTGACGGTGCGTGCGTTGCAGATGGAGTCGGAGTGCGCGCAGTTCGTGGCGGAGCGCGCCGAGCGCACGCGCCTGCTGCACGAGCGACACGAGAGGGAGCTCGAGCACTTCGACAACGAGAGCGCACGTCTCGGCTTCAGGTAGGCTTTCTGCTCCACTCCGTAAACATACTTTATACTAAATGACACATTTTCTATTTACACGAAATCGCTGGTAAAGCTAGCAATCATTGCCACATTCATTGTTATCAGAAAAGTCTGTCGATTATTCGTGACATACATGTTCATATCCGGCAGTGCGATGGCGATCGCGGAAGGCAGCCGGGAGGGTTACGGCGAGGAGGAGCAGTCGCTGTCGGGTTCCATGCTGTCGCTGGCGCACAGCAACTCGTCCGCCAGCTTCGCCGCGGGCTCGCTTTAATGCCCGCCAGCTGGCCGCGGGCCCACTGTACTGGCCGCCAGCTCCCCGCGAGCTCGCTGTACTGGCCGCCAGCTCCCCGCGAGCTCGCTGTACTGGCCGCCAGCTGCGACCTGTGCTGTGGGCTCTCTGTGGCCTGCCGTTATCGCCTAATGCTGTTGCCAAACTACTCGCTTATACACACGTAACGTGTACGCTTTTCTAGATCATGCTTGTCGTATTCGTGATGGAAAATTTGAATGTAATGACGCTCGGCACGCGATTCCTTCATCGTTCATCTTTCTGACTCGAGCCACTGTGATAAGGCTCTTTCACACAAATGACATGGTGTAGGAATAGTATTCTAACAGCGTCGTCAGTACAAGGTACACTGCTGTAAAACCAGAGAAATATAAAAGAGGATCGAATCATAACTATCAACATCTTTTTCACCAGTCGCGTAAACACAAGCAATTTTTTAAACCTTTCCTAGGTTAAAAATATTGTGAATCTGATTAACAACTAGTTTGATTCAATTATTATTGTTTTAATCAAACATGACTGAGAAAGTTTCGATACTCGATATGTGTAGAATAAGTGTTTGCTCAAAATATAGGGCGCCCCTGCCCTGCTAATGTTATATTTCTATCCTTTTTTATACTTTTTGGTTATGATGTCTGCCAAATTAGTGGTCCCGAGTGTATTGTAAATTGATGATTCACCGAGGACGTTGAAGTATCACACGCTCATAGCGCTCTCTAGTTTTCAGAGCGGTTACATACAATTGATTGTTGTTATTATCGTTAGCGATGTTCACGGGCTACCTCATTAGACTTGTTACGAAAATTATATGTGTTGATTGATAGAATCATGTGAGTACATTGTGGTCCACAGAAGTATTATTCAGTTATTTCCGAGTATGGGCACGATACTATATTTTGGCACCAGCATTAGAACTCCACATCCCATTCTTATTACTGAGACTGTCTGCCCTCCCGCGGTGTGTAAATTCATGTTATTTGGCAACATGTTATTATTAAAAATACTGTCAGACACTGATATTAGCCTAATTTTTATGTATTTTTGTTACGTCTTCCAAAGCGAAAAATAGCCGTTCTTTGCGGCTCGGGAGGGCATTTCCTATTTTATTACACTATTAAGTTTATTGCACTCCATATTTAATTAATTATCTCTTAGCTACCGTCGAGTCTCGAGTCGAGAGTAGCAACCCGCAGTAGCAACCGTTGGTACCGTGGGCACTACTGCGCGTTGCGAGCACGCAAACGTTATTCTCGACCCAGTTTTAATGCATTACCATGTTTCTGGTGTTTTGACGAATTATGTGAACTGAACACACCTACATTTGTACATACATAACATTATGTAGTTTTCAATTATATTTTAGTTAGACGGATCAATGTAAGTGAATAATTTATTGTATATCTTTGTGTATCGCATCCTTATTTTAAAATAAAAAATATTTTAAAATTCTAGATGTTTCAGCCGTCAATCGAAAAGTGTGCCTAATTCTGCCTAAACAATTTATCAAAATATCGGAAACAGTAAAGGTATAATTGTAACAAAGAGGTTATACGCAAGTCTGCCTGTATATGACTGAGGTTATTTAAATGATGCATCGATGTGAGAATGAGACGCTTCTTTTCTATTAGAGATTTACTCACGGTACGACACTGTTCCGTTGGCTTGCCAGCCCTCATGGCCCTAGAACTTTAAACGAAACATTAGTTGTAACTGAGAACACGAGCAAACTTACGCTGTCGAAGTACTCGCACTACACTGACGCTACTACATTGTTGTCACACGGTAAAATTAACACTTAAATCTAAAACTTAATTTATTCGCGTCTGAATATTCGATCTCTTAGACATAAGAAATTTTTATCGTCTCTAGAATATTATTAGACCGTCCATCGTTAAACCGCAGCACATGTACAACAACGGAACAGTGTCCAGTAGAGGGCATGATTATATTTAAAAATCTAGTATTCTGATCCAATCTTGTATAAATATGTAGTTTATTGTAAGATTCCACAGTGGTTCTAGCTGATTTTTCATCTTGATGCTCTAGTGAAACAAGATTGAAAAATGTCACTTGTGATTACCACGAGCACGTCAAATGATAAGTTAAGGTAAACTTTGTAGTGTATCCCAGGAAAGTTGGTCCTCAAAGTGTACGCTTAAGATGTTTGACAATGCATTAATAGAAGTAGTCAGAGACGAGGCACCGAGCCGCGACCACCCCGCCCCACCTCACTGTTCACAGAGGATCTTATTATTTACAACATTAGATAGACAAAATTCTAATATTCATATCATTAGTTTTTACTTTAGGAACCATTTTTGCATATGTTATATTAAGGTAAGTTGAATTTTTTGAAGAGCGGACTGATGATATTTGTTTATTGGCCTAGTATTGAGTTTATTAAATGTTTAAAAAGATTTTTTAACGAATTCGTATATTATTATGCTTATTTTAGATCATTTTTAGATTTTAAAAAGATTGTAACACGCTTTACTAAATCATAATAACAATGCGCAGGTGCCACTGCCGGTTCGTTGTGTAAATATAAAGTGTATGTATTATTGTGAATATGTAGCGAGCACACGATTTGCCTTACGGGCGGAGGGGCGCGCCGGGCTCGGCGTTATGTATATAAAGAACAATAATTTAAATATTATAAATAATTTGTTACTTTTGTAAGGTGCGAGTGCGGTTTTGTGTACATTGGAAGTGCGACGCGGCGGCCCCCGTGCGGGGCCAGACTATGTGCTATTTTCTTTATTTAGTGTCCTAATACCCAATCGTATTGTGTACTAAGCTTACCAGTCAAATATGTATAGCAAATGTATTATTTAATTTAAAATGGATTATAGTCATAAATACCCAAATTTAGTTAATACTATTTTTAAAGTATTTTTTATTATTTTTATTAATATTTTTCCTAAAGCATCACATGATGTGATCGTATTATTTGAGTTTGTTGGAAGATACCCGACAGATTAAAAGTATCGCAGCCTAAGTTGAATAGCTGTTAAAAATATTTACAAAACATTGAACAAAATTTAGCTGTTTTACATGAAGATCTTTGCACAATGCCATTTATACAAATCATATAATATATTAAAGTTGCTTCGATATTCTAGATAATGCAAGATATGGTAAATGGCTTTGTGATTAGATTGGACCTATTTAGTAGATTCCAGATTATCCCTCTCCTAAACTGACCAAATATAAGACAATAATCTCTAGACACAGCCTAACTGAGTTGTCACCCTGTCTGTACATATTTGTAGAGCGAGCGCGCGAAGTGGACCTAACCGTTGGAAGTACATAGTGCTGTTATGTATATACTTCATGCTGATTCTATATCGGTAAACAATTTCTATAAACTCTGTATACAAATAGTCTCATTGTAATGTACCTACTAACAGACTTATCTTGACACGAAACCTTTCTTGGTGTGTGTTATCGATTGGATATCGTATTGAATATTATTTTCGATAAAATAGCGAGCGGTACTTTTTCCGCTGCGTTACGTCCACTCTCCGATCTCAGCTGTTTCGTAGCTAAATCGCGAACCGAAGCACTATGGAATTGAACTGTAAGCTGTAACTTCGCTTGCATACAACAGATGATCGGTACTTAAAGTTAGGCGCGTAGTATTTTGCTCGCTGTCTTAGTCCTCTGCCCGAACGTCGGCGAACTCAATCACCGACCACGCGGTACGAGTATAGGGCGTAGGCGCGTCGTTTTCCTATTCCAACCTCCCACCACTTAGCTGTTCTAGAGTTAGATGTTATCAGTCTGTCACCTTTCAACGGTCACGATCTACAGGTTAATTATTATGAGATAGAAGTACCAAACTCGTAGTTAGCGGTCACGTATTTTGTAAATTGTAACTATACAATTTTTTATATTTTACCATTGTATAGTCTTTTATCACAGATAAGTAGTTAGCAATATTGTGACCGACGTGACAAGGTGCGCACGCGCGGCCGCCGGTTATTGATTTATAGTTTGCGATTGTTTGCGGCTCGCTCGGTGCACCGTTGTTTTCTTTTTATTTTTTGTTACATAATATTTAACAATGAATTTCTAGATTCTAACTATTATCACTAATAATACTGTAATATAATCTGGTTCATGAAAAATCAAACCGAAATAAATTAAATGGAAAGAAAATCACCACCTTGTCTTATTGAAAACACCCTCGTCTCACCTACTACATACCCAAATAAAAGTTAGTAAAACTTTCTAAAAATCTATTTCTGAACTAATATAAAATGTAAAACAAAAACAAGGATATACAATAACAATACCAAAGTACATTATTTCAGATGATTATCTTGAATTAAGCCTTAAACAAATATTACGGTTTCTTTTTTCATAAATGCTATCAAAAAATAAGAAAAAATAAATCTAGTCTCTATACTACAGAACTAGTGCCGCGCTTCCCTCATAAAGTGTTGAAGTTAAAGAATATTAACATACAACTTCAAATATAGATTGCTATTTAAACAGTACCTATATTATTGTGCTAATTAATATTGCAGACTGGTGCATATTTGTCTCCGTATAAATAACGACGACGATGATATATTTTGTTACTAATTTCATTTAGTCTTTGGATCTAGATCGCCAAATATACATACATACAAAACTTGTTATTACACATAATTGAATCAATATTTCTTATTACACTTTTACTAAATGAAATATCTACAAAGCTGTTTGATTTTATAAAGCATCTCTGTAATGATACCAATACCAGTGGTTATAAGTCTGCGATAAAATGTGTCCTCATTACAATTACAATAAAAACTTCATCATAAACAATATCTAGCGTTTTTAAATAGGGTATGTTTTACGATTGGATAGTGACCCCGTCGAATTCTATATAAAAATATTTTTAGGTAAAGGCAGTTGTTTCTTCAGGATTTAAATGCGGTCGTCGAGGGCAGTTCACAAATTGTAGCCGGTTTACTGCGTGGGAGAGAACTGTGTGGGCTCGAGGATACGGCAGTGCATCTCGCGAATGAGTGGCACCGTATAGGCCACGCACTCATCCCAGCCGGGGTTACGCCACGTGCTTTCACGGGTCTCACGGCGAGCTTGAAGATCTTTGTAGCCTGCAGAGCACAATTACAAGTTTTAGATTAGCTAACGAGGGTGACAAGTTGCAGATTTTGCACTCGAATAAAATTCAACTTACACCAAATGTGATGTACATTGTATAGTCGTCCAATTTGCGAGAAGTATCCAGCGAATGCTTCGTTCTGTGACCGACGGTACGTGAGGCCGCGAGCCCAGTTGTTTCCCCACTCGATCATAGTTCCAGGTTTCAGACTGAATATCACAAGAAGACACAATTAAAAAAAACATAGATTGAAGAGAATAAAGAATGAAGACATTTTACGGCTTCATAAACAAGTCGAACAAACCTGTAGGAACGAATCTCGTAGATGTTGCTGGGCGCGCGGGGTTCTCCATTGGGCCAAAAGCTGAATGCCAGCAAGTATTGTAAGTGTCGAGATCTTACTAAGCTACCACGCTCCTTTTCTAGTGCTCTGTAATCCTGTGTAACACAAAAAAACCTTAAATATATTTCTAAAACTTTACCAATGAAGAAAAAAAAAAACTTGGGTTACTTTAAGCTCTAATAGCATAGTTAACAGCAGAAACACCTAATTTTAAAATAAGAGAATGCATGTTGGCAATGTTTCAAATACTAGTTTGAAATATAACTTTCTAAAATATTTCTTTTTTTTTAAACAAGGTGATCCTACAGGTTCTAATTTTTACAAAGGTTAAGCAAAACTTAAGTGGCTGTGGGCAGGTAATATTTGTCAAAGAACCGCTGACTATCATCATCATCATCATCATCAGCCCTTTTCAGTCCACTGCTGGACATAGGCCTCTCCTATTGCACGCCACTGGGATCGATCTTCGGCCACTCGCATCCAGCTCCTGCCAGCCATCTTGCGCAAATCATCACTCCACCTTGCCTGAGGACGTCCTACATTACGTTTGCCGAGACGCGGTCTCCACTCAAGAACTCGTCTACTCCAACGGTCATCGGTTCTTCGGCTAATATGGCCAGCCCACTGCCATTTCAGCTTGCTAATCCGGTGGGCTATGTCGATTACCTTGGTTCTCTGCCGGATCACCTCGTTTCTGATTCGATCTCGCAGAGAAACGCCGAGCATAGCCCTCTCCATAGCTCGCTGAGTGACTTTTAGCTTGTGAACCAGCCGCACCGTCAGTGTCCACGTTTCGGCTCCGTATGTCATGACAGGTAGGACGCACTGATTGAAGACTTTCGTCTTTAGGCACTGTGGGATCGACGACGTGAAGACTTGACGCAGCTTTCCATATGCTGCCCAACCTAGCTGAATTCTTCTATTCACCTCGTTCTCGAAGTTGTTTCTACCCATCTGCAATGTCTGCCCGAGGTATACATATTTTTGAACGACTTCGAGAACAGCGCCGTGTACTGCAATCGGTTCCGGTAGTACATGTTCATTGAACATGACCTTGGTTTTATCCAAGTTCATCCGTAGGCCGATGCGTATAGAAGAGTCAGCCAGGTCATTCAGCATCCGTTGTAGGTCCTGCAGCGTTTCTGCTACGATGACGATGTCGTCTGCAAATCGCAAGTGAGAGATGTACTCGCCATTTATGTTGATGCCGCGTCCTTTCCAGTTCAGCGTCTTGAACATATCCTCCATTGCATTTGTGAACAATTTCGGGGAGATAACATCCCCTTGTCTCACACCTCGATGCAACGGTATCGGCCTTGTTTGCTGATCCTGTACTTGGACGGACATGGTGGCGGCCTCGTAGAGACATCTCATCACTTGGATGTATCGCCAATCTACTTGGCATCGCTGCAGGGACTCCAGAACAGCCCAGATTTCGACCGAGTCAAAGGCTTTCTCATAGTCCACAAATGCTAGGCACAGGGGCTGATTATACTCCTCAGTCTTCTGTATAATCTGCCGCACTGTGTGGATGTGGTCTATGGTGCCGTATCCGCTCCGAAACCCAGCCTGCTCCGGTGGTTGGAATTCGTCAAGTCTTCGCGCAAGGCGGTTCGTGATCACTCTCGAGAACAGCTTATAGACGTGGCTTAAAAGGGAAATGGGTCGATAATTCTTCAGTAGGGTTTTGTCACCCTTTTTGAAGAACAAGACGACCACACTCCGACTCCACGCCTCTGGAGTTCTCCCTTCAAACAGGACAGCGTTAAATAGCTTTTGCAGCTCCCTGAGTACCGGTTTGCTGCCTGCTTTTAGAAGCTCTGTCGTAACGCCATCCTCTCCAGGGGCTTTTCCATTTTTAAGCTGTCCAAGAGCGATCTCGATTTCGTCAATGCTGACTTCTGGCAGGTCTTCGGTGTAATGGCGTATTAAAGTGGCTCTAGAGTCCTCATTTCCGGGGTCAGGTCGAGATGCATGCGAAGCGTATAACCGGCCGTAGAAGTTTTCTACTTCCGAAAGAACTGCCGGCTTCGAGACAACGACTTCTCCACTTGCTGTGGTCAACTTCGTCAGGTGGCTTCTTCCAAGAGATTGTACGAACACTTTTGGCCCCCGGTTTTGCTCGATCGCTCTCTCGATTGCAAGGGTATTCGAGCACCGGAGATCGTGTCGCACGTGTTTGCTAATCTCTCGGTTTAGAGCCCGCTTCTCTGACGAAGTGACGGGTGGGTTTTCACGTCGTCTCTTCATAAGCCCTAAAGTCTCTTCCGAAAGCTTCGACTTCCTGCCCTTACGCTGCATTTCACAAAATCTCGTACCTTCTTCCCTGAGAACTCGAACCACGTTTTCAAGGTTCCGGTTAACGTCGGTTGTGGTTTCCAGGGCAGCAAATCGGTTCTCCAGGTTTAACTGAAACGCTTCAGATCCCATTTTGATTTGAAACAGGGTTGGTCGGAGCCTGGCCTTCATCAAGCGGACTCGTTCGGCTCTGAAGTCGATATTCAGAGAGCCTCGGACGAGTCGGTGATCGCTACCGGTATTAAACCTATTAATCACGGAGACGTCTCTGAATATGTGCCTTTTGTCCGCCATGATGAAGTCGATCTCGTTCTTTGTCATAGTGTCGGGGCTTTGCCACGTCCACTTCCTTTGGGGCTGCTTCTTAAAGAATGAATTCATTAAGAACATCCCCTCCCGTTCGAGGAAATTGACGAGCATTTGCCCCCTATGATTCCTGTTTCCATACCCATGGGATCCTACTACCGATTCACTGCAATTTTGTACTCCCACTTTGGCGTTAAAGTCCCCCATAACAATGTTGAAGTGAGTCCTAGTGGTGGAGTGGAGGGCCCTCGATATATCATCGAACATCTCCTCCACCTCATCATCGGAGTGTGCCGAGGTCGGTGCGTACACTTGGACCACCTTAAGGCTATACCTCTCGGTGAGCTTTATAATGAGGTACGCCACCCTGTTCGACACACTCGACATTTCCACAACATTGTTAGATAGGGACTTGTTAACCAGAAACCCAACGCCACCTTGGGATTTTTGGTCTCCCTCACGGAAGTACATCAGGTGGCCTGATTTGAGAGTTATCGTGTCCTCCCCCTCTCTTCGGACTTCACATAACCCTAGTATGTGCCACCTGATCTTCCCAAGTTCCACCTCTAGTTGCGCTAGATGCGAGTCAAGCCGTAGCGTGCGTCCGTTGTACGTCGCCAGGGTCAGTCTGTTGTGGTGGCCTCCCGTAGCCCGGAGATTCTTAGCACCCCCTACCCCACCGTTACCATGGTCGCCACCATGACCAGGAATAGTGGGGCTGCCGGGAACTGGGGGCCGTGGCCTTCGTTTTTTGCCCATAGGAGGTATTGCCCATAATCGCCACGCTGGGCAGGCGGGTTGGCGATCGCAGGGCGAAACTTTTCGCACCGGTAACGCTGCTGCCCGTCACCGGCCTGCGGTACTTAATTTCGCCTGTTTGTAAGGGACGGATATACCGCCGTCGGTCGGTCGCCAGAGCCTCGTTCGTTGACCAGCAGGATGCACCGCGTGCAGGTGAGGTTGGCTTGGGGCGAAAGATGGAAGTTCGCCCCCTTACACCCTATTGGGGTAGACAATAATATTCTGCAGTGAAGACCATGTCTAGGCAAACATAGTGGAGGGAGCCCTCCAGCTATATAGACTGGTAATATTGAAAAGGTAGTTGGATTTGAGGGGCTGAACATGAAGGTGATGATGAATATTATCTATACTAATATTATAAACAGGTAAAATTTGTAAGTTTGTATGTAGGGAGTGTTCTTTGGAACCGCTGGTTGGATTCCCAAAATTCTTTCACTGATGGATAGCTACAGTTTTCCTGAGTGCTATAAAACATTACGCTATGATTAAATGGAGCCGAGCAGCGGGTGAAACCGCGCGAGAGCAGCTAGTTATCAATAAAACATAACATTCATTTATCAATAAATACAGTTCAACTTTACATAATGCTTATCCATGTTCAGAGCTAAAGGGACTTCTTAGAGAGGTGCTTTCTAAAGTCTCTTTTACCATAAAATATTTGAGAATTGTAGTCAGTCATCAAGTGAATGCTTATGAAAATAGATCTAACTATGTTTCAATGTAACCATTTTCAGTTTCTTCAATAGAAGAATTCAGTTCCTACAAAGTATTCATATACCTCATCCATCTTTTTACTGGGGAGATTTTGTAAGAATTATAGTAAATGTTTTACCATCAAAATAATATCTTACAGCATTTTCTTTGAACATGATCTTCGCTTTATCAATCTTCTCAAACCCTCCAACATATCTCCAAAGGTGCAATGCCTGATCCATATCGCCCACAGACACTGTCCATGATCCCACTAACTCGCATCCAAGTTCTGCTTTTTGTGAATGGACAAACTCAACAGAAGTTTTGCTAAAATAAAGTAAGTCAATTATTTTTATTAATTTTATGTAGCCAATACCCAACAGTTTGACAGCACTAAAGTAGATCCACTACAATGTCAATTAATTGAAAAGTGTAATGCTCTAATTTTAACTTTGACAGCTTGTTGATTAACTTTTTATTATTGTCATACCATTCTTTGATTAATTTTTTGTAAGCTGTAATTATACAAAAATATGTTGCCACTAAATTCAGGAGCTTATAATTATAACAAGAGTTATCTAAGAAATTATAATAGTGTACTTTAACAATGTTTCTGATGTAAAGAGGTCAAGGTTTATTTAGATAACATTAATTATTATTTACTTAGGAACTTGTGCCCTGTCAATTTGCAGCATTCTATTTGCAGAATGTTGCATAATCTAATAATATGCTCACTAGTTTACATGCTGTTGTGCATGCATCTAGTTGCAGTACTTATGTAAGAAATAATTATGCAAACTCATACTAATTTTGCAAGTATTTGTCCATCGAGTCGGGCCTTATGTTGTGTGTGTGGAGTGCATAAATTATCTCCTTGTCACTAAGCATCCGACTGTGAGACTCCTTCGTGGGCTCTATTCTTCGCACCAATAGCTTCGAAAACCATCCATCGTCGGCGTTCGCTAATCGTGCACTTGTTGAAATCAACCTACAAAAATAACTTCCATTTACGCAAAGTTCCAAATTTAAAACCGGACACTGTATAAAACAACAATACGAAAAGTACCTCGTATTCTTCGGGATAGCTGTACTTAAAACTAACACTCTATTTAAAGAATTCATTTTGAGAACAATATACGATGAAACAAGATTCTAAACTACTAAATATTAAGTTGATAAAAAGTAATTCTTGTTATCAACAATTCACAAAATCACTTGAAGGTTATCTTGAAAATAGATTTTGCATACGTAGTGACACCTATCATGAGTGACCGAAACTACAGCAATATTTGTTCAAGACAGCCAATCAACTTCTAACCACTTTCTTTGTAAATATTGTTGTGATCTCATTGATAATTTAGATTTTCTGTTTCTCTTTAGCAAGGCAAATTTAAATATTGCTTTTTCACTCGCATGCTACTTCTTTATCAACGACTGGACCATTGCTTTAACTGTCAAAATATTGAGACAGCTTCTTTATACGCAGATGTTTGAGAACCTAAGGCATTCATGTTAATGACAAATAGTTATGTGCTTTAAGCAGAGTGTTACCTTAACGAAACATATATGCATATTTGAAAATTTAAATTACATTATCCGTTTAAAGATTAATAAAAAATGACTATTAGTTAAAAAACATCTACTTTAAGTTATTGTAGACAAGATACAGTCTCGTAAAACGAAACGTCATGTTTATTGACTGATGGCCGACAATTTGCTGACAAATTGTCATTTCTTTTTTAATGAATAAATATTTTTGTACTCAGACTGACGAGCGAATTCAAGGCTTTTTTAAGGTTCTGCATCTCTTATAAAAAACCTCGTCATGGGTGAGTAGTCTGTCTAAATTGAATATTTTTTGCGTTCAAAACTTGTTTGTAATAGTGGGCGGTGTTGTCTTCTTGTCTTGACGGTGTGTCTTGTGACTATGTCGGTTTGTATAGCTTCGAGCGAGGTGACGAAGCTTCAGCAGCACCTGGCGCTGCTGAAGGAGGAGTACGGGAAGCTGCAGAGCCACTGCGCTGAAGTGGAGCGCAAATACACACTGGCTGCTGCTTCGGCCGGTGACCTAAGCGAGACGAGCTTTGTGGCGCGTCTGCTGATGACAGTGGCCACTCTGTACGGCAGGGAGACGTACTCTGACATTACTATCAAGCTGCAAAGCAAGTCTATGCCTGGTCATAAGTTCGTACTGAATGCACGATCTGATGACTGGAATGAGGAAGCCCTTAGAAATCTAGAGGAATTAGGTGAGATTTATTTTTTATACTATGAATAAATCCTCGTCAACTGTGTTAAAATACTGTTAAAGTAATATAGCTAAATTGTGAACTTAGCAAGAAATTAATTTCATTATGCAACAATGTGATTAAAAACAAGGTTTAATCTTATACTTTCAGACTGGACGACCCTCCCTGATGAGATAGGTGCTGCTCTTCTTAAATGGCTATACACAGATGTAGTTGACCTATCCCGAGGAGACTCCTTTGCACTTCAATTGATGAAATCAGCTGCTGGCTTCAAGCTCCATGGTTTAGTTGGAAAGTGTGAACAAGCCCTCATAGCAACAGTAGGAGTAAGGTAGGTACTACTTTTTTGTTGATAGCATATAGCAAATACTGCATATAATGTAACAGACAGATTTTGTAAATGAGGAGAAGCGCTGATAAGGCAAGGGGACTTTATGAGTTATCAGTTTGTATTTTTATAGGAATGTAGAATTAATATCTTTCTACAGAATATTCATTATTTAAAGGCAATGTAATACAAAAAAAAAATAGGAATGATTTTTAAATAATACATAGATACATTTGTAAATTTTGTATAAAAGGTTTTATATTTAAAAAAATATTATGTAATAACCATATAATTGAATATTGTTTTCAGATCCTGTGTAAAGTTTTATTCAGCGGCTGATGAGATTGGTGCATCAGCTCTGAAGGAGCACTGCTCAGGCCTTATATCTGCTCATTGGGATGATCTCACAGGTAATTATTATACACTTACACTGATCATGTGTAATTTGAAGCAGTTGAAGCTACATCAATAACTGTCTGTGCAAATATTTCTTTCAAATAATTTAAATACCTTTTTAAAAACATGGTATTTCGGGACACAATACAAGAACAATATGTGTGTGAACACCGGCATTCACTTGGTGTTTGATGAATTATATAGTCTGTCATGGTAGACTGGAATTGGCCAGGGAGACATTGAGGCAAGCCTTGCTGCTGTTTGCAACACTGTGCTAAACACAAGTAATTGAATTAGTAGGTCATTGCAATTGCAGCTATTGAGCTGAATGTACTAACTCACAATACAAGACTGAACAACTATAAATATCTTACTGAAGTATAAATTAAACAAAGAAATTTTTGTAGTAAAATGTGTTCTATTAATGGTAGGAAAATATATAGGAAATTAAAACATTTGTAAAGTTTCCAATTGAAAGATTAACAAAAAAAATAAATATCTTTTTATAATTTTTTTGTTAGTTTCTTATCAGGAAATCAATGGTTGGGGTAAGGCTACTCTAAAATATTCCAAGGTTTTAAGTAACGCTACATATACATATATTATTTGTATATTTTGTATGAATTAATTGTTGACAGTCTTATTTTAAGGGTGGAATTTCATAAAATGGCCTCCCTGGAATGGCAAGGGAAAGTGTCAGACTGTTACTGACTAAACCCCCCCACTTTCCTACTCCTCTTATTGGACTTGTACCACAACCCTGGCTGATTGTAAATAGCTTACGAGGCAGTTTGCTAAGATTAAGCATAAAAAGGTTCATAATTTAAAATTGGTTTCTCCATTTTTTCTTTGTTTTTAATTAGGTACTAACACAATATTAAGGAAACTGCAGCATTTATTTACTGACCTTGTTATATGTTGCTCAAATTTACTTCTTCCTTTTCATATACCTGCGCCTTGTTATAGACATATAACAAGCAATAGGAATTAACTCAAACTTACGAATATAAGATTTAAAAAATGATCTTAGTTAGCCTCTCTGTCTGCAACGGAGTACTATGTAGCAAATACACTAGCTAATATGCATACTTCTTAAAATATACCGTACCTAAAATAAAGTTTCGAATTAAAAAAAACTGGCATCAAATTACGATTCTGATCTATTATTATTTACATTTGTTTGTCCAAATTCTTGTCTTTCTTATTAAAAAACCAGAACTACCACACTAGGATTTTCTCATGTGTCGTGGGTGCGTTTACAAACATACAATTTCACATTCACATCACGCCCAGACCCGGAACAACAATTTGTGGACCACAAAAAGAGTTGTTTCGTGCGGGAATTGAACCTATAACACATTGCGCGGCCGTCAGTTGCCCAGCCACCGCGCCTACCATGTAGTCAGCAAATTGACACGCTCATCACTATAACGCCAGAATAACTATCATCAGCCTATAAGTGCCCACTGCTGAGCAAAGGCCTCTTCTCACACGGAGAAGGTTTGTGCCTTAATCACCACGCTTGCTCAATGCGGGTTGGCGATTTCAAACTTATAATTAGAAATTATAAGTCCAGGTTTCCTCACGATGTTTACCTTCATCGTATGTCAGTGGTGTCTAAATATTCATAGAAAGTACATATAACTCGGAAAAAGTCACATTGCTACTTGCCAGGTTTCGGAAGCGGGCTCCTCAACCTCCGGGCCACCACGACGAATAACTATCAGTGGAACACAAAAAATCTTGATCCGTGCAAAGATGAACCCAATCCACTCCCACTCATTAGTCGAATTTCCATATATTTAAATATTACTAGCGGAGCGCCCTTGCTTCGCACGGGTAGGTATCCGACTTATACCCGAGACCACGTCGTCAGTCATTTGTTTTTTAGCAAACGGCCACAGCACCGAAAGCATTGTTAATTCCCGATATTCCCCTTTTCTAAAGTTTTCTTTCGTAAGAACCTTCACATAAAAATAACGAACATAACAAAAAAAGAATTAGCAAAATTGGTCCAGGCGTTATTGAGTTATGCGCTTACCAACACATTTCGCGATTCATTTTTATATTTAAATATTATTAAAATTTATATTGTAGGCGAGGACTTCGCGCACATGTCATCAGCGCTGCTGTACCGTATGCTGAAGAGTAAGACATCGCAGCCGCTGCACGGCGCTGTCAGACTGCTGCGGGAGGACGTCGTGTTCCTCTGCCTCGTCGAGAACCATGCCAACGTAAGTATGCGCATGCTTTTATCTATTTTCAGTCTTGATTGTATGAGATTGCCGCTTATACAATTAATCTGCTGAGACATTTCCAACACACATATTTCAAACTCGATCCAAGTTCTGTGGTTTCTTTTTTTTACGTAAGTCGTATGTCGTTTGTGCCAAAAACAGATCGATTAATATCTAATGGAGATTAAGAGATTTTATTAATTTCAGTCATCCTCATTAGTTGGTACAAATAAACCAAGTAGAAAAATTTACTTCTAGAAGTTAATAATTATATTTCACAATCTTAAATTTTACGTCTATGTAGTAATGAGGTTTGGCATATAAACGAGTATGTCTAGTTTATGGCACCCGCCAACTAGTTAAATCAGTTATCTAATCCGGGAGTTGACGTTCGAACTACTTTCAACATTTGATTACTTGCAATTATAGGAAGCCAATGCATTTTGATATCGTCCAGGCAGCTGATTAAATCGATAATATGCGGAAGTCTGAAGTAATTTGTAGATTAAATGTTAATCAACTTGTTTAGGACTTATAGTTCCCAGTGGTTTATTGCTCATGTTTACATAAAATTAAAATCAAGTTGAAAAACCACTAAAGAGATCTAAGTATCGGAAACTAATTGGTGGGTTTGGCGTGCTAAGCTGCTTTATAGTATCAAAAATATTACCAAATGACTTTACAGTATAAGCCTGTATTTTTTCTATAACTGTAAAAAACCTCTTCTCACTCCTAAGGTAAAATTTAAAAGTCCAATTTTCCTCATTGAGAATTCGTTTTAATAAAACTTCAATTGAGAAGGAATGGTAATAATTATTCAATTAAAAAATTAAAATGTAATTGAGTATCACATAAAGTAGTATAATCAACTGTACCACACTGGTAATACATACGAGCATTATAAATAGTCTTTATTTCTTAACAGTAAGAGTTATTTTCAATTATTACCAATGAAGTACATACGTTGATGCATCTTAAAGTAAATTATGACAAATTATACTTAACAGTGAACTGGTATTTGGAAAGAATTTTTGACTCAAATATTAAATGCTGAACATTTTTATTTAAATGCTGAATATTTTGTATCTTAGCAAAGTCTATATTAGTGTCGTGTTGAATGTCGAACAATAGACAATAAATTTTTACTTTGACTTGTGTAAAAACATTTTACATTAATTTCTCTTCGAAGACAAACTGTATAGAAATTAATAAACAATACTTTATATATATTGTATGTAAATGCACAATAATAAAAAATATTATTCACTTTAATAGAACAGTAGATGTACAATTTAATATTCATCTTTCCTATTTTATTAACTGCAGAGGGCATATTACTGTTGGGGCCCTACATTATTAAAAATATAGAGAACTAAATCATTATACTTACATTATTACAAGAAAACATAATAGTAATTAAGTATCTAACTACCTACCTGAAGTCCGTAAAGAGAATCACAGTCTTGCAATCTTTACATAACTTTGACTAGCAATAATGCGTATATAGGTATATGTAGCAATGCACCACTGTCCGAAGCTCTTTGGAATTGTTCATAAAATCGTCCATCTAACTTAAAACTATTTATTGGCAGTATATAAAGACCCGTATATAAGTACTAAGGATCTTAATTTATTGAAAAAAAAACGTCTAACTCACGTGAATTAACTGAGAAAAGCAACGTCGCGCAGCCGACTTTGGACGGCGCTGCGACGTGCACGCTGCTTATGAATATGAGTCCCATTGTGACTTGAAACTAGTCGAGCGTCTTTCAGTTAATTTACGCGAATTAGTAGTTGTTTTCAATAAATTTAGTATGTCTTACGATAGTTACTATTGAGTATCTTACATAGAACCTTAAATATCTAAACATTGTTAAATAATGACACCGTTATTTTATAGCGGTACAAGCGACATTAAACTAGAAATGTATTATTTCTACGGTCTTGTGACTTAGTCATATCATTAGGATATTATATTAAAATTGTACATACTTCTTATTAATATTAAATGTTTCCAATAAGATTTAAAAAACAAAAACGCAAATGACAACGTTCTCGAACTTGTGCCGACTAATTTGATCCAATTAGCTTTATAATAGAGTAGGTAGTAACAATACATAAATGCATATTTTGATATAAGCTCCTATCTTCAAGTTAGCATAATAAACATCAATTTAAAAAAGAGTCAGTTTTCTATTTACTATTATTATTTATATTATTTTATGTCTAAAAATATCGGGAATTAAATTTTTGTTCGTGAAGCGTGTCTTTAAATAACGTAGCTGATTTTTAGACACACTTTTTAGATTCAGTTACTCATCTTGATCTCAAACCATTCACTAATGGACAACACGAGGTCAACGTGAATCAGCGTCCCGTTGTTAAATACAGTATCAAGTCTTGAACTAACTAAAAGCACATAAAATAATGACAGTAGCGAATGCTAACAAATTCGCTAGTAGTTGATCAGAACCATTGCATCGATCTCCCCTGCAGTAACAGTATAAGGTATTCGGGGATCGCTCGGAATTGCTCGGATCTTCAAAACAAGTTTCTTCATACACCTCGTGTATGTCCTGGACCGCTCGCCATTTGCCATTGATCCTCCTTTGTTCTCCATTCGCTGTTTGACTCGCGCAGCCCCGCGTTATAGTCTCCGATGTCACTGGAACAAATATAGAAAATAAATAGTGGTCCACTAATAATTTTTTTGTTTTTGGAAAAAAAAACGTCCCGCACTAGGATTTTCTCCTGTGTCGTTGGTGCGTTTACAAACTTACACTTTCACACACCTACTACAACAGTGATTTGTCTATTTTTTTTTATTATTTGAGAACTGGGAGATTGGAAATACTCCATCCATTAATTAAGTTTACCTAATTGTTTTCACTAAGTAGTCATTGTTGTTGCTTTGTTAAATGAAGGGTGTATATTAGAGCTTAAAATAGTGAGTAGGTAGTTAAGGACGTTTGTAAGGATTCTCAGGTTATTCTTAATATAAAAAAACGTCTTATTAGTATGCAATATTGCATAATTACATTAAGCAGATACATTAAAATACAGGTGATAGATCGGCAATGCGGCTTACATACAATTTTAAAACGTAATTACGCCAAATGATGTAATTACGCCTAGCTAAATATTCTAAACACGATTGTGAAAGTAATGACTTCACAACAATCATTGTTATTTTTTGTCACACGTCCCGTAACAATTAAAGAAATCCGAACTCTGACTTGCACGTTTTTGGGATGGAACTACTTTACTATTTAGTCGAAAAATATATTTATGCACATATAAAATAATGATATACAAAAACGGATACATTCGAAAGTTCTCCTGTTCACGTTTTGCTAAAAACCTCTATTCCCGAAATGGAAAAAGTTAAGTTGTACATACATAATATGTATAAGATATGAGTATGTCGACGCGCATAATATGCTTATGCAATATAATATGTAACAGTTCCACTTGTGCTAATGATACAGCTGCATACAATGGCCATGCAGTTATGGTGCAATCTGCTCGTTGAAACTTCGTATGCACTGAATTATAGCGCCCCTATTTAACAAGAGGAACTGATCATTTGTGACTCAAACGCCAATTCATAGATTTGTTTGTAATTCCAATTATCCTATGCGGTATTTTGTTCACACTTTGTGTTTAAGGAAATTCCAATGACAAATGTTTCGGTTTTTGATTCAGTAATTACCTAGCTAAGATTTTGTGTAACAAGAGCTTGAATTGTTGGATAGCTTATTCCATATTATATGTGTAGTACCTACATATATCATGGTTAGCCTTGCCTTATCTAAATACTAAGCCATTTAGCGGATACGAAATGTACCCAAAGAAATATAATCCGAATAAATCGAAATACATAGAGATAATCATACAAATTTGTTATTATTTACAGGCACTAAAAATGTAAGGATAACAGTGTGTAAAGTATGCGTATTTCACGTAGAGAAACAAGTTTTGATACGTCCATTTTGATCTGTGACATTTAAGTGTAGGCAATAAAGCAAGGCTTGCGCCACGTACTGGCCACATGACACATATTCCTTCTAAAGGAGCGTTTCATAAGGAAGCCGCGTTAACGGCACCATATACACTATTTTTATTGACCACCACTTCCTTTAAGCACATGTTCTATAGCTACTTATAAATAATGCGTTGGCCGTCGGATAAACAACGATCCTAACACAGCTCATTCCTTCAACGACGTGTCTGTTATAGGAATTTACGTAAGAATCTAGATTCAAGTGTGACTACGTACCAATGATTGAGATTTCTTTAAAAAGGAAATTGTGATTTATGTATTTTAGTCAGTAAGAGCCTGACACACCATCTCGCCTCGCACTGGGCGAGAGAAGAAATTTTGATGATTTTCCTCTCATTAAAAAGTCTCATCAATATTGCCGGCAGTATGGTGGTGGTTTTTGCGGTTAATTAGGTATGTATGAGTTTTTAATGTTTGGGCGCGTATCGTTCAGTTGCGGTGAAGGTGTCGGTCAGGGGTCATTGCCACTAAGTCTCACGGGCAGCTGGTGTCTAGTTAGTCTAGCTCTATTAATAAACGTACCTCAACGGATTAACATTCGCAAAGATTGCCATAAACATCCTTATGTAAAATATAAATGCCACTAAAGCACTTATAACTCCCTCATTACGCAGAGCTTTAAATTTTATTAAATTGTTCTTGTACGTCTTGCAGCGACGTTAAATTTTGTTGGCTGGGCTAATTGGGTAGTTTCCTAGGTCAAAATAAATTAATTCGACGTTTCAATACAATTAAATGTCGAAAAATAAGTATACTTTTGTTCATCGATTGATCGATATACTAAATTATAGATATTTTTTAGCTAATTATTAAGAAATAAGTAAGCTATTTGACGCAAAAATACTGTGATGTCATAACTCAGTTTTTTATACAAATTTCATAGAAAAGTATCGTTTTTGACATATGGATAAAAGTATTGAATTTAACTAGTTGGAAACTACTGTATTAAATGTACTTGTTACGTATTACACATGGTTGAGTTGAATATGCCAAGCTTTCAACAGGGACTGGAATGTGATTAAGACGCGTCTGTCTTTGAAGTGTTAAGTGTGGTCAATTACAAATGTCGATATGACATGATTCATAACTTGAAATAGAAACTACAAAAATAATCCTATTCGGTGTTGTGGCGGCTGTACTTGTACTGAAATATTTATTGTTGTGGGCCTGCTGCGTGCGGACTGCGGAACGTTTATAAATGAAATATTAGTTTTTGCAGTTGCCTAGTTGTTCTGAAAAATATTTGTTAGATCTAAGATTGAACTATGAAGCATCATATTCAACAACACACATTTTAAAATATTAAATATATATGTCTGTCTGCTTTGGTAACTTCAGAAAACATCGCTCAGGTATATTTACCATCCAAAAAATATTTTAGTAATATTTTCTACACAAACCACTTAAGATGAAACATGATAGGTTGGCCATCGGGCAGACGGATTACCTGATTAAATTTATTAAATTATTAGATTCAAAGCAATCAGCGCCGGCCTTTGGCACCCGCAACAATAGAGGAGTTACGAGTGTTACCTTTTGGGGATTAGGGATTTAGGGATTTCAGCCGGGGTTGCGGGGTAAGCGCAATGAGGCACTCGGCCCAGAGCAGGAGAAGGAACAGGGGGGTTTTTAGTCAGTAAGAGTCTGACACTCCCTCCCGTCCGGCCCTGGGCGGGAGAAGTCATTTGATGATTTTCCCCTCACAAAAAAAAACGGATTTAGGGATAGGGGGAGGGGAAGGATTGGGCCTCCAGTAACCTCACTCAACGCTGTGGTTGTTTCACACCGGTTTTCTGTGAGGCATTGAGCTATCACTTGTAGTCTTCGTTCTGCTAATAGTCTACAATCAGATTTACTTACATCCCTGACTAAATTCGAGCGATGTGACCTTTTTGAAGCACATTGTAGAATGTTCACACTCCGACAGGTATTTGTTGCTGTAGTCGAACTGCAGACAGGAGAGCAATGCCTGTTCTGGATTGCAAGTGTAGCACTGTAGACTCCATGACACTGGAAAAAGTTAATTCCTGCTTTAAAGCAATGGTTCTAAAAAGTTGAAGAATATGTTCGCATAATACCTTATCAGCGTAAAGAATACTGTTAGCTCACTCTGGATTTTAGTACAAGTTTTAGCCCTCATGTATTTTTGAATGACATTTAGGGACAGGGAAGATAAATTTCGGACTGTAAGCACATAAAAGTTTCGATAGCTGTTAACAACTTTAATAGTGTTGAATTATACCTAATGACGGTTTCCTAATTCTCGTGGGATCAGGAACTGTAGTTGGAAATTTTATTGTAATATGAACATATTCTGTAACGGTCAATTAATAAATGTTATACCTATGTTGAATATAAGGATATTCCAAATTAATAAGTATCGGGTTTGTTTTTTGTTAGATAATTCGTTATGTACCAGATAAATTTGAATATAGAACACAAATAATACAAACTATGTGTGATTAAACTTAATCATCATCAACATCAAATTTTTTTTTATAGCAATTATAAGTTTATACAGTGTATTGGTTAATATGTACATCAAGGTGAGCGGACTGCAAAGCCAGAGGTGTGGTGTTATCATTATATTTATTTAATTTTTCACCTTCTCATACTGACACAAAAACTGGAAAGGTGACATTATGTTGACCTTCAATGCACATTTTGGTCGATATTTGTAACAGTGTTATTGTGGATTAGTTTTATCTTGGATATGTGTCAAATAGATAAAGGATACTGTTACGTCGTCGCACTCAACACTTTATAAAAGAACTTTTAAAAAATGAATATAAGTAATACATATTATTATGTAACTCTATTTTTGGCAACTGACAACACCACCGAAATATGTTAAGAAGTAAATGTTCACAGCGGTATTACACGCGTATATTCCAAACGTCTCAACCACCACATCCCATCTTAGTCAAATAAATTTGTTTTATCCCTCTATCGAGGCTATCTGTCAAATGCGAAAAGAGCTTTCCCAATACGTAGTTTTTTTTCGTACTATTTGTAAGGATTGTCTTCATAACCGTACAAAGCCAGGACGGCTCGCTAGTTAAATATGATGGAGACATGCACGAAGATGTGGTGACACAAATATCTCGAGTATTTATGTATAAGTTCCTCGTATCCAGCTCTCACAATATCACAATACTTGCAAATCTTTAACGAAACTAAGAACCCCAAGTCTTAATTAACGAACATTGTTTTGAACATTTAAAAAGCAATTTGAAGATATATTTTTATTAGTCGGTCTGTTAAACTGTATTGTTATCAGTATTATCTTGTTCATTAAGCTCGTTAAACAATTAAATTGGTAAGTGTATGTTACATCTCGATGTCGTAAACGGTATAACACGATTTCCATTAAAAGATGGTCGTGATATCTAAAAACGTGATAAAGGTTCAAGCGTTCTCGAATATGTACATCAACAGAGAATGTTGTTTGCACTTGACCTACTCCACTATTTCTATTAGCGGTGCATATCCAACTTAATTTGTAATGACCTTTATATTTTCCTCTTCTGTTTGCTAAACTTAGTACATAATTAAATGCCTTTATTATTAGTAGGTAATTAAATGGTCGCATGTTGTGATGATCTATTCTCATCACTGTTTAGAGTTTTGTTTTATTCTGTTGAATTCCTCTAAAACTTTATCAGGTATAGGTACTGCAAAATTGCCGTATGCGATCGGTACTTAACCTACCATTTTCCTTACAAGTAAAGTTAAACACGTTATTTTATGTTTTCCGTACCATTAAAGCTTTATTCCATTCTATTAAACATTGATTCGATGTCATTAACCCCAAAACCCCCGAGTCATTAATGTAAGGCCCCTTATAAACCGTAGACCGTATAAAACATTTAGTTTACTCATCTAAGGAAAACAAAGAGAAATTTTAATTTAGAATCTTACCTTTGAGTAAAAGGTAACGTCTCTCTATAATGTGTATGCAAAATTTTTAATTACGTGGTTTGCAGTCATGTCAGCTAGTCTAGAAACTGCATTACACACAATCGACGTCCGGGAGCGGACAGGACATCCTAGACTCACTCTCTATTATTAGTGCTATAGACACACCACAACATACATATACTTTTTTTAATTCAAATGAAGTCTTTGATTCTTTTTTGATTCAGCCTTCATTACGCCTACCGCGATGTGACAGACTGAACCATATGGGAATAGATAATGCGGTTCGATGCCCACACGATATTAATTTACTGGTATATATCACAGCTTCACATGCCCGCCTAGTATTTTATTACCTATTGTTTTTACTTTACATGTCAGGAATATAATTAACAAATATTTTTTATCAATGTTTTCGTACATCGAACGGTGTCAATGTTTTATTAAAGTTTTCAAGGTTTTCTTCGGGTTATGTTAGTAGATATGCTGAATAAAATTTATCGAAATTATTTTATTTTTGTTTTACATTTATAGAATATCAAAGCCTTGAAAGCAAATTTAGGGGTAGTGACGACTGATGATGGATGCTATAAAAATATTTATAAACTGTATAGTTTTTATTTTCAAATATTAGACAGCACTTTATCACAATAAATTTCACTGAGCAATAGTATTCAAAATGATAAGATAATATACTCAAAAAAAACATTCTACGAAAATAAATGTCGTATCTAATTCTAATTAAATAAATAAACACTTTCACTTACATTTCCAAAACATTGTAAAAGTTATAAACGACGCGATGTAATCCATGTTTATTAATATGGCACCACTTAGAATTAAGACTAAAACTACGGACTGTTAATTTTTAATTACATTTATGTGTTATGTATTTACAATGTTGCGATTGCGGCGCATGTGGCCGGCAGGGCTTTACACTGAACTGAAATTGGCACCTCCGTACTCAACTTCATGATTCACAGGAAGGAAGCCCAGTGGCAAAACGGGACATGTCCAAATACTAACAAATAACACTCTTATGCTCGCGGCATTAACGCTGATTCATGCGATCGATTCTGGCGCCGGCGCGACACTGACCAACATTTGGCTGTTGGCTGTCCCACTCCGTGTCACTTCATTCCGTTTGCCGCTTTGTCCCCGGATTCCGGTGTTTAGTTTTTATTTTAGATCTTCATTTCGCGAAAAATTATTAAAGACACGATCTCAAGCTATTATTAAATACTAAATATAATGAATGGGTCTCTACATTCTTTGACGATGTTTTTACAGGTGGATAAAGCGTTGACAGAGATTTTTAACATCTCGATAACCACATAAACCATTAATAGGTGTTTGTTTAACAAATTAATATGCATATATATTAGTATGTGGTTTAAAAGTAATAGGCGAGTTTGTCTACTAATCAGGTCGCAACAGTAACTTTTTCAGAGCTTCATTATTGTAGTGGGTAATTGTGACAATGACGTGAACGTATAATAAACGCGATGAGTGATTTATCCTCAATTACACTAATTTCAATCAACAAAAAGTTTTTACTTTCTGCTTTTATTTCATAACAGAGCGTTGTTATGTAATGGGTTCTTTGTGTGAGGGGAAAATCATTAAATAAATTCTCCCGCCCTTTAGTGTCAGACTCTTACAGACTAAAAACCCCTTCTTCTGCTCTGGGCCGAGGCTAAACTAAGCACCTACGTAATAATATGTTTATTATTCTTTGCTAAAAATGTATATTCAGCCTGCTCGCTGTATTTTTCAGGTAGATAAAAAATAACATGATTTGTTTAGATTCGTTGACTGATTAATTCCTGTTTCGAACGCTAGTGCGTGCCTTACTTTCAATACCTTCATGTAAGACAGGTAATGATGTATGTATTTTGTGGAAGTTTGTTCTGTTTTAAATTAACTAAAAATCGCGGGTTACTCACATGTATATATTGAGAAAAGCTCTACTAGTTTCGAACCACAGAGGGGTTCTTCCTCCTTAGCGTGCGCGGACGCGGCGACGTCGCGTAGCAGCGTCAGTAGGATTTTTAGTTAATTTAGTATGTCTCACGATTGTTCTGTTTTGTGCGAATACGTAGTTATAATAAACGATTAATTTTGTGACTTACCGCATTTTCCTTTCCGCCCAGTTGTGAAACAAATTCATATTGATATACATAGTCGGTTTGCAGCTCGCAACATCCTTTGTGATTGGCGATAAAAATGACTTATTATGCCATATTTTTTTTGATAAATATAACTGATGTATATTTAATTGCTTTGTCTTGACAAGGAACTTAATAAGCAAGAAATTCGGGAGAAAAAATATAATGGCCATCCTTAGATATAAGTACTTAGTAGTAGTTTTAGAAACATAAAGAACATTTTTGTAAATTAACAATTAAATAACTTTAAAATATATAACGCATAAGTATTCGAATTTAAGTAAATAAAGTAATAATTTATTACCAAGCCTCTATACATCGCAATATCGTGATCCTAGTACTAGAACAGCTTTCGAGGTTATCATGAACATTGTTCACATTTAGGTCGTTGATAGTACGGACACGCGACAGTTAGCATCATTTACATCTATTGATCGTATTATGATCGAAACGTGGGTGTGTCTCGCGCCCTGTCCCGTCATAATTTGCCACGCCAGTCTAGTCTAGACTTAATATTTAGTTCGTGAGAATACTCTATAATCTAGATTATGAATATAATGAAGTGTCCTATATTGAGTTCATTACCAACTGTCTTCAATTGTTTCTATGTATGTAGGTACCTAGGGTTCATCACTGTAACTTAATTAAAACTTATTTGCAGACAATGCCAATTTCATGTCATTTTGTCAAATTGTGCAAAACATATGGTCTCCCAAAATATGAGAGATTTTCACTTAGAAATTGTGATAATATTATTATGCATGACGATAATTCAATTGGACAACCTGGAGGCGAGCATTGGTCGATGCGAACTCGTTGCAGGAACATGATAATTTAGAATCTTCATGTTTTTATTTTTATTTTTGAAATAAAATAACGTTTTATTTCTTGTTTTCCCTTCGCTCCAGTTCTTTGTTTACACTTATATCTGTGTTTTGTTACTTACCAAAGCCAGTGTTGTTAACCCACTGCATTCGGTCCAATGGCGTCATGAATGTTTTTATGTTATCTGTTATCACTGGCTATTTTTGTGCAAACGCCAACATTATTCATTCAAGCAATTCAACATACCTCCCTGTACTACCTACCTTATTGTATCTTTGTCTTTGTTGGAAATATGATTCATTGCATACAACGTTTTTGTTTTTGGTATTGTTTTAATTATATTCATTTCTTTTATGTGACATACCTGCGCAAGATTTCGCTTTAGATGACATTTAAAATATTGTGCAGGGTAATAAAATAGATATCAAATTATAGTTTTTATTTATTTTATACAAATACGAAGCTAAAATATTTACTAGGCATGTAATGATCCGTTCCTTCAGATTACGTCTGAGCAATTAATTGTGTATTTACCGATCTTAAATACATTGCTATGTACGTACCTTACACTACATTATTCGTTGTGTTTAATGATTGCCACGATTGCTAGTCTACAAAATACTTATGTTTCATCATTGCACACTTAAAACATTTTTCAGAATATTTTTTGTTTGACTTTTTTCTAAGCAATATTTCGACATATGTGGAAATAAATGTAAGTTAATTAATAGAAGATATCCATATTCGTTCAGTAAATTTATCTATACTTCATAAGCCCCTAAGTTCTTGTTAATCAATTATCTCTAACAAAAAGATTTATCGGGGTTATCTACCAATGGTACTACGGTAGAAACTGTTGTTGTGTGAACTTAATTTGACGCCGTGAGGAGTAAATATGACTGTCAATAATAGGATGACTGGCAGAAAATGCTTCTACCATAATTAAGCTGTCCGATTTGCAATGCAAATTAAATACCCAAATCAAAATAATAATAAGTAATCTATTAATGAATGTCATAATTAAACAACCATTTTCGCTTATTCGTTGTGTGCGCTATGGCAACACCCCTAGTGGCCGCAACTATTCAGGACTTGTCATCTGTCAAATCATGTCAACTAGATGATAAGATTCTTTCAAGAAAATAGTGTAAAAAGTGAGTGTATATTATACCTAGCGATTTTCTTCCTCGTGCATGAAAAATATGGATATTATAATACGTACGGGATTTAAATTTTAATTCTCTTCACAGCAGCTATCCATTTTTGTCTTTGCTGTAATGTCCACTTTGATGTTGGAAAGGAATAAAACTTGCACGAACTGTTTTTCCCATTGTTTTTATAGTTTACGTCACAGCATGTACTATAACCCATATCGCAAATTTGTAAGTTTTTAATTAAAATTATAAAGGAAATTATGAAAATAAAGCAATTTGACACATGACTTAATTCAGATTTCTGTTATGTCGTGCGCTACGATCGATTTGCCGTTCCCCACCACCCACATAGCGAATAGCGCTTACTATTTTGTGCAATAATAATTATTATTAATCCTAATATAGAGAGCTAATTGGTTTGTTATTTATTTTAATAGACATGACCCGCGGGATCAGTCTCGTAGTATATGCCTACGTTTGTCAGAGATAATGTAGCTTCCTAACAATAAAAGACTATTTCAAATCGGTCGAATAGTTTTAATTCAAACAAACAATAAATGTTTTCTCTTTATTACATTAGAATAGACTACCGTTCAACTATCTTACTAAAGACAAGTGTTCTCTCGTACATGCTATACAACAAAAAAAAAGAGAATTGGCGAAATTGGTCCAGGCGTTTTTGAGTTGTGCGTCTACCAAAACATTTGGCGATTCGATTTTAAATCAGTATAGACAACTTTGGCGATTTAAAGATCGTTATTTCGCCCGACTGTGTTCCAAAAAGACCCAGTTTCGGTAAAAAAACCAGTGACAAAGTATCATGGTAACGTTCCAAAAGCAGAAACAATAAGTACACAAAATAACAAGATATACCTAATGATCATTATTTTTATTATCCTGTTATTTCATGTCTCGTATAGGTAGTCGGCTTATTACTTAAGTATAATTTACCTTGACTCTGCCTTCAAATATCGTATCTTAGCGTTATGTGTATTGCAAAAACAAGTTTAATTATAATCATTTACCTACTCACGCGCTCGCTGCTCATAATTAAGAGTCCCGCTGTGACTTGAAACTAGTAGAGCTTTTCGCAGGTGGTTCACGTGTGTAAGTCGTTATTCAAAAATTCGATCGATTTCCAAAATTCTTTAACTGAGATAGCTACAATGTTTCTAAGTGCTATAGGCTATAAAACATCACGGTACCACTAAATGGAGCCGAGCAGCGAGTGAAACCGCGCGAGAGTAGCTAGTTTTCTATAAAATCCAGCATGTCTCACGATAGTTACTATTCAATATATGATTTTAAATAAATTGTTTATAAAGCTGAATTAAATAAAATACAGTTAGAAATATCACCACAACAGAACTTACCAATATTTTCATCTGTGGTAGGTAAGTACTTATATATTAATAATAAGGAAAAAGACAATTGTACAAAACAAATTTTCCGTGTCTATTTATCGCTTATTTCTCTATTTGACCGAAGTTGGAGTGGTAGAGAGTTCCATTGTCATTATGGTCGCCTTTTGTACTTGTCATTTTGTGTCCATTAAAGTTGTGATATCCTATCAATTTTTATAAAATCATCGGTAAAATCAAAACAGCGTATTAGAAAGTTTTTAAAATATTTCGTATATTCATGAAAGTTAAGAAGATTAAATGTGTCTTCATAGGTCAATTGATATATTAAACATTTCTTGACATTAACATTTTTCAAGTAAATTATCTAATGTATAATATCACTAGAGTTTGCTAAACATTTCACTAAGACACTTTGGAAAATTCACAAGAAACGCGTCCATAAATATTTTATGTACAGTAATTAAATTCATTTATTAATTTATTACAAATTACATTTAAACATTATATTAATGTCTTAAATTATAAAGTCACTATACCCTTCTATTTATCACAAAGTATTGCGAGTTGTTTCGTGGCGTAGAATAGTACAGGGTGTTCAAAATTTTTCACCATTGAACACCAGATTTTTTTCTTCGCACTGCATTATTTCACAGCCGACAAGGTTCCAGTGCCTGTCTCATCTGTAGACAGCTGCGTACCTACTACTTAGTATTACGCAACAACATTTCGTAACAATTAACATAATTAAAGCCTACACGCTCCTACAACAACTACCTAAGGCTGTTGATGTATTTCATGAGGTTAAACACTACTATGACGCCCATGATGTCTGTGTAGCCTTCATGGCTGGAACTCGGAGAAGCATTACAAAGGTTGTTGCGGCAATAGCAGTATCTGTAAATAAATAAACGTTTATTAACATAAATCTGTGATTATGTTCGAGGTGCGGCCATTTTATGGACACTGTGACATCATTTCTGATCATCTTCTACAATTTGAATGTGACTTTTGAATTCTAAATTAAAATTTCCATTAGAAGACAATACGTAATTTCTATTTATTTCTAACTAAAGAATTTACCGCAACGAAATAATGCGAGAGAAAATTACGTCAGGTGGTTTATAGTGACATGACGTTAAACTGCTCGTCAAGTAGATCAAGTTATTGCTGTTGGTTTCAATATTTTTTAAACGTAATCTCTGTATTTGATGCCAATAAACTTTGCATCCATTTTCGTTCTTCTTGTTTTCAATTTCGAATTAAACTTTTGTTTAAAGGACAAAAAAATGGTTCCGATCCACCCAATACAAATAGAGTAACCTTACGTAAAATAATTTTATTTTTCCGTAGTTACTGTTTTTTGGATTTGTGTTTTGTAGAGTGTCAAGAATGTTATGTATATAACTTACCTCGTAGGTGTACTTCTTTGGCCCTTGTCGTCTTCATTGATGCAACCTTCTTTGTAAGGTTCCAAGATCTCCATCTTGGGCGACCATCTGCCATTCTTATAATCCTGGTACTCGTGCTTCTGTGGCGCACAATCACGAAGGACGCCGTTTATCCTTACTGAAAATTTTAACGATTGCTTTAATTAAAATTAATATTGTAACGAATTAAGTACTTTTATTTCAAACTGACATCAGCGGATAATTTTTTGCAGCTGTTCAAATATTCAATAGCTTGCATTGCATCGTTGTTGTTGTCACAGACTTCATGCAATAATGGATCTATTGTGTGCTCGCGTCATAACTACCTACGGAACTGGTTACTTCAGCATTTGCAATTAATGCGATATTACGAAGTTTATACCTTCGCAATTTCTTTGTCCGTATAATCGGTCTACTTAAGTCAAATGCTTTAAAAAGTAATTAAAACACACGACACGTTCGGAGTCATGGTCTGTGGCTTTTTAATCGTTCACGCCATTTAATTATGATTTGCACAGATTAGTAACTCCTAAAAACTAATTAGATGAGTTGCATAAGTCGATTTGAATTATTAAAGACATAATATTTCATTTTTTTGATTAAATTTGGCCGTTCTCTGGAAAATGTTTTAAAGTAATTAATTCGTTAAGAGTGTTTTCATGAAAAAGGATTTTTGCTTGTAAGCGAATTGTCATGTTCACATTACCTTGAACCGTTTGTCGCCTAGCACAATCATATTTAGCCACCTTGACCGCATAGCATTATTTATCATCAATTGAACCCTCGACTCTGCGTTGACAGAGGATCGCTAATGATGTATGCATGTACGTCAGTCACTGAGTTCTCATGACTTCGGCATTATCTTCAATGACTAGATTCTACCATTTACTTTACTAATGATGTAAAACACTTAATTGCCTATCTCAGCATGCTTATCAATGTCAATATTATGAAGAAAGAGTAACTTTGATAAGGTTAACATACCTCCGTTTTGTATGTCGAGATGGAATTCCTGCTTCATGCACATGGTAGAGTAGGGGCATTCCACTATGAACTTGTCAGAGTGGTCGAAGTGCACGCAGAGCCTCTTCGTAGTGTTGTAGTACTGGCCCGGCGGAGGGTTGATGAGGCAGTGGTAGCACTGTAGCGATGATACTCCTGGAAGTAACAACGATATTACATATGAATTAACATTGTTAAATAAATACAACTACTTCGTAACGTCTCAGCTATTTGAGTTTTATTGCCACGTATTAAGTTTTTTACGATAGTCCATCCCTGGACTCCATCGAGTACCTCTATAAGTGACCTTTACACATCGCGTGTCCACTAAGTACCTATATCCTGTTTTGTCAAGAACTAAACTCGGAGTATACTCGTGACACACGCAGCTCCCGCTCATATTAGTTCTTACGTATAGAATACGAGTAGGTACCTCTGTAAAGCCAGTAATTTATCTTTTCCTCGTTTTCTTCACACCTACCAAGTAATCTGTGTTTTATGTTATGTATAGACTCCTTGCAAATTTGCTGCAGCCATTTGCAGTGTGCACTGCTCACTGAAATGTTTATTTAATAAATCCTCAAGGTTCACCCGCCTACTGCTGTCTGCAATTATGGATGGTCATCTAGCAATAACCTGGTATTACAAAGCACCTAATATGAGAAGCATACTGCCTAGCTTACTCAATACTGTTCGATCAGTTTTGATACCATATTGGTCATTGATTATAAATAAATATCTTTTTCAGGATTCAATATTTTCAGTTTATTTAATTACCGTCACAAACGATAGTGGCCATTATATGAGCCAACATTGTTTGTTGTTATGAGGATAAACGTGCTTAATAGTGTCCGATTTGTTTGTCGCAAACACATCGTTAAAGCGCCCGCTTTATATTGACGTTAATTGTATGCTTTGTTTGCAGACCAATTAGTTGATTACTGTACAGAGAGTCCCCCGAAACACTCTTTTTACGAAATGAAACATTGCAAATACTTGCTAATTTGAAGCAGTCACTTTTACAATGTTTAGAAAACATCGTTTGGTATCGAAATGATGTGTTAAATAAGCTTGGCACAGTGTGCACATTGTGTCGTCTGCTGAGGAATGCACTTATGCAGGGCGTTCGGCAAATATGTTGCGTCACCGCGGGAGGTTCGCGCCCGTTCTAGAGGTCGTGACTCATCTTCATATGTTTCTCGCGATATGTTAACTTATTCTCCAATCTCTGTACTTGTATATTGTTCAACTCTAACTTATTGACTAAGTTTTCCTTAACTAACTTAATACCAACTTCCTGTAGTTTTTTCACACTATCAAAGTGTTTAATACCTTTTTTTCCATAAAATTTTATATTCTGAATTAATATAACTATTTTATAGTAAAATTAAAAAAAGTCTTATATTATCCATATAGTCAGAAAAAGAGAACAATAATTTAATTAAGTTAAAATTGCAACGTGTCTCAAGCAGGTTGGTAAATAATAGCAAGAGTTCAGACACTTGTTGGACGGAACATGCTAGTCACGATGTTAATACTGATCTGTTCGGGTCATTGACATCAACACATGCATGGATTCGGAAATTACGCCTGAAATTATAGCTTGTTAGAATTCGCATTAAACAACACATCATTAGGTCCAAGCGTCTCCATAATTACTTGAAAACATAAAAAAGGTGATTAGATACAATTTTGATTTAAATAATATACATCTCATTTTGTTACTTATTTGTACTTAGAATGAGTCACAGAGTTTTGTTATGTCAACTCCCACGCAGGTTCGCATTACGCATGCGACGACGGTGAACACTCGTTCTTGGAATCGAACCTCGCTTGGATTCGCCTGTGGCCGTCAACTGTCTAACGACTTTTTGCGTTTTCAAAAACCTCAGGAGATATTTACATAATGTAATGGCTTGACAAGGTCTTATCACATTGTATATAGTGTTTTTATATTAAAGTATACATTATAAAGTCTTCTAACTGTAATTCCAAAATAGGTATACATCAGCTCTTTCCGAGGCAATGAACTCCCGAGTAGTAATAATAATTTTATAATTCAAAACAGAGATCTTATATTTAGTATGTTAATTCAAGTTACAACACTTGATTTTAAAATATTATCCAAAGTAACATATTTTTATCATGCATACTGTCCGAATTTAACGCACTATTGAAATAAATGTTTGTCACTGCTACATTCATAGGTGATCTAGTAGGTCTAACGTTTCAAAATAAAATACACTGTCGCAATGATGAGATCAACATTGATTTTTATTTTTATTGTAGTGGCTTGCCATGGTGTCAGTGTAGACTATTATTTAGGAAATAAAGAAGATGACGAAGGTTATAAGACACGTGCAAACCACAAACTTGATAATTCAAACCCGTTACCAATAACAAAAACAAAAGATGATGATAAAGTAAACATTTCTCTAGAAAACGCAAAAAGTACATCAGGGATTGAAGATAGCGACGAAGATTATGAAGAATATGACGACCTCACCGACATAGAAGAGCAAGTAGCAGAAAAATCTTTTAAAATAAAAATGTCGACAGACCAAAATGTTTTGGACTCTGATCCGGAAGATATCGAAATCGGTCATGATCCTGCTGTATTGCGGCTAAGCAATGACTTTGTTCCAGAATATGAGTCTAAAATGAATAAAACTATAAAAGTCATTTTTGAAGAATTTGGACGCCAAAGTGGTGAATCGAGAGCAGCACTTCCAATATTACATGATCAAAATAAAACCACTGAAAACCAAACAAATACAATTTTAAAACTTATTATATCAAAAAATTTCACTGACATAAAAAGTGATGCAGAAAAACTTCCACTTGACTTTTATAATTTAATACCAGCATCAAGTCTGTTAAATGACACATATTCGAATTTTAGTACTTTCAATATCCCTGAGAACATCTGGTACGTTCCAGAAAATTGTCCTTGTTGGAAATTACCTATCTTGTACGCCGAAACCGGTCAAGTTATGTCGTCCACCGATGTGTTTCTCATGAATCAAGGGACCTTAAAAAACGTTGAAGAGAATTTAAAAGAGCAAAATCAGTCATCAAGACCACATTTTGGGCCCGTGACGCAGAATATGAATAAGTGGTGTGCTGTGGGTCCTTGTTATGGCGACCACACTCTCTGTCTGTTTTCGGAAAGAGTCAATTCTAAGTTATGCAAGAATGGTTACATAGTTTCTACTCCTACAACAATTGAGCAGATAGGTTTAGTATATACTGTAAATTCAATGAGAAATAGTGTTGCTAACGGAGCATCAGAACAATATAAACATCTCCCAAAAGCAGCGGACATGAATCAAATAATGTACGACCTTGATTTAGAGAGTATGGCCGTGCATTGGCTTCACCAGTGCTTGCCAGGTCCTGCTGCGTGCTCTGCTCTCGATGGACACTATGTAACGCAATTGGAATGTACCAAATATGCGCGGCACTGTTGTATTGACTCATTTAAATCGGAGATGGCATCAAAGTGGTATGCATTTTTCCAATAATATAATTTTAGTTATTTTATATACACCAGCAACTGAATTACTCATTTCAAAATATTTTTACAGTATACCTCAATACGAATGTTACGTGGATCCTATCGTTGGCTGTATTCATTTGTGGTTCTCAAAAGCTGGTAGCGCTCTTACAACGACTGACGTAGAATGTGGCCATATAACACCTGCTACATATCATACAGCGCAGTTTCTGTGGGCAGAGACCAATAAAATAGGTTGTGCCTATGCGACAAAGGCAGACGGTGATATACGAGTCGTGTGTAATTTTGCTCCTGGTGCACCATTTCTTATTGACACGAAATATTTCTGTGGTTTCATTGCTCAATCGAAAATTAAGGCAGATTTTACTAAAGAAAATTTCACGTCACCGAACTTTTTGGCGACGCTCGGAATATCCCTGAATCCAGTGGTCAAGTGCGACTATAAGAGAAAGGAATTCACAAGTCGCCGCACTAATTACTCAATGAGATTTTCTGATATTGACATCCTTGGGTCAATTTATCAGAGAAAATGGATTCGATCAAAATTTAATGAATCCGTGAACGACACTATTGGTTTAGTTGCTCAGCTAGTGACGAAGTACTCATTTGTTGTAGACAGCAGCTCGCAATGCGGTTCGGGTGTATCTATCTATGAGAGCGGGGAGCCTGGCTCTAAGTGTGTTGAGCGAGGCAGGCGCTTCCACGCTTTGTGTTATGATTTCCGTGATCCTACTCCCGGATACAGGATAGTGGCTGTCCTGGCGCCGATAGCATTATTTTCTCTTATTCTTTATGACTTATTTAGTGGTGTAGTGCGTCAAACCAACTATTAATAGAACATCATTCAAGAACTTCTAAATCTATTATTTAATAAAACAAATAATTCACCTCGTAAGAAAGTATTTACTTAAGGCTTTCTTATTCGTAAGCACCTAGCTTACGAATTGAAAGACTACATGTCAACAAAACAAAAATTTTATTAACTAACTACATACGTAGTATAATCTTACTTATACTCGTATTGTACTACCTCTTTTTTATTTAAATGTCATATTCTTAATAACTCGTAATAAATTCATGTCGCGTAGAAGTTCCGTTTAAATGTAAATCAAAGTGTTGCTCTCTATGACTCATTGCACTTTGAAATATATTTTTACCTTACGCTTTACCTACGTAACATAACATAGAACGTGGGATTTTTTAGTATAAAGGTATTGTAAGAAATTATTCTCTATCAATTATAATAATTGCCAAGTATCTATAAGTTTGTACTTACTTATGTTGTTTTTAAGTGTAGCTGAAGAATCCAAGTTCGATAACAACAGTTGTAACATACTACCTAATTATCATAACCACTACCTATCACACATTGTTTAGGTTCAATGACGTCCAGTCGTTCATGCCAAACAGTCTGATGCGTTTATCTGTACATCAATTGAACTGCAGTTCAAGACGAATCAATTGTCGATATGACTGTCCTTATCAAAACATATTGATTTAGAATCAAGTGTCCAAGTGTCACCTTATAAGCGGAAAGTCATAGTGTGAAAACAAACTACAAATATGATATCTTCTGTGTGTTCATACGAATAAATAAGAATCTAATTTTAACTAACAGGCAATCCGAATAGGTTTTATGGCGCCTTTGGATAAATGTACATACGTTCCTTTCGACGAGATGATCTAGAACTCCTTCCCCCTTATTACGAAACAAGATTTATATTAGTCAGGTTTTGCATTTTGAATCTTATTCTGACCTACCTTTAATTTGAAAAACAAAAACTGGCTCAATGGGTTAGACCTAGACTAAATAAAAACCCTGTTTTGTAATAAGGCTGCTTAAATTCATCATTTGACGGCTTAAAAACGCTGTCCGAAATATAAGACCATCTCCTGTTCCACCTCCTCCTTCTATTGTACTTTTCGCAATTATTTTATAGCATACCAATAATGTTCGCTTGTTTGTTCTTGCTATTGACCTTAATAGAGATATCATAGCTTTACCGAGGCCCAAATAAATAGCAACGGAAGCTAGCGGAACGTTGATTAAAATTCCGTAACCTCCGACTTATAAGATTCATTGAAGCATTTAGCTTATCGCGTAACTATGCAGCAATGAACTCACGCATATCCGTGAATATTCGAATGTTTTTTTTTTATATTTCCTGAACATTGCGTACCCGGCAGATATTGTGTAGATGTTATTTATAAAACATTCAGATCATAAAATGAAGTAGCAAAGATTATTGCTTATAAATAAAAAAATCTATTTAACCAATTATAAACACAATTACAACAGGACCACCTGACTACTTCTTAATATTATAACAACGTGTAACCTTTAATCCACCAAATTATATACAACTGAATAATTTATCATTGAACCTATTCAGATAAACACTTGACCGTTTAATTGATTCAATGGACCAGACAGATACGTAATAGATTACTCTACAACATGAGGCATTTGAATAATTGAGAGACAACGAGGTTATTATAATTATTGCGTTAATGAAATTCTAATAGAAGATTTCGTTGCATAACTTGTCATACTAATTATATAAAACATGTAATACATAGAATAGAAGATTAATGAGTTACAAACCTGTTGTTATCAAGGACAGGACAGTGTATACCACGGCTAACATGCAATACTCCATACTCGATATTTTCGCAGTGTCTACTGAAGCGATTCGATGACAAATCGCACGTGCATCCGTATTCGATTTTCCGCCTATGTGCTCCTTCTTGACGTTACCCGTGCTCCCATATAGATCTGAAAACATTTAATGTTTCTTTTAGCGTTTTGTCCAACATGTGGTCTACTAATTTAATTGAAAATAGAAATTAAATAATCTATTAACTTAAATCTGATTTATCATTTTTGCTATTGATTTCTCAATACGTCGTGATCTTCAACATCATATCGATTACTCCGAAACGAATTAAGCAATTCTAATTATAAAATATTATAGTAATACCTATGAATTTCATTCCAACTGGAAGATTAATGTACCTGCAGCACGTTTAGGCACAGTTACTGTTGCAGTGAATTGGCGCACTTGTGTTATGTTCAAGGTCCTGACACGCTTGCTTAAGACCTTTCCCCAGTCTGGGGTTGGCTTTCAACCGAAAGCGTAGATACAACAATTGTGTAAACTCAGCATGCATGCATATGTACTATGTCAATAATATATAAGTACTATGCTTCGTATCCCTGCAGTATACCCGGTCATGTCAGCACACGCAAAGAAAATCGTTTTCCGCGGTATATTTTTTCGATTTGCACAACATATTAAAGCAAGTCGGCTGAAACGTAGGATTGAATAAAAAAATGTGTCGAGGTTTTACTTAGGACCTTAATAATAAATAGCGTTTTTTATTCAAGTACATAAGAAGATTGTATGCAAATCTAAAACGTTATAAATTAGTGATTTCGATATTGGACCTAAGGCTGTGCCTAAAATGGTCTTTTGTTTCTTTTAATTTTATGTAGATCATTTAAATAAAGTGTGTTTCTAAATAACACTGTAACTTGTATATTAACTTTAGGTATGTATAACTTTTCAAAATCTTGGTAGATATACCAAACTGGTACTAAATAGATCGTGAAAAATCGTACGAGTATAATAAACCTTTAAAGGTTATTTTATTTTATTCAAAATTGGTTACGCAATAAATTGCAAATGTATGCTGTGTTGTATAAAGTTATGTTTATCAACCGGTCTAACACGTTGTTTTATATTAATATTTTATTAACTTGACCTAGCCATGAATGAGACGTGAACTTACATAAATAAATTGAGTAGTTCTGTTTGGTACATTTAAACGAGTTCAGCCAGTGGTAAAGAAACGAGGTACAAAAGACCCGAGTTACAACACGCGGTTCAGTATTGCGTGTGGGCACTGGCTCAGTATTCAACCATGAAATAGATTATTTGAACATTTGTCTCACCATTGCAGTAATGCTTAACACAATTTTTCAACGGCTTTTTGTTGCTATTGATCCTACTTACACTCTTATTTGTTCTCGATGTTTCTTGAATCAATTTATCAGTGTTGCAAAACTTAATAGTTCCCTATCTTGTCTTGTTGACACAATTATGCTAATAATATTTGCGTACCGTAATTTCTAGTACTAAAATTAAGTAGACGTAGACGTTTGTCGGCATAAATAAAATAATGGCAAGCACTTTTCATTTTACAAGGTGATCAAGAATGTCAAGTTGTTGTCTCGTATGCCTGCCATTCAATGAAGTTTAAAATCGTTGTGACGGTTTGGTATTTCCGACCAGTTCTCAGACATAAATGTATAAACATACAAGCATAGTGTTTATAGGAATCAACGGTTTTATTTTATAGAATTCTAGTGGCCCGCCCCCGCTTCGCACGCAATTCGAATCGGTCGCGATTTCTCAACTTATCTTTCAGGAAAACTCTCAAAAAGTCTCTCCTTGCAATGACAATGAGGACTACAAAAGATTAATTGACAATATTGGGCCAGAGGGTGTTTATGCGCGCAGCGCGCACCAACATATTCGTCTTTATATTAAAAAAATATTCAATTTTAATGATTTTCAAAAATATTGCTTTTAATATACAAATTACTTACTACTAGTGTTACCTTACCTTAAAGTGGAGCAAGGTCGATAAAACTGTACAAAAAGCCTCAATTACTTACATGAATTAAACACTTTGTAAGTAATATTAAAGTAAGCTTTTTAATATAATTTTGGGAGAGGCTTATTTCTTGCAGACTTCATTGTTTTTAAACCAGTTTGGTCAGCGTAACTTTCAACACTGCATCGCGGCACTGGTTCGGTCGTTACATATTTTTTTTTTATTAAGGCAGGTTAAGGATGTTAAAAATGTGTTCCAAATTCACAAACATTAATATTATTAATACATCTAAGTTTTATATCAACGCTTGGATGTTCGAACAATACATTTGCATTGACAAGTTGCTCCAATAATAGTGTATAATGACACGTACACTACATTTTTATATAATTTATGTAAATTATTGCACATCGCAAGTGATGATTTCTTCAATACTATCTGTTCGAATGTGCGAACTAAATTAATTGCACAACAAATTCCACATAGTCGTTAAATTATATTTGGCAAGTTTAAGTCGGATCATACGAATACATAGTGTTGAAATATAATTAACATAATATGCACATTTTGCAGAATCGTGCATCTACAAATATCGAATAGCAATGAAAATGTTTGTGCAGAAGGTCAAAATGTTAAGCAATTGATTCCATTGTATCAGTGCAATGCTAGAATCGTTGTGATTGTATTGTTGCACTGCCTTGAACTAACACTGCATCCTGTCATTATTTTCGTGACATAAGCTTTACTTTAAAAAACAAAAAAAAGATGCCTTCTAATACACAATAGGAGGTCAAAAATTAAATTAGATCATTGTCCATTTATAAAAATTCGTGAGCCCGATAGATAGATATGTCACATGATTTTATGCAATCAGAGTCGTGCAATTAATTTTATTATTCATGCAAATATGTACATCACAAGTAAATCAATTAATATATGCATTGCATTGCATACAAATTAAAAATATTTCATATATTACGTGCTATAATCTCCGTGACGTATCGTCAGTAGGAACGAGAAATAAACAGAACCTAGTTTAAGTAATTACTACTTTAAAATATATTGGACATAGCAGCCAATATTTCTGTTACCTACTTGTTTATTCCTTATATGTACGTACTTATATGTACGTTACTACAAGGAAGTATAACAAATTCCATATCATATAAAATACAATTGGCCCTTCCCTCCTCAATCACCTATAACAAACTAGAGGCGAAGCTCTAATATTTTCATTGTAATTGAAAAATAAGAAGTAAATTTCGTCCCGCATCGCTAAGAAACAGAAGGCGATATAAGGGTTACAATTCCAAAATGTTCTTTTTATCATAACACGACCATTATTTATAAATAAGCATGTAACTAGTGTAATAGTTATCCAGAATTGTATAATCCTATAAGATTCTGTAAGACCCTGTTCTAGAATTGTTTAATGAGGCGTCGCGTCATTCGTATTGTCAAGTTCAGCCGCATTATATTGTGTAATATAGAACAATAATATGTTTTATCGTGGTTATGTTTCTCGTTCTATTAAAAGGAAATTCCTACTTCTGTGTTCCGCCTCCCTATTTCCCCAGGAAACGATCGCGACTGCCATGATTGTTGCGAGCAAGCATAATATCGTAACAGGAATGCTGTCACTTTGATTATGCCAATCGAAGGCTAACTATAATAAATATTAAGGTCGTGGTTATGAAGGTTAAGCTAGCATTATATTACAAAACTATCGCTGAAACTTCTTTATTAATATTTGATAACGCAATACCAATCTTGCTTATCGAATCATTCGTTGAAAACGTATTGGACTGGAACTGGAATCCAGATTTATTTGCATAATATGGACAGACACGAGAATATCTTACGATGACGATATTTTGATTATTCAGATTAGGCACGGCCAACGACAGTGTCAAGGACTACGCAAACAAACAGAATTAGTTACCATGTTATGGAAAAAATATTTAGCAAATATTACATCACCACTTATTGTAATTATATAGCCGTTCTAAATTACGACAACACACCCAGACGAATTTGTGTTAATGGCAACGTAAGATGTATTGATAATAAGTAATTAAACATAATACACAAATTATTTATAATATACATTTAGGATTAAGAAATAATAATCATCTAATATAAATAGAAATAAATAGAAGAACTAATACAATATATATAAATATTGTATGTAAGCAGTTTACGTAATAATGTATGCGTTTTAGGGGACAACTACGTTTGATTTTAATTGTAAACATCAAACATTACTTGATTCGCCTTAATACTTCATCTTGCTTAGATTCAGAGTTGAAACGATGTTCAAACACAACAAAACACGTTCATCAAGTAAAATTGTTTTAAGCAAACGATATTGTAATAACAATACAATACTACTACTTGTAGACATATTATCGAAATATTTTGACAAGGTTGTCTACAAATCTAGCTATTCTCATTGAACCAGAACTTAGTACTATGTAATAATGAACCTATTCAAATAAACACTAATTAACAAGGCTATGTAAGTTCATGGAAATTCAGTTCAATATCGCTTTACGATGACGTTTGTTTACAAAATAAATAGAATTTAATTAAAGCAATAATTAGTGATACATATTTAACCTTACGCCACATGCAGTAAACAGTACCTAATATTTAAACGTGTAGTTAAGTACTTGTATCAATTTAAATATAAACTCATTCGTATTTTATAATAAGTCGCAAGATTGCAATATCAATGAATTAAGTTATAATCATGCATGCATAATATAAGTAGCTATCATACATAATAGTTCGGTAAGATTTATGTAAGACAATCCCTGACCTTCTCTGCACACTCTATATGATCGTTATTTACGTTTTCAATTGCTAAGTTTTGCAATACTTGGCATTGACTTTAATTCTTCAATGAAATCATTGTTAGTTTAATGTTCTACCTTCGTACACTTTTCACTCAAGGTTAATTCTGAATTTTACGTATCCATTCAGTTTTTGATGATAATACGAAGCGGTTGAAGCCTGGTCTAATTGTAACAAATTGCAGAGTACGTATTTGTAAATATGGGTACCAAAGTTGACAAAGCACTCTATATCACGCCAAACAACATCAGTAGGTCTAATTATACTAATTTTAGATTTTGTTTACAAGTTTTTCAACTTGAAAAACCGGCTTGGTCTGCAGTCTATTAAAAAATAAAAATAAATTAATTTCGCATCATTTTCGCTTACTACTTACTTGGCCACTGTGTATACTTTTACATAAATTGAACACAAAGAAGTTTTTAATACATAACAAAAAACATTAATGTTTCACACAAGTTTTCACAGCCTAGATTTCGTAATTAAACACGTGCGTTCGTTATGTTCCGATCTTGATTAAATATCTGCACGTGTGCCCCCGTGCAGAGTCGACGGCTGACTGGCCGGCCAATGCCAAGACAATAGTTCAGACATTTCTCGCGCAAGGACTTGTGACATAGAACGCACCGTAGGGCGCTGACTGCGCAGACGCACGACTAATCAGATTCGAGCTTGTCGCGTGGTCGCGACCGCGCCTGCTCTTGTTAAGCAAGAGCTGCGGAAACTATCTCGAAACGCTCAGCTTAGTGTAAAACATTCATTGCATAGAAACTGTACATATCAAACAGGATTTAGGTACTTACGTTACCCAGAAAACTGTAAAACGTGTTAGGTATAATTATTTTGTTTTTCTTCTGCACCTACGTATTATATACTTGTAAACATAAAACAAATAACATAAAAAATGGTGTTGTTTTTCGGATAAGCTAAATAATTTAAATACGATCAATTTGTCTGTTTGGTATAATATCATTTATGTAAATACGAATTAGAAATAAATATATTCGGAATAAACACATTTAAGTAGTATTTTCAATTAACCAGTTTTAGTCTGACAAATCGACCAAAATAAACAGATACAACGCAATTGGGTTCAACAAACAAACTAATCCAACTCACAATTCAAGATACCGAAAATAACGTAGATGTGCATAAATAAAACAGCACTTAAATTATCAATTACTGAGTAGTAAATAAATCCCATTGAATCAGATGCGGCTACGCTGACGGAATGCACGCTGACACGACACGCTATTAGATCATTACTCTAAGCGCTGTCATCCGGCTGGCATTGACAATCGAGCAATTGACTCGTGAACCGTCCGTATCGCTGCAGTCCTGTCCCCCACCAGACATGGCAGTAGCTGAAGCTATTAAACAGTTAACTCAACACGATACTCCAATAACTCCAAGAATGTTGGCCCAATTAGAAAACTAATTACTCTATCTTGTTTGAAAGAAATCCACATCATCCGAGCTTTCATCTTTGGGCTCCCTCAAACATTTCATTGTTGTGATAAGGCATATAGGATTAGAAATTCTAGTCATGATCTAGTCTATAGCTGGTTGCTTTGAGTTTTTTATCAATGGCTTTATATGTATTATGGCTGTTGTCACATTGATAATGTGTGAATCGATATGATTTTTATTAGAGATCATCCTAGCAGGATTTGGTCCTCTTTCTTCGGTTATCAAGTATTGTAAGTCCTTGCTGGTCTTTTAAATTAACTCTTGGTAGATTATACCTTTTACGTACAGGTTCATGTTTTATTTAGTTGATGTTTCCATATTTTTTGTTTTCTGAATAATTTCGGTACCTGCGAATAGGTAATTGTTTGATATGGACACTGATACTTCACTGGTGTTTCCGATGATGCGGTTGATCTTAAAGATCTACCCACGTTCGCCATCGACAAACGCTCTTTGAATGAAAACATTTTGTAGGTTTATTTATTTGGCAATTAATTTATATAAAAATAAGTGCCTCCTTACAGAAAAGTGTGGGAAAATTTGCTAACTGCTGCTTCGTTTTACATTCATGATATGGCTATTCTCGTGCCTAATGTATTCATTGCCACATTTGTAAACAAATTCGGTTTTGCATTGACAATGACACATTGTTACATAAAACTGCTTATTTGATCCTGGTGTTATTAAATAGAATTTATAATTCCTGACACAGTATTTTGGGTACAAAGTACAATTTTGACTAAACCAGTATACGTGCTTCACTTAACATCCTACTGTTCTTATTGACGCAAAAGTTTGTAAAAAATGGAGAAATGTTTATTAATTTTTCACGTCAAATGGATTTGAACGTAAAACGACGATTCGAATGAAATCTCTGTCTCTCTCTCTCTCTCTCTCTCTCTCTCTCTGAATCTATCTCTGAGATAGATTATAGTCTGGTACATACAACACATGGAGGTAATCCCAGGAAAAAGTACTCCATGTGTGTTGTGTGGGCAAAGCCTCTGGGAGAAGTTAGCTAAAATATAATACGGGTATAAATCTAACAATATTGGAGAAGTTGTCGATTTTCAGACACTAGCTTAGCTCAAATAAAGTATATAATCCTTGTTAAAATTACGAGGCCCATATTCAATCGATTTTCAGGCAACTAAATAATGATTACAGAATCGAACGTTGTACAATGTAACAAATTGGCACAGCTTATGTAACCGTGAAAGTGTATTGTAATTCATCAAGTTATATTAACGCGTGGATATGTGCCACGCATCGCTAGCGAGGCACACTCGTTGTATTTTAATTCTGCTCCTCACATGTGGAGGTTGGCTCAGATTCTCGTTCGTTGGAAGGTGAAGGCCTTACAGTGAGCGGACTAAGGATTTAGTGCACAGGTGTTCAGCTGCACCAGTCGTTACTTATTTCTGCTTTGCACACATTATGTTGTGAATTTCATAGTCGCAGCAGTTGCTATAGGATAATAAGATTAAACTGACACACGAATACAGCACAAATTAGTATATTGAATGCCAAAGTTACAAAATGACACATAGATGACATGACAAATTTCCTGGATTTTCGTTTAATTAATAACAAATATTGTTTACCCGCTTGTGCAGATATATATATTAAATTGAATCACAGCAAAACTCTAAATTAGATATGACTCATAATTTTATTATACCATAGGTATCTACAAATATTAATGTTATGTTTTCCTAGTGAATCACATATCCTTACCCTCTATTCGCTAGCTTCGTGGCCCGACTGCAGCTTACAAATTAGTAATGATGACAATTCATTTAGATGCTTCCGCTACGTGATTGTTTTCCTTCGCCGTTTGTTACTTAACACGTTAAATCATGTTTTGGATCGATACTACAGAATGTTCTAGTAAAGGTTGGCTTAATAATATGTTTAGAATAATTTGCTACCTCTATTTATCTTAGGGCCTACAAAAACTTATTAGATAAAAATTCTGTAACTACAAAATTCACATAATCTTTCCAATACTTTTATTAAACATGATGCCATAACGTACTTATTAAATATACCTATCTGTTCTTGTTACAGTTAACAGACATAGTGAACGCAATGTCGACGCGCGGTGAGCTGCCCCTAGAGCTGGCTCTCCGGGGGCGAAGCTCCTCGATAGCCACGACGTTGCTGCAGCACTGCGCAGACGCGGACGCAAGGGGCCCGCGCGGCCGCACCCTATTGCACCGCGCCGTGGACTCCAGAGACGCCTTCTCCGCCAAGTTCCTCGTCGATAATGGCGCTGACCCTAGTCTAACTACCAAGTTAGTAGCTGTGCATTTAATTTGTATCATGTGCTAAGATTATTCTTAAGCATAGTCGCTTACCTGTCATCTGCTTTAAATAATCTTGTCATCACAAGTTTATGACAGCTATAGATGCTCACTGCCTATTAACTACGTGATTGATATCGCTTATGATTTCATCGTACGTTTCTCTCTGTCCAGAGAAGAGGGTGACACTGCGCTGCATTTGATAGCATCACTCACGTCCAGTTCGTGTGACGAAGAAACCATGGAACAGATGGCTGAGATCGCTGAAGTGATGGTACAAAAAGGAGCTGATATAAACAGACAAAATCGAAAGGGATTGTAAGTACAAACGTCTTCTTCAATATGATCTAATACTACACGATCTAACGCATTCGTCCCGCGTACGTCGATTACGCGCATATTTAGTGAACGTGCCACATGCATTTAGAATATTGCTCGTCCTTTTTAAAATTGATTTATTGCCCTTTGACCAAATTAGTTGTATTACGGCGCCCTTTTGTCGCCCAAATGTTGTAAAATAACATTTCCTTTTTAGCACGCCACTCCATCAAGCAGTGATAGCTAGAAACCAAAGAATATTCGACATACTTCTCAAGCAGCCGACGTTAGATACCAATTTACGGACTTTGAGTGACGAGCATCCACCTCTGTACTACGCGCTAGTGGACGACAGGCGGGCGTCTATATCCTCCAGCGAGACTTTAGTAATGAATGGGTCCAACCCCTTCGATACGCCGGTGACGAACAAAAACGCCTTCACAGAAGACCCTGTGGAGGGCAAAACAGAAAGTGTGGTCGAAAGAGGTTTCGCTGCCAAACTGCTGGAGAAAGGTTGTCAGCCGAACCCGCTGTATTCGGGGGCTGGAGACAGTCTATTACATATTCTTGCTCAAGGATGGTTCGAGGTAAGCATGAATCTACCGCAAGTAATTTCATAATATATCTTTCCAAGTGTAGGAGAGCTATGCTTCGGCACGCATTGGCTGGTTCGATTGGAGTGATACCACGGCCTCATAGAAAACTCTTGCGTTATGTTTTACTGTGTGCCTGCGGTTACCAGACTAGGCTGTATCCTAAAATCTTTGACCTCTGAGGGTCCGGGATCTCAAAGTCGTCCGTACGTCGATGCGGGTGCTTCATAAAAAAATCAAATAAGTCTTTCACAATTAAAGTGCAATTCTTAAAGCAATATGAATACAAAATGGATTATTGTTGCAAGGAATCAGCAGTGTTCCTGGTGTCCCACCTGAACGGTGAGCTGAACCACAGTAACGAGGCAGGCATGAGTGCGCTACACGCAGCCTGCGCTAACGGGCTCGCGCGGCTCACTGCCGCTCTGCTGGAACATGGGGCCAGGCCTAACTTGCAGACAGCGTATGGAGAGCAAGAAGACACTGTTTATAGGTAACATTCATATAAATTTAGAGACATATACAATTATTAACCTGATAAGTTTCAAGCTGTAGCTTGAAACCAAGGACATAAAAGTCATAACTAACACTGTGCACCAATATATAAATATATGAAGGCACCGGGGGGTTGGTACAAACATCAACAACCCGATCATCGTCTTCACAGTCCATCGCAGGGCGTAGGATTTTATAATCAGGCCGAATAAATTACAAAAATAACGGACGTCGGCGATCCGTCTCGGATGACAGTCACAGCGCTCGCTCTCCACCATAATGCGCACGCAGAACTGCCAGTTTGACGTTCCGCCAGAGTACGATTTATGGTACCCTCGTCCGATGAATTGTGATAAAACCTCCTTCAAAATTCAATTTAAATAATCGTCGCTCCGACATATATATATTTTGAATCTTATTTTCAGACAAACGCCACTACACTTAGCAGTACTGAACAACCACGAGGGCGCAGTACTGGCCATCATAGAACATAAGAAGCTGATAGAGAAGGGGGACATGCCAGCCACCGACCGAAGCAACACCAGCCTTTTGCCCAACCTTAACTTAAAGAATTCCGAGGGAGACACACCCGTTAGCTTGGCGCTCACTGAAGGTGAGAAAGTAACTTTGCATATAAATATTTCAGACCTAAAAAAAAAACAATTAAATATTTTTTTTTGCCATAGAGGTTGTAGTTTATCACTATTTTTTTAAAAGAAATAAATACCTAAACTAGTAAAACTATGAATTTCGCCTTCTTATTTTAAACATTTCATATCTATCTTCTCATAAATTATGTGCCAAAATGCTCTATGAAATGAGTGTTGTAGATAGGTTCTTACATAACTCTGATACCGATATTTCAGGTCACAAAAACTTAGTGGCGCCGTTGATCGAAGGCGGTGCAGATCCCAACATAAGGAATGGCAAGGGATTCACATTGTTACATCAAGCTATTGTAGAAGAGGATTCTAGGACAGCCATATACTTGCTCGACCATGGAGCTGATATGAACGCACTGTAAGTATAGGAGTAACTTGATTCAGTAACTAGCGAGTAGCACTGTTAGTGCTGATGCCCCATGATAAAAAATATACCTATGGGAACCCACGGCCTCATATAAAACCGACATGAAACCACAGCATTGTGTTTCGCCGTTGAGTGAGGTTACCGGATGCCCAATATTCTTTCCTTCCACTTTCCTCCCCTATCCCTAAATCCCAGAAAAGTCTAATCCCAAAACGGCCAGCAACGCACTTGAACTGCTCTAATGTAGCGGGGTCCTATGGGCGGCGCCGATTGCTTACCATCAGGTAATCCGTTGGCCGTCAACTTTATGACAAGAAATAGTTTGAACTTCACGAACTCCTTGAGGTCCAATTAAGTTGACAAGTGTAGTATTTTTAACCGCAAATCAATAAATAAACTTTGTGTAGCAGGGTAGTCATTATGCCCTTTTAATGCGTCGGTAGTATTTGATACCCTTTACGACCGGCCCGTCCCACTCCGCCGAGTGCTATGCGCCTTAAGGAGATTAGGATATTGGATAAGCAAAAATAGCCCTTATGTAATGGTTATTATGGTTTGTTTCAGCACGGAGGCCGGCGAGACTCCCCTGCAGCTGGCGATTCACTGCCGGCTGGGGCTGGTGGTGGAGGCGCTGTGCGTGCGCGGGGTCGACATGAGCCGCCTCGACGCCAACGGGGTGCCGCCGCTCTGGGCCGCGCTCGACTCCGGACAGGAGGAAGTCGCTAGTGTAAGTACTTTTAACTTATGCTACATTAATATGATAAACGTAAAACTTTGTAGGCACGGATGGATGTGGTCACCTCTCAACATCTCTGGTTAATGACACAAAGTCTAGAATTGCATAGGCTACTTTTCATGCGGGAAACGCGAATGAAGTTTGTTAGTCGTGTGAAGCTTGTACACAAAATATTATAATTAAAATCATTTACGGCTCTGTAGCAAGTTAAATGTCGATGATCTCTGGGTCTCCAGATTCCCCGACAAATGGTCTATCCAACACAAAATAATTTTTCAATTCGAAATAGTGCAATCAAGTAAAACAAAACAAACAAACTCTTCAGCTTTTTAATATTAGTACTTACCTATACATATTATCTATTTATATTACACAGGTGCTAAAAACTTTCCTGCTCAATATTCTAAGTATTTCCATATTGTGTAGATCCTGGTCAGGAATGGTGCGGACGCAGACTGTTGGGGGCCAGGTCCTGACGGCTGCATACAGACGTTGTTACACAAGTAAGATATTATCATTTATTTATTTACAGCTTACGCCAACACTTAATTCAAGAAAAATATTTTCAATGATATATTAAGATAAAAATAGTAGGAAGAATGTAAGTATATTACAGTATCTATTTATTTATATTAGTGTTTCTATATTTATTTATACATAATTTGTATGTATTATTAGTTTATGTAAGATTATATTGTTATTGAATTTGTTTAAATTTATACATTATTATATTGAGTCTTTGTTTTAGTCTTTAAAAATTTTGCTGCTTGCGCTCACCGTTTTTACTCATCTCTGCATCACCCAAAGGTCAGACTGGTAGATAATGCCTACGGCATTAAGTCCGCCTATGTACAGAAACTTGTGTGCATAAAGCTTAATAAATAAATAAATAAATATATTAAGTTAAAAGATTTAAAGAAAAACAAAAAAAAACTGTTCATTATAAATCAATAAATCACTGTATCTAATGTTTGTATTGTTTTTTTTTGCGATTTTGCACATCTTTTGAACTGTTTGTGGCTAAATAAGTAGCTATTGCTAAAAATAAAAAAAAACTATTGAGAATGTCAATCAGGCTCTAGAAAGAAAATTTATTTTTTCTTTTAAAAAGCATTGTCTGCGTATATGTATTAGATTGTTGTTTTTGTATTTTGAAATCAAAATTTTGTTATCTGAAAGTTATCTTTTTGTTACACCTGCTATACTTTCTATGCATCGTCCTATGGTTCACTGGTAAGAATGCCTATGGCGTTTAGTCCGCCGTTGTAATGTTATGATTTAAACACCCCTCGTTTATCTAGGTATACTATTCGCTATGTGCGAAGTGAGTGGTAGGGAACGGCAAATCGATCGTAGCGCACGACGTGGCAGAAATGTGAATTAATTCTGGACTGTCATGTGTCACATTGCTTAGTTTTCATAACTTCCTTCATAATTTTAATTAAAAACGTAAAAATTTGCGATATGGGTCATAGTACATGCTGTGTCGTAAATTATAAAAACAATGGGACAAACAGTTCGTGCAAGTTTTATTCGTTTCGTTACCAACATTAAAGTGGACATTACAGCAAAGACAAAAATGGATAGCTGCTGTAAAGAGAATTAAAATTCAAATCCCGTACGTATTAAAATATCTCACTCACTTTTTACACTATTTTTTTCAATTTCGTTGAAAAACTAGTCGAAAATCAATATCTTATCATCCAGTTGACATGATTTGACAGATGACAAGTCCTGAATAGTTGCGGCCACTAGGGGTGCTGTCATCGCGCACACAACAAGTACTAATAATTAATTTGTTGAACAGAGCAATAGACGAGAACAAGGAGTCGCTGGCGATGTTCCTGATTCGGTCGGGTTGTGACGTGGAGTCCCCGCGACGTCTCGGACCGGCCGGCGAGGGCGCTGAAGTAGCCAACGAAAAACATTCCCCACTACATCTCTGCTGTACGTGGGGACTTACTGATGTTATACAGGTATACCATTACTGATATTATTCTATACTTCTTTTTTGTAGGGCAAAATTGTCAATTGATTTTCTTGTCCTGTGTGAAGTGAGAAGAAGTGTCAGACTTTTACTGACTAAAACCACATAATGTCAGCTTTCATTTCAAATGTCATGTGCATCCCGCCTTATCATTGGGCGAGTTGCACATTTACACAAATTAATAACCACTTTTCAACTTGAATGTACAGCCGTCCTTTACCGGATACAAACCCAGACTCCGTTGTAATCTTAGTTTTTGACGGAACTAGTAATGGCCTTTATTTTAATACTATAACGTCTACCTACCTACTTTTAAAACAATAGACTTATTTCACAGTTTAAACTTTTTAAACAATTAAACGAATTGCAATCATAATAATTGCAAAGTTAAAAAAAAAGATAGGGTGGTTCCTCATTTGGCTGGCAACATAGTGATGTCCCATGTCGATCGATTTTTCTCAGCTTAACACAATTAAACCATATTCTTATTCGACAGACTCTCTTGGAACACGGCGCAAACATAAACTCTAAGGACGCGGAAGGCAAGACGCCCTTACACATAGCGATAGAGAACCAGCACGCCGGTATCATCACACTGCTGCTGTCACAGCCGGGCATCGAACTGTCCGCGAGAGATAATAAGGGAGTGTCGCCCTTCGCGGCCGCGCTCACTGCTAGGAATAACAAGGCAGCTCAAGCTATTTTGGAGAAGAATCCTTCAGCTGCTGAACAGGTCAGTCGCTTGAGAAACTGCTGTCATGTATCGTTTTTCTTCCAATGCTGTAGTTATACTGTAATAATAATGCTGTATGGTGATGGATCCTATGCCTATGTTTGTGTTTTTCCGGAGTTCCAGACTAATCTAAGCATATCTGTCCCAAATTTTATTCAGATCTAAGTAGTTTTTGCGAAAAAGAGGAATAAACATTTCTTAAATAAACTCTACCCCACACTATGATTTTCTTCTGTATCGCGGGTGCGTTTACAAACATACAATTTCATATACACACACCCACACCCGGAACAACAATTGCTTCATCACACAAAGAGTTGTTCCGGGCGGTAATCGAACCCGCGACACTTTGCGCGGCAGTCAGTTGCCCAGCCACCGCGCAGACATACTTACATTCTTTTAGGAATTCTGTCAAGCCACAACTTTTTGTATTTCGAGTGGTATATACTAAACTATATGTCTGGGCATTTTTATCAAAATCAAGTAAATTAAATTTCAGGTCGACAAAAAGGGTCGTAACTTCCTGCACGTGGCGATCCAAACGTGCGACGTGGAGAGCGTGATGTTCCTACTGTCGGTGGAGGTGGACGTCAACTCGCGCGTACAGGACGCGACACTAGCGCCCCCACTACACCTCGCCGCCGCCACCGGGCACGAGGTGCTGCTTAGAAGTCTGTTACTGGCTGGAGCCAGGCCTAACGATCGAGATGCACACAAGTATGATGCCTATGCTTTTAATAATAGAGTTCATTTTATGAGTAAAACTTTTATGACTTCGGTATAATTTAAAAAATATTTTTAAGTTTATAAATTTTTAGGGTATGATGGGATTGACAAAATAAGTTGTTCAGTTTTATACTAATGTTATGCGATGATAATTATGATCTTACTTCGCCAGATTAGTACTCATAGACAACATTACGAAAATTGTAAATAAAGAAAAACTAAAATTGTTTGCTTTTATTTAACGACCTAAACTGATAGACAATAGGTAATAACGACCTAAACTAATAAACCATAAATATCTAATTGTTAATAAAATAATAACTTAATAAAAAAAATTGAAATAGATAATAGTAGGAAACCAACCGATGCTGCAATATCAGTAGATGGTAGGAGTTCTAATTTGTGTTATGTACAACTTTACGTCTTTTCCGTGTCGTTTGCGATTGGGAAGTTGCATGAGTGATATAACGTGTGAGTATATGAAGTTCCGTTGTGAGTGTAGACGCACGGCGCTGCACGTGGCGGCGGGCGCGGGGCACGAGGCCATCGTGTCGGCGCTGGTGTCGGGCGGCGCGGAGTGGGCCGCCGTCGACGCGGCCGGGGACAACGCGCTGCACGTCGCCGCGCGGGACGGGCACGCCGCCGCCGCGCGCGCGCTGCTCGCCGATACAGACATCGACGCCGCCGCCACCAACCTCAAGGGTACGCTCCATGTTGACAAATTATATGTTTCACGTTCTGTAACGTGCTGCGTCGGAGAGATTATACAAACAACTATATATTTATTTACATTACATACAATCGCAGTGATATTGATTACACGCATAGATCTAGCAGTGGACATGTATAGTACGTATACACACTATAGTTACTGTTCAAAGTACAAGCTTGCGAACCGCAGTCGGATCTCCAAAATTTTAGAATCCGTCGGTAATAGAGGTTACAATGTAAGAACAGGTGACGAATTTGTAAATACATCATTTTCTTGCGGAGGAAATACATCAAATTACTATTTTTGCCTAGGAAATGGCGACTAGCTATAGTGTCACTCTTACTGAAAACCTCCTCGTTACTTCTCCTAGACGAGACCAAAGTCGCGGTACTTATTGCGCTTGACACGCTTTCAGTTTTCAAGCGTTTTTTTGAATTGATTACCTCACAATTAAACCGAAATTATCTATTCAGGTAGAAATCCACTGCACGAGCTATGCTGGTGTAAAAAGGACAACGCGGCTACAATCTGCGAAATATTCCTAGAATTTATGCCCGACTACCCGATCAACAGGACTGACTTACAGGTACATGCATTGTTTTTTCATCGCTTGAAGCGCTAAAGTAGCATAAGGTTTACTGACTAACATATTATATGTTACCTGACTAGGTATATACCTATGATGATATGTCTTCAACATTCACGTCATCTTGTTCCAGGGTAACACACCGCTCCTATTAGCCTACATGAATGGTCAGGGCGCGATGTGCCGGGTCTTAGTGCGGGCAGGCGCATGTCTGGCTCAGGAGAATAAAGACGGAATATCTATTTTCAACTATCAGGTAAGTGGCGTTTGAAATTCGTAAAAACTTAAAATATAAAAAAGAATAATCTAAAGGTAATGCCACTTTTGTTCAGGTGGCTACGAAACAATTGCTGCACCGCCTTCTAGATGTTTTGCCAGCCGAGGCGCCCTGGGCAGAAAGCGATTTGTGCCAGGAGTGCGGCACTAAGTTCACGCTCACCATGAGGAAACACCATTGGTATGATTTAATAGATTGTCATAGGGTACTTATATCATGATTATACCATAGTACCTACCTTGATATTAATAGTGAAGGTACATCATCATCAGCCTATAAGTGCCCACTGCTGAGCAAAGGCTTCTTCTCAGACGAAGAAGGTTTGAGCATTAATCACCAAGCTTGCTCAATGCGGGTTGGCGATTTCTAACTTACAATTAGAAATTATAAGTCCAGGTTTCCTGACGATGTTTACCCGTATGTCATTGGGATCTAAATAACCATAGTAAGTACGTATAGCTCGGAAAAAGTCACATTGATACTTGCCAGGTTTGGAACCCACACCCTCAATCCTCATGTATGAGAAGCGGGCGCCTTAACCTCGGGGCCACCACGACCTCAAGGTGCACCTCTGTTTAATTAATTTCTTATTAGCAATATGTTACGTTTTCCCAGTCGTCACTGCGGCCGTATGCTGTGTAACAAGTGCTCCAACCAAGATGTACCGATCCTCAAGTTCGGTATGAACAAGCCCCAGCGGGTCTGCGAGATATGCTTCAACGTGCTGCAGGTCGGCGCGAGTTAGTGACTGGAACTTACGGCAGCCGAATATTTGATACAGCGTTTGTGCGCTAATCCGATCTCTGCTCCTCCCTGTCGGACGTATTATACCCAAATCGACTTACTGGCGCGTGTCCATTGAGTCCTCTCATCATGAGAACAAATGTACTCAATGAAAACACGTGCAAATACGTCGGCTATGTCGGCACAAGCGGGCTCTATGCCCTATGAGAACCACCCACTTCATACACTATCAGCGGTGAAATAGTACTTTTTACTCTACTTAGTCATATGGCTAAATAAGAATTTTATAAATTTTATTGCAATAAAATATAAGTAATAATCCCGTTACTAGAACAATAGCTCATAACTTCGTTAGCCTTCAGAGGCTAAACAATTTCTCCTTGCTTCTTAGTTGTTAACTTATATGATTTCCCAATATTGATAATCTTAGATTTTAATATATAAATGCCTACGCCTTTTGACTCGATAAACGACATAAAGCCACAGACAGCGTGACTTCTTGTCTGTGAAAGGATAGATAGCAATATGTTATTTTGTACTAAAACATTGATACGAAGCTCAATGTGATTTAGTTAAGCTCGTAAGGTCACAGTTAACGTTTGGAGTATACTATGTAATGCCTAGAATGTAATTTTTACAAGCCAAGAGCGCGTCCATTAGATAATAATGTAACGAAAACATAAAATTTGCTTAAAATAGTGCCTCTACACTTATTACACGACACATGTTTAGGCTTCTTTTACAAAATTATACCAAAGTTTTATGTGCTTTCTTTTCCGACATGTCTAGCTTTAACTAAAATAATTATAATATTGGTTTATATTATATTGTTACATATTATTGTTCAAATTTTATAATTCGTATGATCACACATGAAACTGTTTCGAACTTTCGAAAAATAAAACACTACTCATCTCACAATCGCTGTTTCATGATGTGCATGATGTTTAAAATTCGTTCCCTATTTTACGTGTGATCATTATAAGGCCACAATCTTATTCATAAATACAAATCAACTTCAGTCATAGAATATTTCAGTCAGTTGCCATTGACTAAAGTATTCTGCAACTAATGGGATTATTGATCATTTTTGAGTAGGATGGTAATACTTATAATAACAAATAAGCATTTTTCATAATTTTAAAGTCAATTTTAATTACTTTAGCTGTAGGATTTTTTATAGAAACTGAAATGTATTCTTTTATTGCTTAGAATAAGACAACTACGTAATATACATTTACATTTTGTAAAGGTCATATTTAATAATTTTTGGCATTTGTATTGACATTCCGATTATTGTGCACAGGTTTATGGAAATACACTCTGTATAAATGTTACTAAAATACTGGGTTTATTTTATTGAGTGCCATCTTACTTGTGATGTTCCATAACTGAAATTCTTATTGAGATTTATTTTTTTATTGAGTTATTACGAATTTATTATTTCTTGTTCAAAATTTTATATTTGCATTAATAAAATTAATAAAAATTATGTATATAATTATGCAAAATGGTTTTTATTGCTTACAATATAAATACTTTGCATGATAAATAAAAGGCGAGTATTAACGGCGATTATTTATTTACAAATAAACAATAAGTTCAACTCTGCGATCTCCACACTTGGTACATAAATAAATTTGCTAAAACTACATCTACCCTTTGTACCAAAGTATACTATGAAAGCACACATTGTGTAGCATAATAATGGTAGTTTAGGTGGCAGTTCAGGGCAGGAAATTAAAATTAAATTACTTTAGCCTTTTGAAGAGGTCCTTTGTCACGCAGTGATCAAGGACATGCAGATAGTCAATGAGTTCCTCTTCGCACGTCTCTGTGGTCTGAGAACGGGAGTTGACGCGGTCATTGCACTCCTGGTACTTTGACCATAGGTTCTGCGCATCAGACTTCTGTGAGCACACCTCCTGGAATTACAAAGATATGATCAGTATTTGCACTTGAGCAATGATAATGAATATTGAATGATTGCATTATTATATGAATATATTTATAATGTTATACCTATATTTAGAGTAAAAAAGAATGATTTAATGACATTGATTTGAATGTACTAAAGGAATTCTACTACTATTATAAACAAGATATCTGTAAGATACTCCTTTACATAAAAACTAGTAACAAAATATGAATGAAATTAGAGTCTACTTTTCACCATTGCCGGTAAATCTCCTGGCAGGTGCCAGTAACTAACTAAATTCAGCAAAGGAAAATTACGTTTTAGCAGTAACAACCTAAAAATAAATTAAAATAACATAAACCTTATCATTTTAATAGAACAAAATGGATTCTTGGTACATTCTTTTCAGTCTCTAAAAAAGGAAAAAAATAAATATTAGCATCAGAGGTTTTTTTTGAAAGCTTTAGGTGATGAATAACTATAGATAATATAATAATATTATCAATTAAGAAAAAAAGATAATTGCTTCAACCCCAATATCTGCCATGGAGTGATCAGAACTGTATCTGTTTCCAAACTCAGGTGCAGAATATCAGATGGACAGCTGATATCCTGTGTTTTAGGATGGATTTAATTTGCCCACTTTTAAAAACATGTCTTGATATATGAATCAAACTTGCGTTGGGTAAGTGGGTTTTTAAATGATTCCATTTGAATGCAGTGAATGATGTATGAAGACTATCTTAGTTTGCTATGGTTTCATTGTCATTAGTAAAGAATATTTACATAATAATCATATTACCTATTGGTAAGTAATTATAACTATTATAAAATTAAAATTTAGAAAAAACAGGCAATAAATCAAGTATTCCTTTAAAAAGTAATAATTAAAAGAAAACGTGGTGTTGGGGACCGATCCATACGGTTGGGGGTCTAATTTATATTTTTATTTTGTAAACTTTTTATCAATCATCATGATCATCATCAACATTCTCTTTCAGTGTGCTTTCATTTGAGACCCCACTCGAGTGTATTTGCAGACCTTCGGTTACCCTTCCCCACATACCCCCCATAACTTCTAAACGGCTCAACCGATTTTCGTCAAACATGTCTAAGAACACTGGCACGTAAGTTACCTTTAATACAAAAAAACAATTTAATTGAAATCACTTCACCCATTCAGGCTCCAGGATGTCACAGACAGGCAGACAGACACGTCTAACTTATGACACCCCTCTTTTTGTGTCGGGTGTTAAAAAATGTATATTAATGTTAAAAAAGTTACCACATTGAATCAAATGGTACATAAGAATGCTCTAACAATAATCATGTGTGATCTAAGTGAGCGCTGGTATACTAGAGTACTTGTAAGAGTGATATATACTATCAGACAAACTGAGGTGGCCCACGTTGTTGGACTACATCATAAGTTTAAGTTCTCTTAGTAAAGGAATTTGAGTTATATATACAAAACGAGGTTATGTTATTAATTTCGAGAAAATCAATGTAACACTGCTAGATATATACACACTGATTTGGGTTAGAAAACTATTAGAGTATTAGACAGTAGGTACCCTTAGTTGAGTCTGGGGATCAACCATTTCTTCCTCCTCAGCCTCTTCGGCCTTGACTACGGGGATAATTTTTTTCTCGGACATCTTGCCTGAAAATCAAATTCACTATATGTCACAACTTTCAACCGATAATAATTTCGCAGTTTTGAGAATAGATCACTAATATATAGTCAATAAATATTATTTTTTACAAAATTTTACCTAAATCGATGATGCAACGACCGATAGCAAGTACACAATGTTGCTAGGTTCAAAAAATTACACTGTAATGTAACACTCGACTGTTCTTAAGAAAAAAAATTAAACAGGCACAACTTGTATGACTTTTATTTTTACTTTTAGGAGTTACGTTCAGTTAGTCATATGAGTGATAAAAAGAAGAACATAGTTAAATGACCTAGGAATCGTTCGGATTTTTAGCATTAAGTAAAGGGCCTCGTTACCAATTTTATTTAAATATGGCAATGTCGAAATTAAAAAAATATGACAATGACATTATGCAAGGTAACAACCTAACAGGATAAAATTTGTCCATGAAGTATTGAGATTTTGACGTAAAAATTCCTGACACTTTGGTAGCTTCAAAATGTATACTTTATGAATAAACATTGTGGTGGAAGAGTGAACCGAAGATTTTATAATAATGTTTGATAAAATATAAATAAAAATACAGTTAGTAATGTTTTCAATATACTTCAAGTTTTAAATGTGCTGATTGTATCTGAAGTAAAAGGATAGAATGTGAGTATGATTTAATCCACTCGACAGCTTCGAACTGGTCGTCACCATGGAGAGAGCTTCATGTAGAAAATTATTTTAATATTTCAGTATTGTGGTGCTACAATAGTATAAATCTAGTTGTAGCAATGACCATTGAAACAAGCCGGTCTTAAAATATTAGTAGGTTTCAAAATTATTGCATCTGTCGACTACAATTCTTCAAGAAATTGAGAACTGTGTGATTTTCTATCTTATTGTTTTAAAACTCTTTCTGGTTTATTAATAATGGTAAATAGGTTCATCTTAATAATTATCTTTCTTTACAGCCGTTGTATGCTCTAATTATATCAGCCTTCTTATTTGAGAACATTAGTTGATTTATTGGCATTGGGTGAGGTTATGTTTTATAAAACAATATTACCATTTTTTGTTGCAGAATGAATGGAGGAATGGAGCATAAAACTCCAGGTCACAATGTGGTGCCTCATAAAGCGCCTAAAAACTATAAATTGCTAGTGGACCCTTTCCTTGTGAAGGGAGTTACAACAAAAGTTTATAGATATGATGGCACTGTTCCTGGCGACACAGCTTATCCACCGGTGCAGTGCAGAGACCCTCGGTCGCAGCTTTCAAGGATCTGGAATAGACTAGAGCCAGCTGATCTCCCAGTTCCTAGGTACACATGCAAATTTATTGTAAAATATTGACAAGTCTCTTATGTAGGAAAAGTTTCTTAATAATGTTACTTGCATGTATTGATGATAAATAACGATGGAATCACTTGAATTTGATTAATTATTTAAAAGCTAGGTTTTGTAAACCTAGTGAGGTACAATCTTGAAATTACATGCCAAAAATTATGTTTGTATCCCGGTGACATAACCAAGTTTTTAAGTAAAGTATACTAACGACTTCAGTATTCCACATGCTTTTAAACTTGAAACTTATGTGGAAATACGATTACACGTAAAATCAGTGCTAAATAATTGGAAAAAAATGTAATTTTGGTTATAAACTTCTTTGTTTTTATTATAGGTTTGGTGGCAGTGGTGCCAACATGACATTTTGTTTTGACATCTAGCATATTAGCGCCAATTTTAAAATCGTAAAGATAATGTGTGACTTAATTCTTTTTTCAGGTTTAAAATAGATAAAAACTATGTAGGAATACCCCCTCAGTTGGAAATCACTATAGGAAATTTAAATGACAATATAGATAAAGCATTTCTGGCAGATATGATGAATAAAGTTGGGCCCTGTGAAGAATTAACAATATTCTACCATCCAATCACAAACAGGCACTTGGGATTTGCAAGAATAGTGTTTCAAGATGTAAAATATTCTAAGCTATGTGTAGAAAAATATAATGGAAAGTCCGTCATGGGTCAGGTACATATGAAAATTCTTTCTAAATAACTTTAAATACAGGTGTTATACTTTTTTAAATTAAATATGTATATAAAGTGAATATAAGAATGATTTGTTGACAAAATATTTGTTGTCTCAGGTCTCATTCTGTAAACTTTAGTTCATGGACTAAACTATTATTTATATTTCTATTATTTTACCCAGTGGCCTGCAGTTACTATTTGTGCATAATATTATTAATTTAGCTGTCTCACAGACTACAGCTGAAAATTTTGTTTGAAATTATTAATTTCTTGCCAAAAATGGATCTTGGCCTCTGATATGAGAATTTCAGTCTAGGTGCTTCTTCTAATAAATTTATGTGATTGCAGGCTTGTTTTAACACTTTTACACAAGTACTCTATAAATGTATATGGCACATAGTTAATAAATATTTGAATAAAATATGATCTCTTTATCCAAGTTTTATCTAGCTATTCATATACTGTGAAACAAGTCCTTTGGTTTAGTATTAATGCAATAATTTACAATTGCAGGTGCTTGAAGTCTTCCATGATGCTTTTGGTAAGAAATGCCAAGAAATGTTTGAAAATAAGACTGTTGAGAAGAAGCCCCAGCTGGTGGCTCCTCCTATTATCACCAAGCCTCCAGTTATTGTTGAGGAAGTGAGATCAACAAAGATTGATCCTACACTTAGCAAAAGATTAGAGGAAGCTAAAATTACAGAAAAAGTAAGCCATATTTTTGCTGTTTTACTCATGTATTGTTTGTTTTTAGTTACTAGTATAGTAATAGTTTTTTAAACTATAAACAAAAATTTAATTTACACAATAGATAAAATGTATTTAATTTGATTTCTTTTTTATTGTTGTTGTGTAAGTTGATATCAGTATGTTGTTTGTAATTTATTAATCGGATCGGGGATCTAAATCCATTCTTATAAGAATTGAGTGGATCAAAGTTCATGTAATCATAAGTGACTATCAAGTATAGGGTCTCAAGCTTATAAGTAGTGTCATTGTCATGTCAGCCAAAATTAGGTTGCTTAGGTTGGTTCAAAAATTGTCTGTAGTAACATAAAAATATGAGGACTCATTATATAAGATGACTGCTACTTACTATATAGAAATAAGTCAATCCATTGTTTCTTCCAAAACATAATTTGTAATAAGTTCATTACTGCATAGAGATGAGAAATATTAAATCGAAAATAGTCTAAGTCACAGCCAGGCCCCAGTATTAGTAAAATAGCTTTAGGGATTTAAAAACTACAATCAAGTTGTAGTGCATTAGAGTAGGGGTCTAAAAACTTTCAAGTACCAGTGTGACTTTTTCGAGTTATATGTAGTTTCTAAGATTATTTAGACACTACTGACATATAATGAATGTAACAAAAAGTGAATCATTGGAATTTAAATACCAAATATATGATTAAATGTTAAATCCTTAATTCTTCAAAGTTTAAGTATTAATACACAATCTTGCTCTTGAGCGTTTGAGAAGGGGCCTTTGGTTATGGGGAAATCTTTAAAAGGTCTTATTCCTTTTTCAGGAACCATACTCCCGGTACAAGGACACTATTGAGCATGCGAGTGACAGTAACACGCGGTGGTCGGACGACGAGAGAGAGTACCGACATCGGCACCGCAGCCGCGGCGAGCGCGACAGGGACAAGGACAGGGACCGAGGAGATCGAGACCGGTAAGTATTTCAATCTTAAAAATTATGCTTCAATAAGAGGTTCAATTTTGGAATATCCTCATTTTTGAGTTAGGCCTTTTTTCTATTTAACCCGCGAATGTGATTAAAATTTAAAGTAAATAACATTACATTATGGTGGAACATAATGCTTATAAGGAGGTTACAATAACAAGTTGTTATGACTGAGCTTTAATTAAAAAAAATCTGTTGGCCCTTTTTGATAAACTTTCCATAATACTAAGTGTTATCATAATAATATTTTCCTAATGGATATGAAATGACTGTAAAGTGTGATAAAAATTAAAGTTGGTGAAACAGTTTCTAAATGTTTTGTATACAATAGTTATATTACTATAATTATGATAATTAATAAAAATAGTGGTTTAATTTTATTGTTCCTCTTCTATAATTTAGCAATTCATAAGCGCCTAACATTAAAAAATATCACTCACATTGTCCATTGTCCTGAGGAAATAATATTTCTACACATTTATAACAAAAGGATTTTTCTAAAAGTTTTATTAATATTTCTTACAAGCAAAAAATGCAAGAGGAAATGTCGGCGAAGGTATCTAACATTTTTTAGTAATTATTGTGAAAATTTTCTTTCGACTTTTTGTTATATTTTGCCTGATTGTAGTGCATATAATTTCATTTTTGATAGAATTTTTGTGTTCTTAGACAGTATTTGCAAACCTTTTTGAATTAGCTTCAGAATTTACATGTATGTATTTTGGTTTGATTTGTTTTGTATCTTTTTTTTTCCAACAGATTGGGCCAAATGAGTCATCTGGATCTAAAAATTCAACGTTTTCGCCCACTTGATCATTAAAACACGACAAGTCTCAAATTAGTTATGCCTTTTTACTTTGCAATATTGTAGCATTGTTATTGCTTGGCATTGTGTTTTTTTTTTACACAACTGTACTGTGTAATTTAACTGTATATACATAGTTTTTTAGTGAATCTTAGGTGTAATGTTACGCAATAATATTTGCAGAGAGAGATACCGCGAGCGTTACGGGCGCAGTACGAGCGAGACGAGCGAGGCGACGTACACGTCAAGCCACGCCCCCGAGGTGCCGTACACGCCCCACGCGCCACACCCTACGCACCCGCCCCCCGCCGCCATGCCGTACGATCCCTACTACCAACAGAGGTAAATATTTTATTAAAATTATTCAAGGACAAAATTCCTTTTTGGTGATTTAGTATTTGACTGCACGGTTGATGCGGTGGCTAGGCAAATGGCTGCCGCGCAACGTATCGTAGGTTCGATTCCCACACACAACAACTCTTTGTGTGATCCACAAGTTGTTGGTCCGGGTTTGATTTTGATATGTATGTGTAATTGTATGTTTGTGAACGCACCCACGACACAGCAGGAAATCATAGTGTAAGGCAAAAGGTAACCTGTGATCTTCAATATTTTTATCTAATGGAAGTCATTTATCCCGACAGCTACGGGTACAGCTACACGCCGGGCGGGCCGGCGGGCGCCAGCAGCATGTGGTGGGGCGACTGGAGGCATCCGCACCACTCCTCCCACCATCACTCACACGTGAGTCACACCATACTCACACCACTACCACTTATACGTACTTATAACTCCCCTAGTGTTGCCTTTCAGTGAACTCTTTTCCCATAAAAAAATGTAGTCAAGTTGAATGAATTAACTAAGATTGACAGTCTTGGTTTTAACTTTATTATTTAATTTGGAACTAAAATGTGTGTCAGACTGTATATAGAAAAACATTTGACTTTTAAATGGTTTTATCTGTTTGGTGTTTTCATAAGCGTGCATTAATACTAACAGCTGTGCATTCCCATCAATTCATTACATCTGCCTCTGGGGCAATATTTCATTATTGCTTATTCATCTTAAGCCACATTTCATAAGTCATTCATCCATCATATTACCGCATTGTAAAAATTGCAAAACATATTTTGAAATTACGAATTTCTTCAATGGCGTTGGGTACTGTATAAATTGATATAGGTACACATTTTAGGTTTTCTTGTAAATCCTCCATTCGTCAATTGTATTGATGCTTAGAAAAGCTTTAAGATTTAATAGCAAATTGTAGAAAATGAACTGCTATTCTCGGTGCAGAAATCACTATATATATACTTTAAAGTTATATTTATCGTGTAAATAAATGTGGGCGTAAATAAAGTAGAAGTTGTAACGAATGTGAAGCTGGAGCGTCGTTCGTCGGCGACGCCGGGATGGGTGGCACCCGCCACTCCGGCCAACAAGGAGATGCAGTCACCGGACATCAGGGAGAAAGAACGACCGCCCAAGGAAAAGGTCTGCTTATGTCTAAAATTACATAATATACGGATGCTATTAACAAATAAAAAAATAATTAAAAAATAAACTGTTTCTCTTAAATTACCATAAAGAGTTGTCGAACAGTTTTTTTTTCGCCGCAAAATACTTGGTATCGAATCCACCGCTAACGTGGTCGCGCGCAAAAGGAGTTTTACAAAAAAAACTTAATTTTTTTTGAACGTTTCTTGTTTGTGAATTAGTATACTTTAGTTGTGTATCCGTATCTTACGTAATCTGTGATGTCTCTGTAGTGGGCGTAGGTGTCTACACGATTGTGTATCGTAGCTTGTTGTAGTTATAAAATGCTAATGTACTTTTTTATATTATAAATGTATAAATTGATATTTAAAATATATAAATGTGTCGATGTTACGTCAATAAATAAGAATGCACCGTTATTATATACACACTATTAGGTTTAAATGGATGTCAGTTTATGTAAACACACCACTTTCACTTTGCATGATGCATGTTCACAATTTCACCAATACATATTACCACTTGCGTCTAATATCCACTAGCTGTAAATTGCATGGCTTTGCTTTATAAGAAAATACTATGTCACCACTTCATTTAAAGATATGACTTCCTCTGTTCTTCTTCCTCTTATTCGATCATGCTCGACTAGTTTCAAGCCGCAACAGGGCTCATAGTTACGACGCGAGCAATCAATATTCAGTTGGCTGTGTGATGATGCATACCATTATTTTAATTGATATGTCTCAAGATAGGAAAAAAAAATCACCAATTCACCAAAATATGCAAGAGCATGTTGTTCTTATTAACATATGAATGCATGTTAATATTACAGTTATAATAATTTGTATTGTTATGCACGTCACACATCACAATCGACTATAACAGTATTGGTAACAACAGGAAGTACCAGTGGACCCTAAGTCTGCGGAGGTGGTGGAGCCCCGTCCTCCTGAAGATATTACGGAGAGCAAGGAACCAGAGCCCAAGCCACCGCCACCAGCAGACGAGCCTAAAAATGTTGACCTCGATACCAGGTAATAATAAAAATAACGCTATATATTTATACTAGCTGACCCGGCGAACTTCGTACCGCCTAACATCAAGCACTAATAATTAAAAAGCATTTTGCAATAAAATAATATTGTGACTACAAATTGAGACGTAAGGTCTTCTCATATAAGTTGGATAGAATATAAAATTTATATTCATGCGTAATAATTGTATCTTGTATTGTTTTTATAATAATAAATATAATTTATCGTTATATTTAATTAATACTTTCGGGTTATTGATTATAAAGATTTACTTTGAATAATACATTATGTTTCAAATGTTTTACAGAATAGCGATGTTGCTGAAAGGTGTCAGTACAGGCGGGGGCATGGCGCCTCCCTTCCTTGCCCTAGGTATCTCTTCTGAGGAAGAGGATGAAGACCGTTTACCTCCTAATATACCTGACATCGACACTCATAACCCGCCTTCGGATGATGATGGTAATTTTTTTTGTCATCTCCATGTTATATTTGATGTGTGATTGTTTCGCAAAGCTTGCGCAAATGTTGCGCATATTTGCCCTCTTGCGCAAGTTTTGAGTCTTATTTGCGCTAAGTTAGTTTGCGTGAGTTAAGCGCTATTTTTGCGCAGAGTGCTTTAGTAGCAAGCTTATACCAGTTACAAAACTCTCAATTTACCTTTTTAATTTTATGATTTTTGACTATCAATTTATTGATTTGCAGGTTCAATAAGTGAAGACCGAGAAAGTATAATCTCGTTATCATCGATGAAGAATGTGGATCCTGAACCGCTGTCCACAACTCCGTCACCTTTCCTGGAGCGTCAGAACTACCTCGATTGTCTACATAATACTATAGAAAGAGTGAGACCCATTGTTATTTCACTTTTACTTTTATTTAATATTTCAGAACGTCTACAAGGCGTTGGAGATAAACACTAAAAAAACTGACAAACTGACTACCATTTCGTCAATGAAGCTTCGTTTGCTTCGCTTCTATTATCACTCCTTTTAATTCTAGTAGCTAGATATAATAAAAATAATAAAATTATGTTTGTATGCTTTCCTAATAGGATGCGCAAAAACCAGCCCCAGTTCCTAAAAAAAAGTTTCCACCTATCGATAAGATTGGTTCGGACATATCATCGTCGGAGGATGAGCTACTAACGGGCGAGGACCCACGACGCTCACCTGCGGAGGATCAGAACCGGGACCAAGATAACTTGGATGATGATCAGGTATGAATGAAATCACAGTTTCTTGTGATGCTATCCTGTATATAATCTGAACGTTATGAACTGTATGTTCTATGGTTTGATTACGCCTTGTTTACTTATTATTTATCCTTACTGCTTGAAATCTATTACTGTAGTAATACTAGTAATATAGGACTATAACTAATAGTGTAGCATGATGTGTCTTATGTAATTTTTTCTATTCGAGTAATTTTGAACTGGTATAATTGTTTAAAGATGTCATTATCGTCACTATCGTCGACGGAAGCTAAGATCGAGGAGCAGGTCCCGGCGGACGCGTACTACCCCACGTACCCGGCAACGACCGCGCCGCCCCCCCATCCACACTACTACCAACCCCCCATGTGGCCACCCACAGGTAAACACTGCCTCCGTAAAAATATTCACTTGTCTATGATAATATTATAAAGAGGTAAAATTTGTAAGTTTATATGTAGGGGGTAATCTTTGGAACCGCTAGTCGGATAGCTACAATGTTCCTGAGTGCTATAGGCTATAAAACATCACTCTAAGATCAATGGAGCCAAGCAGCGGGTGAGAGTAGCTAGGTTATTTATTATATAGGGATTGTGATTTCATTTGTTATTAATGGGCATCTGATCTTCTATTTCTGTTTCTTTTATTACAAAAACCGGTCGATTTTCTATTCTAATCTGTTTTAACGGTAGTTTAACTTTTCTAGCCTCAATTGTCACATGTTTTTAGTTAATCTTGCATTATTTTTGAGTACGAGTTATGCAATACAGACTTCAAGTAGAGTTGCTACTGAGAATTTTAGAAAATCGTATGACTTATATAATTTTAATAATATTTATATTATTTTAATTATAAATAATATTTTGTCCTCCCTGAAATTCGTTAGCTCCTGATTGGTAGTCGCGTTCTCCATTACTCAATGAATGGAGTAATATAACGTTATTATAATGATAAAACTATATTGTCATGATGGCTCCCCAGCGTATCCCCCGCCGGGCTACGCGGGCGCGGAGCTGGCGGGCGTGATGCCGTACGGGAACTCGTTCGCGGCGCCGCCCATACTGCCGCACCACTACCCCGCCTACACGGAGCCCGCCCAGCCTGCACAGGTATATTCATTTGTCACGTATTTAAGCATTTGACTGCCGACAAAAACTGTTGACGGTTAACTCTCCGCTAGCGTTGGACAACATTGTCCAACATGGTGTTCTAAGTGTTAAAGATGTAAAACAAAATCACAGCTCTAGTTTAGTTTAGACATATAAATATCGGATATCGTACTAAGTATTTGTTATGTTTAGAACTTTTAAAAATAGCACTTTAAATAAAAAAATCGCGTCTCATTTCTTGATAGTTGCACTTGTGACCTCTCAAATGTTCACTAAAATCATTAATAAGTTTTACTTGAAATACAATCTTTTATGTATAAGTGTACTCAAAGCCTTTAACTCTCTGTGTATTTATTTTTATTGGCATCAAAATACTAACAGTAAAATAACTGTGTATAACATCACAGTCTGAATATTCCCAGGAGCTGGACAACCCTTACTACCCAACAATAAACAGTGTAATAGAACGCGTTACTGCAGAGCTCAAGCAGATTCTAAAGAAAGACTTCAACAAAAAGATGATTGAAAGCACTGCGTTCAAGAGCTTTGAAGTCTGGTGGGATGAGCAGAGTCGGAAGAACAGACAACCCAAACCTAAGGAGGAAGCTGGACAACCTTTACAGGTACAAAACCCTCCTGTAAGTTACTTTTTATGTCATTTTTAGTATAATTTTATTAAAATAGTCCATTTTGTATCATACTTATCATGTTACGGGCTTAATTATAAAATATTGGTTGCTGAAACCGTTCGAGGGCGTACGACTAGTTTCAATGCACGTCTGGGGCTCATGCCTTTTGAGGAATCATGTTCGACGGCCTTATATAAATCCTAGTACGATTCAGAACTTAAAAGTTGTTTAATTTTTTTTATTGGATTTAAAGAAATTGCTCTGTTATTCACAATCATTTATTGTAAATTATATTTTAGTATTGCGTGCGAAATTCACTTTACTATTCTTATTTTGTCAATTTTTTAAGGATATCTCCAACAAGAAAGAAGAGGCTGTAGACTCAATAAAGTGCATAATGGAGTCCCGAGAGATCGGGCTTGAGCTGGGCGGGTACGGAGTGGGCATTGGCCTGGGGCTACGAGCCACCATACCTAAGATGCCCAGCTTCAGACGTAAGCGGAAAATACCATCACCTGTATTCATGGACGATGATTCATCTAAGAGGTTGAGTGACCAAGTAAGGAGAATTTCATACATTCTTTTTTTTATCTAATAGGTCGGCAAACGAGCAGACGGATTAACTGATGGTAACCAATCAGCGCCGCCCATGGGCACCCGCAACGGAGGAGTTACGAGTGCGTTGCCGACCTTTTAGGGATTAGGGATTTGGACATTTAGGGAGAGGGGAAGGATTGGGCCTCCGGTAACCTCACTTACACGGCGAAACACAATACGCTGTTGTTTTGTTGTTTCACGCCGGTTTTCTGTGAGGCCGTGGTATGGCCATTCGTGCCACAGCATGGCTCTCCCACACTTAAAATTCTACTCGCATTTTATATTTGTAAGCACTTTTTGTGACGAATATGTTATGTTGTTAGGAGGAAATGGTGCAAAATTCAGACGAAGAGAAGGAGGTACCGACGAGTCCAAGGAACAGAACGACTGGTTCGTACCTATCCAGGAGTCGCCGGCGGCAGTCTAGCAGCTCATCCAGGTAAGCTATTACTGTTTTTGAAAACGTACTACTGAAAAGAAAATGTAACTATAGACAGTTTAGTTTGCTTTCGGGAGATGGCGCTAGTGAAGCTTCAGATGCAATTAGTCCAAATACTAATTGGTAAAATTTAAACCATAAAAAACCTGTATGGCAGGCGAGTCAATCAAATCTCAGAGTAGTCAGATAGGAAATGCCGGCTTCATCTAGTTTTTCACATATAATTTGACGTGTAAAAGTGCCGTTTTATGGCCTGTTTGCAAAAATAAATTCATTGTTTCATTGAGTATTTAGCCGATATTTAGTCTGAAATCAGCCTTCGCTCCTGTAATATTTGGCCCGCAAACAAGTATAGTAGTCTCATTAAAATAAGATACAACACATTTATTTGCAATACAAAATATATAAAACCGTTTTGCTCTGCAGATCTTCATCGTCGTCATCAAGCAGATCGTCGTCTTCCAGTGGGTCGGAGCGGAAGGGTCCCGCGCCGCGGATATACTCCGACACAGACGACGACTCCGAGCTCGACGAAGCCGAGGTAAATATGTACCGCTTGTATATGCAGGCTGTGGTTTTACTTGAGTAGTGAGAGAGATTATCAGTTTTCGATTTATTGACAAATAAATTTTATAAACCGGATGTTTGACTGAAAAGGTTTTGTCCAAAACCAGCGGTAAGGTTTCTAAGTAAATTCTGACATTTAAAATGATCTCGCATCTTCAGTCTTTTACGTAATTACTCATTTAATGCCGCAGCCTACTATTCTTTTCACTAACCCTAACCGTTTAAAACATATAACGTTACGTTGCAGCCCTCCCAGGCGGTTGAGAACGATAAGCCGCTTTGGAGAAAAATGGTAACCGACAAAATAACTACAACTTTATGTTATTAGATGTTTGTAGTGTTGGCGTTTGTAGGAATTTTTAGTTCAGTACTTATGCAGACTTATTCACATGTGCCGCGGAAATATCTGTGGATGTCATTGGTTTTTTATGTTATTGTGTTCGAAACTATCCAATGTAAAGCATGTTTAGTTAAATTGAGGCAGTTCAACGTAGTGTCAGCATGTATTGTGATGTAGAAGACCTATAGTTGATCCAGACACGGGAAACTAGAGAAAAGACGAAAATAAAACTTATAATCAATGCGTGCATGACTTCATTGGCGCACCAATTATCTAGTAATAGGAATGACGGGCGTAATTTTTTTTAATCTCTTTATTCATCTGTCAGTATACCAGAGTTAAATTTAAAAAAAATATGAGAAGTATTTTTACTGTATTGTACCTATAACAAACCAATACTTTGATGAAACGAATTAAAGTTTAGTAATGAGGGCTAGCAAAGTATAAATGTACTTAATAGTGACATCGATGTATCGTCGAATTTATTTGATTTCGTAAGAAAATAATATATACTAGTAGTATATTAAAAATGAATCTAAAAAATGTACATTATAAATAATTTAGTCGTCATCCCTATTACACATTTTTGCATCTCGCAATTTCAATATTTTAAAAGATCACCCGGATTCGACTGATCAACAGGTTTGTTGACTGGCGTAGAGTAGAATTTTATTGATGTGAGTCTTTAATTACTGTCTTTACTATGCATGACAAAAACATGCCGTAGCTGCAATTTTGTTAAAGCCCTTTACACACATGCGTAATCGCATATCATTACGATGATCGAATATCGCAATGAGAATCTTATACTATACACATTGTGTGTGGATTCGTTTGGGCATGTATATCTGTACGTGCTCGTTTATATCGACCCAAATACCATAATATTTCCTATCCTTATACTCCTCTTCTAATCCTTATTTTTCGGTACAAAAAGTAGCGAAGTTTTTTCAACAGTCCACAGATAATTTCGCCACTGTACTAACAGCCATTCAAAATAGTTGTCTGCCGGTATATATGGCTACCAAAGTCATCATTATTATCAGCCTATATTAATAACCATGCTCGTTCAAGGCGGATTGGCGATTTCAAACTTAATCAGAAATTTTAAGTCCATTTTTCCTCACTATGTTTACCTTCACTACAATGTCTGTGTCTAAATAATCATAGAAATTACATTTAACTTAAAAAAAGTCTCATTAGCACTTGCTAGGTTTTGAACCTGCGCCATCATGCATGAGAAGCGGTCGCCTTAACCTCCGGTCCACCTTCTCTAGCAAAACTAGAGCTTTCTAAACCCAAACATCAGTAAGCGACTGCTAACCATAGCCTTCCTCTATAAAAGAGGAGTTACACATGATAGCCATGGTTGGTAGAGTACGCAGTTTATAAGAAACAGGTTTATCAGAGCGATACTGCCCGGGTTTTAGTAAATCTGCAGTTCTAAGGCCCTGCACTCTTACAATACTCCCGTAGTAGCAAAAATCTTCCATCGCCCATATAACCTATTGTAGCCAAATCAACCGACAGATGAACTATCAAGATTGGTCGTTAGTAGATAGTCCAATTATGCATGCAGATTTACTTTACGTGTTGGTTTACTTGTTTTTAGCTCAAAGTCGTGTCGAACAAGGAACGTCTGCGGCGTGTGTACTCTTCATCGTCAGACAGCGAGGAGGAACAGAGTCGGAGAGGTAAGAGGCTATTTTTGTGCTCTTAATACAAATGTGCAAGTGAATATTTTACTAATTAATGGTTTTTACCAGTTAAGTATCTTAAAATAAGAGTCTGTCAGTCGATGAGCCCCTAATAAAGCTATTAGTTCTTTCCAAGGTGTAGATTCCGATCGCAATCTCTATGAATCCCTATAAGAGAACAACGAGTTTACGACAACGAGAACTGATTGCAAATTAGTAACCTCCATGGTTACGGTTTTGCAATCAGTTACAGTTCAATACAATTTTGGAAAGCAATGTATGCCAATATTTTGTGTTTAGTCTAAACACTATTTTCTATATCCGCAGAAAAAACCCCAATCCCTCCAATGGAGGCGTGGGGCGGCGAAGGCGAGGGTGAAGTTTCAGGGGGCGAAGCTCCCGCTGCAGCCAGTCCTCCACGGGACTTGTTGCTTGACAGAGTGTACTCAGATTCGGAAGAAGAGAGAGAATATCAGGTAAGACTTGTACATCTTAATAATGTATTTTATATGTTTTTAGTAACTTGTCAATCAGCTGTCTCGTGAAGTGATCTAGATGAGATGATATTTTTGTTCTATGAATGAGTTTTTGTATACACAATGCCTAAATGATATAAACACAGTTTCGAGTCGTATTATTTTATTTAAAAACATGAATTGAATGTGTTGCAGGAGAGACGGCGTCGCAACACGGAGTATATGGAGCAAATCGAGCGAGAGTTCCTGGAGGAACAGAGACGGAATATGGAGACAGATACGCACCCGCAGCCTGAGAAACCTCCTGACGACAGGTATACACACCTGTTTATTAATAGTTATAATTATTGTATTTATTAACGAATAAATTAGTTCTATAGCAATATCGATTCATACATACATTTCCACATTGCGCATAAAGTAAATTATTATTTTTTGAAATAATTTCAGTAAACCGGAGAAGCAGCCAGAAGAACCTCGCAGTAGTCCAGTCAAGAAGGCGGCGAAGTCTCCGGAACGGGAGATAGAGGAGGGCTCACTGAGCGACGAGGCGGGAGGCGCGCGGGGCGGCGCCGCCGGCGGGCTGGGGCCGCGCCCCTCGCGCCCGCGCCCCCTGTCCTGCAGCGACCACAGCACTACCGAGACTGCCGTCAGTGTCAACGGGATCAAAGATGTAACTGCACATGCGTAGTTGAAAAACAATCATTGCACTAATATGCGTACCAAAAACTATAATTGTTTTTGACTGTATGATTGACACAGTGACTAGGGAGACCGACCACTGTGCAATGTGTCGCAGGTGCGACTCTTGTACGCAAAAATTTCTTGTTTCCGATCAGGAAGTGATTTGCATATGAATGTATGGTTGTTTGTAAACACACCTCTGAGACTGGGGAAAATTCTAATGCAGTGCAATGTTTCAAATACTATTTGTCTGAGATTGCGCCGAATGCTAAATTAAGTTCAATGTAGGTTAATTCAAAAATGAACTTGTTAAATTGCAGGCAAGCAGCGCGTTATCAGAGACGTCGTCTCCTCAATCGCAGGCGTCCCAGGCGTCGCAGGCGTCACAAGTGGCGCTGGACCACTCGTACTGCCGCCCGCCGCCTGAAGACTCCGGCAGGAGACCTTCCAACCATCTGCAACATGATCACGGTACAGCTTACTCATATACTCATATTTTTTCTTATTTCGAACATACATTAAAATGACATGACATTAAGATGGGATAGTGATTGGCAAACAACATCATTTCTTAGCATAAAATCGTACTGCAAGTAATACTTGTACTACAAGATATGCAATATATAAACATGTAACTGTATACTCGCAGGCTACACATGGATGGCGGAACCGGAGAGCGCCGTGTCGCCTGTGGAGGAGCCGGTCAGCAAAAAGGATACCAAGCGGCCTTACAAGAGGAAACACGAGCCTAAGAAACTTGCAGAGATACAAAACAAGTATGTAGTACTCTCATTAGAATCCATCATGTCGAACATGCAATAAAGATGATTTTTGTGGGATTTAATGTATGTCATGTATTAATTTACTGTTTATTTTGCAGACTTTACGAGCCACGCGAGGCAGCAGACTACGACAAGGTCATGTATCCTAAGGTGACGTTCAAGCCGCGAGACTTGATGGCGGAGATGCAAGTGATGTACGAGTTCCTGACGCGGGGCATAGACCGCGAGGACGTGGAGTACCTGCGCCGCGCCTACGACGCGCTACTGGCCGAGGACGCGCACGGGTACTGGCTCAACGATACACACTGGGTCGACCATCCGCCCACTGATGTATGCTACTCGCCGCCCAAGAAGAAGTCCAAGAGGCACAACAATATTTATGAGGATTTACAGGTGCGTTTGTAGATATAATTGAATCAAGGAGAATTCATCTGTTTTGAATATTTTATTGTATTGAAACGTGGAATTCATTTATTTTTGACCTAGGAAACTACCCAATGGTAAAAATAAAAACCAATATCTTTGGCAGTTTCTAACAAGTGATATTAAATAAATTGCAGGGTCATTCGAGCGGTTCAGCCCGCACAGAAGGGTACTACAAGATGGACGCGCGACTGAAGGCCAAGTACAAGTACCATCACGGACGTAGCTCCGCGGCCGCCTTGCACGCTCACACCGACGACAAGAAGGCCTCCAAGATGCAAGGCCTGTCCAGGGAAGCTCGCTCCAACCAGAGGAGATTGCTCACTGCTTTTGGTATGCACAATAACCTTAAAACTGTATATAATAAGCTATTAAGTCTTCAGTCTACACTGTTACATAATACAATGTTCTTTCTACCATCAGGTACGGATACGGATTCTGACTTGTTGAAGTTCAATCAGCTCAAGTTCAGGAAGAAACAGCTCAAGTTTGCCAAATCTGGCATCCACGACTGGGGTTTGTTCGCACAAGTAAGTAATCATTGTTTCTTTTAATGTGCCACAGAATTTCATATAAATATTTAGTTAACTTTTCTTTTCCGTCCAATGTCATCTAAACCAGATTTCATATTTTTGAGACGTGGAACTTGGACTGAGTTAAATCTATACTTAGTTCCTACTAGTACATACCTCAAGTAGCTATTCAAGTTGTAGAGAGTAACGAATGTTTGTTTACAGGAGCCGATAGCTGCGGACGAGATGGTGATAGAGTACGTGGGGCAGATGGTGCGGCCCATAGTCGCCGACGTCAGGGAGGCGCAGTACGAGGCCACCGGCATCGGCAGCTCATACCTGTTCCGCATAGACCTCGACACCATCATCGACGCCACCAAGTGCGGGAACCTCGCGCGGTTCATCAACCACAGCTGCAACGTGAGTTCACTGCATACATTGTTCTACAATTAAACGATGAACTACTCAGTTCAATAGTGTGTCAAAAATGTTGGTTAATAGACTTACCTTAGTATCGTATTCTCTTTCCAGCCGAACTGCTACGCGAAAATTATAACCATAGAGTCTCAAAAGAAGATCGTGATATACTCAAAGCAACCGATAGGTGTAGACGAAGAGATTACCTACGACTACAAGTTCCCCCTAGAGGACGAGAAGATCCCGTGTCTGTGTGGCGCGCCTCAGTGCCGAGGCTTCCTCAACTGAATGCACGCTCGTACTGACCCACACTATGTTGTTCGAATACTACTAACTACGTCATGTCTCTCAGTGTCCTCGATAAGTCTGAAACCTGCAGCCGTCAACGTGAGCAGGAAAATAAATTTAGTTACATTAGTAATCGATCTGAAATCTTTCAATGTGTTCATGCTCATTCGTGTGACGGTAAATGGCTGATATGGCAAACTAGTTAAACAAATGATTTTGTAAATGTCTCTGCAATAATATGTTTAAGCGAGGTACTAGATAATCGCAATGTAACATCAACAATGAACTGATAAATATATAATTAGGCTATACAATCAATTAACTCGTAATTTGTATATGAAGGCGTGATGGCAACGATTGGAATTAATCTTTAGTGTTGTGATTTAGGCAAGGTAAGTAAGTAGAATATATTCGATTCTGTCCTTACCTACCTCTCAGTATAGAAGTAAACAGGTATATTTACTATGACGTGTGTTCAGTTTCATCTTGTATTTCTTTTTCTTCTTCCCTACACTCTCAAATCTTCCATATTGTGTAAGTATTTAATTGTACATGATCAGACAGAGTTACTGAGTAGCTACTATTACTGTATATAGCAGTGACAATGACAACAAACTACAGCAGCCGCGCTGCGCAAGGCGTTGTGACCTTGCTAGTTTTGATATCTGCCTCTAATTATTGCAATTTTGTCCTTTTATGTATTTATAATATAATATTATTATGAGTGTCTGTGTGACTCTGAAGTGTTTGTTTAATATATTTAATGTGAAGACCCAGTGAACATATGATGTAATTATAAAATTAGCCGCAGCAAATAATTCTTGTATTATATTATGATATTTCGACTGAGTCTAAATATATGATTCACTAGGCATAGAATGTCTGATGTAGCGAGCTGTATGATTATTTGTGTTGTACATTATTGTGTAAAGAGATCTCTGCTATTACGTCAGATTTGTGTAGTACACTTTTTAAGTACATCATCTTGTTAATAATTTCGAAGGCAATTCGTAACCAAATAATATGGGGTGTTAACCGAGTATTGTTTTCGATGTGTCTGTCAAGCAAACGATATGCGAGTAGTGTGCCCTGAGTACCGACAGTATTGATGGCTGCTCGCATGAACTTTCCACTTCATATTATGTAAATGTAATAAGATTGTAAATAAAAAAATTCCAACAATTTTAATCCTAGTTTCATTGTTGCAGTGTCCAATTTTATAGCGTCATGAAAGTATATTACCCATTATTGAAAGACCCAAAGATATACCTTACACCACAATAACAACATTAACACTTACGACTTGGCCCGCTACAGTTTCGACGCCACCGATCTACTGAGAACCTTCTAGCGTATGCTACTTACATTTGGGGCAATAGCATCGAAAAGCACGAGGAGACACTGGCAGTCTCGTTCGATATTTCGAAGGCCTTTGACAGGGTCTGGCATGTTTTTTTTTGTGAGGGGAATCATCAAATGAGGTCTCCCGCCCAGGGTGAGGCGAGAGGGAGTGCCAGACTCTTACTGACTAAAAACCCCCCGTTCCTTCTCCTGCTCTAGGCTGGGGTCGCGTTGCCTCATTTCGCTTACCCCGCAACGCCACCAGAACATCAGCCCTATAGGACCCCGTCTATGGTGGTCTATTGGCTCTTTGAGGTCGTACGCTCGAGTCTGGTTCTGGTCGGGTGGCGAGCTACCCTTACTCGCCGTCCGCAGACCCGCGCTTACGGTGGCCGGAGATCGTATCGATAAGTCTATTATCGACAAGCTTCCTGCTGGTTTGTACAGATAGCATTTGACTTGATGGATCAGTCAATTCGTGTAGTTTCCGACTGCTATTCGTCTGACCAATTCAGTTACTACGGCGGGTTTCCTCGGTGGTTAGTACTTTCAGCAACGCTCTTTTTTTTGCCGCACATTATTGGCACAGTTTAGCTCCTAACTAGAGTCAAAGGCACAACTGGCTGGTAGAAAGGTGAGCATCTTGTCGAGTATAAGACGTTATTTCACGTCGGAAGAACTACTAAAGCTATACCAATCAGAAGTTCGGTCCTGTATGGAGCTTTTATCTTTCGGACAGGTTTCCTAAACATCAGCTAGATACGTTAGAGCTCGTCGAGATTGAGATTCCAAGAGGTTGATCAACGACGATACTCTAGTGGATGCCCGACTTCAAAGCCACGAACAGAGGCGCTAAGTGCAAGCCTTTTCGTTTTTTATTTGATACATTCGAGGAGGAGAATGTTCAGGGGACATACAGAACTTATTTTTTTTTATGTAATAATTCGCCAAATGAGCAGACGAATTACCTGATGGCAAGTAATCAGCGGCGCACGTGGACACCCGCAACGGAGGAATTACGAGTGCGTTGCCGTGCCGACCTTTTAGGGATTAGGGATTTGGATATTTAGGTACTGGGGAGGGATTGGGGAAGGGGAAGAATTGGGCCTCCGGTAACCTCACATGCACGCTATAGACGCACTTAACACAGCGAAACACAATAATGTGGTTGTTTCACGCCGGTTTTCTGTGAGGCCGTGGTGTCGCTCCGGTCGAGCCGAAGCATGGCTCTCCCACACTTAAACTGGGAATTAACTTGATTCCCCTTTGGACAAAACAGGGTGGTAAGTTCCTCATCCTCCGTTACTATGTGTTGTACGGTACATGTCGCTACACCCCCTAGTCCTTTCCACCATCGTTCCATCCACTCCACCCCAACCTCGAAGGGTGGCTACGTGTCTTCAAAGTCCGAGTGATTAGGTTGTTTGAGTAAAGGTGCTAAATAAAATACTGTGAAATACATTACAAAAATATATATTTTTAACATGTCAAAGAACATAAACAAAGATCACTTACATTTAAAATTATTCTAAACAGAAATCAAGTCAGTTTATAAAATCACAGTAAAAATAAGTAGACAATCCAGTAGTTATTATAAAATACGTTTCCATATTTATTATAAAATCGTACAAAAACATTCGTTTTACATCCACCTAACGGAGCTGATACTCTTATACTCCAACTATTTTTAATTAAAGTTGTTACTGTTTGCTTTACCTTTACCTTTTAAAAGATACCAAGTCATGTAAGTACAATATAAGTTTATAAAAAACTAACATAAATTCTATCAATGACTGTAAGCTTTCCAATATTTACAACCCCTAAAGAGAGCGATAGTTCAAATATAGTCGGTGTACAAGAGCATCGGCCCCAAATATACCTTAACATACAAAATTAAATTACGTAATAAATAAAATGTACATACTATTAGTACGACATAGTTAATATGCTAATACGGTTATCGCTGCAAAGTAAAACTAAGCTGCTAAGGTATGGTATAAATAATATTACCTATCAAACTTAGTAACGCCTAACAATACAAAATACTTTTAAAAAGACAAACATTAGATCTACTAATCTGACTACACACCCCTACTGCATACGAACGCCCTATCACTCAGGTACTAGAAATGTCTTCTGTATTATACAAGTTACATATTAAATATCTAATATACGACTGTATAATCAGACTCAGTGCTCTCTGGAGCTCGACAGTACACTAGCAATATAGTTATGACTGGAAACGTACTTGTCTCGTGAACATTTCAGCGCACAAGTCCGCTGGCCCCTTCGGAGATTCCGACTTTTCCTCGCTGTCATCTGATTCTGTGTCAGAGTCAAACTCTGAAATAGTCGCGGGAGATTTCCTTCCGTTAGTTGTACGTTTCAGATCGACCTCCGTTGTTAATATTTCTTTTATGACGTCATCGGGCGTCTGCTCCTTGCGGTGCTTGTTGCGCAGTTGTCTCGCTCGTTTTCGGATGTCTGCGAGGAAACCCGTGGTCACCTCGACGCTCTCTTGCGAGATATCCTGCGGGGTGCCGTCCGTCGGCGACTGCGCAAGGTCTGTGGTGGACCCTCGCGTATCCGATATAGTGGCTAGAGATTCTACGGAAGCGCCGACGCTCCTGAAGGCGGTCATACCCTCGATAATGGAGACGTTGTAACCGCTTTCAGACTTAGTACGTATTATTATACCGTGCGGTGCAGTACCTAGCAATACGGGTTCCTTCAACTTCAATGTAAATATTTCAGGCAAGTAACATTCGGATGCCGTCGAAGCAAGCGAGGCAGTATCACAGGTGCATGGCGGCGTCCTGTACGCGTCGTCATTTAGGTAAACTATGGTCACTTTGTCGTCTCCTATCACATACAGGAAGGGGTTGACGAACTCCCAGCTGTACACGGCCGTGCTCCACTTAGGGTCTTCGTTACGAGTTCGTTTTCCATTTTCGTCGACAAATACTCCACACTCTGCGTAGCAGAGGAGGATCTCAGTAGGTTTCTCCTTGATGAGTAAGAAAGCTTTAGGTGGGGAGTGTTTTTTAGCAGCGGCGGCGATAGTGGGTTCCTCCATGCCAAATGCCTCTAGGGCGCCCGAAGGAAGGTTCAGTTTGAGCGGTTTTTCTCCCGCGATGTACAAAGTCTTGGTAGTGAGCAGCAGGGAGTTGGCCGGCCGGTCTACAGTGAGCGAGCGAGCAATCTTGAACTCCGACGAGGCCGCCTCGTACCGCAGCAGGAACACGCGGCGACCGCACGCCACCGCGGCGCATGGACCGTCCAGGGAGTCGCTATTGATGCCCTGTACACAAATTATTTATTTTATTTGAAGAATTATAAAAATAATGATAACATCGTTAAATGATAGTATAAGATATAGAAGTATAAGTAGTACCTTGAGCAGATGCGGGGGCGAGGAGTCAGGCAGCGGCACGAGCGTGGCGGGCAGCGCGGCGCGCAGGTCGGGCGCGCGGCGCAGCGCGGAGCCGAGCGCCAGCAGGCCGGCGTGCAGCAGCGCGCCGCCCCGCGCCAGCAGCGCGCGCCCGCCGCCCGCCAGCACGCCGCCCACGCCGGCGCCGCGCCCCGCCGCCAGCGCGCCGCCTACCTCGACGCGCACGGCGCCGCGGAGCGAGTACAGCCCGTCCTCACACCCTGCAACGACACGCTTTGTAGCTCCATCCAACAACACGACCATACGCTAAATCGCACTATTATACGACTGTATAACTAACCTGCGAGTAACACTATTCAGTTTACGGGATTAAACAAGCGCCTACCTTTTTTTTTGCTTGACGTTTCGGCAAGGTTATACCAGCCATCGTCACAACAAAAAACCAAAATCAGGTACGCGCACGTTAAATCCCATAAAATAGTAAAGTATTAATAAATACAACGCGGAAGTTAACAGTATAAACATTTTACTAAGTTCAGTAACCATGAGGTTGTTAACCACAAAATACCAACAAAGTCTAAATAGTCACGATAAGTGTTTGATAGTTGGTAGATTTTTTTACAGTTCCTTACTAACAGTTTTGGGCAGTAACCATAAAGAACTGGCTCTCCGTTGGACGGCTGTATAGATGTAGTGATAGAGTATGGAGATAGTTACCGATGGCGATAGCGTTGGGCGCGACGTAGAGCGCGGCGTGGGGCAGGCTGGGCAGCGCGGCCAGGTGCAGCGGCGCGTACCCCGCGAGGGGGGGCTGCGCCGCCGCCAGCCGCGACAGCCACGCGCTGCGCTCCGCCAGGCTAGAGCATACCACCGCCACGCTGCCGCGCTCGCTTGCCTCCAGCTTCACCTGCATAAACAGTAACCATTCATACACTCGTACATCTCTTACAAGTCTTACATCAAAATCCTAATAACTGTGTATCAAACAGTCTCAAACAATAATCTGTGATTTATTATACAGTACAATTTAGGCACCTGTATATCAAAGACAGTTGCAAGACTTGTTGCGTGACAAGTTGCAGATGTGAGAACGAAACAAAACGTGACAGCAAAAGTGACGTGGACCAATTCGTAGTACAGCATATGATATAGATGCACCAGTCGGTTCTAGGGCGGTACGTCAAAAATCGTGAGACGAAAGACGCGGTACAGTTTTTTATGTGATAGTACGGAAAACAGGCAGACAGGCTACCTGATGGTAAGCCACCAACCATTGACAACGGAAGAGTTATGAGTGCGTTGCCGACCTTTTAGAGGGATTTGGTGATTTTGGGATGGGGAGAATTGAGGAGGTACTAGTAGAATGGCGACGTTTTTTGGATTAAGATTTTGGATACTTAGAGATTGGGAGAGGAGAAGGATTGGACCTCCGTTAACCTCACTCACACGGCGAAACACAACGCTGTGGTTGTTTCACGCCGGTTTTCTGTGAGGTGGGGTGGTGATGTGGAGCCGACCCATTCCTGGCAGAGCAGAAGTATAGACGCACTTACCATAAAAGCCCTGTTGGCCTCGTTGTGCGGCAGGTTCTTGGGCTCGGCAGTAAGCAGTTTCCCCCGCAGCTCGCGACTGCCACTGCTGAGTACGAGCCACTCGTCCACGCAGCGCGCGCGCATACGCTCGCGGCTGCCGTCCGCCCTGCATCATTATAAACTCATATTTTGGTGATAAACTACGGCTTTTAGAATTACGACTCTGCGGGGCAAATAATAAGGTAACCTGGCCTCGGCCTAAAGCAGAAGAAGAAACAGGGTGGTTTTTAGTTATTAATAGTCTGTCAACATCTCTCGCGTAAACCTGGACGAGAGAAGTCATTTGATGATTAATTTCCCCTCACAAAAGGTTGCATCTTTATTTAAGTGTTACGGCTTACTAGGCAACTACTACTATTTAATGAGTCGTCGCGTCATTTGTTGCGTAATACTGCTCATTTAAGTAAGCTTTAAGCCTGACTAGTCAAATTACCTCATCAAACAGCTACAATAAGAATAAGCCGCTAAATAAAATTATATTCCACAATCTTAAAAAAAAAATTGTACTTTTGATTATTATTCTTGTTTACCTCATTGTAAGTTCTCGTTTTTTAGTATATAATGGTATTAACTTACCAAACGATCAGCAATCCTTTGTCTTGAGATCCATCGGGGGAGTCAATACTTTTCTTTGACCTAAAATATACACAGATAATAAAACATATGAAATAAAATAACATTTCCTATACCAGTCTCGAATTATATCACTTACCCATTGACTACAGGCTTCGGTTTCTCACGCTTAGGTGTCGAGGGGTAGCTGAAAATAGCATTTATATTCAGTATTAAAGTAATTTAAGCTCTATAGTCATTTGAAATTAGGGTGATAGTGCTTTGCGTATTTACCCCGCATCCCCGCCGCCGTCAGCATTGCAAGCTGCTAGTTTAGCGCGTAACCTCTCGACTTCTTCACGCAATTCTCTGTGGAAATATACATTATATTAATGTTGGATTGTAAGCATGACTAATTTTTAGTTATTTGTGTGCGTTTGACCTCTATCACGCCTGATGGAAAGCTATGATGGGGTCTAAGATCGTACACAAAAACTCAAAAAATGCTTGTTGTCCCTTAACGACTACCTTTTCTTTGCCGCGCCAATGCTAAATAATGACTTTTAAAATAATATAAAAAAGAACAATTAAGGTCTGTATACTTGTTAGCATGTATTTTTGATTAATACCCCCATTTCTAGTATTCACGATTAAATATTTTCGTCCATAATTCCATCCGAGAATTATTTACCACACGTGCCATCTGCCTAAGATAAACAGATTAGATAGCGATAGAAACCCAAACATTCCCACTGCATCCATTCTAAAAATATCGAAGATTGTATCTTATCTTAATAGTTGTTGATCGAAATACCGCTGTAAGATATAAATCTTGAAATCCCTTTACTGTTATCACCGAGAAGTTATTTCGTTGAGACTTGACTTGAATAGAACTATTTTATCTATGACTAGCTCTTACCCGCGGCGTCGCTCCCGTCATTTGACAACCTACCCTACTCTACCTACCGTACTTTACCTACCCTACTCTATCTACCCTACACTACCTACTCTTTTCTATTCTATGTCCTTTTTCTAAGTCTAAACTACCTCCCTGCCAATTTTCAGCTAAATCGGTTCAGCAGTTCTTGAGTTATATACATTGATTTTTGATTCATTTTTGCTTCAGTTTTTAAGTCACATCTATTTACAAAATAAGGTATTCTTTACCTAATGTTAAGAAATTTGTTATTGCCTATACGACATCATTTTATAAGTAACCTTTTAAAGTACATTGAACGGTTTATAACTTAAGGACGCAATATGTATACAGACAGACACACATTACCTGTTAGCTCTCCGTAATGGCGGCGAGGCTGCAGGCCTGCGTCCCGACCGTCCGAACAACTTGTTGCTCAGTGAGCACTTCTTTCGACCAGCCTCCTCCACTTTAGCCTGTAACACAAAAGCATTTTTAATATAACGCTCCATTCCTATAAATATTACGTTAACATAAATCTATTATGAGCAGCCTTAATGAAGCGTTAATGTGTTTAGTGTTGCAATGTAATGTAGTAGTACCTGCAGGAAGTCGATGAGCTTGGCCTGCTGGCGCAGCGTGGCGTCGGCCTTGGTCTCGCGCGTGCGCCACCATGCGTCGGCGGCGGCGGCGGCGTCCCTTGCGGCGGCCAGCTCGTCGCGCGCGTCGCGCAGCTCGGCCTGCAGCGCCAGCGCCTGCGCGTGCGCCGCGTGGGCCCGCGTGCGCAGCGCGGCGCACTCCTCCTGCAGGTCGCGCAGACGACGCGCCGCCGCGCCCAGCGCCGCCTCGCTGGCCGCGCGCCCCGACTCCAGCGCCGCCGCGCGCGCCTCCAGCTCCGCCACGCGCGTCTCGCGCGCCTCCAGCCGCTCCTGCAACGGACGCGCCGTTACTCGCTTCGTTTACCTACCGACACTGCATGCGTTCTACCGACACGACAACTTTGTCAAACCGATACTTTATACATGTACAATTCTACGATTACACGTAAAATTAAACTAAAAATATTAAATTTCCTCGTGATGCGTGTCGTCCCTTCTTTTCACTGAGATTAGTCGTTTATGAAACCAATTCTTGATTTTACTATTCCGAACTGCAGGTCTCTCGTGAGGTGCTTGAACAACATCCTCCGCACGGACATCCATTTTGAGTAGAGCGATATATCGACGACCATGTTCGTGCGGATGTGTCGAGCCATCGACTGCAGATGTAACAATGTGTGCTCATGTAACCGATGACGTGTGGCGAGACGAGCCGCATCGACGACAACAATCCGATACAATGGCTCGGGTGACGCAATCATTCGTGGCTACTTTCATGTTTACATACAATTCATCTTCTGTAAATGTATACTTATTATTGTTTACGCAAAGATTTTTGGTATTTTCAATAGAGTGTAGTCGGAAGAATGGTTAGTGGTATCCAGATACCGTGAGCAGCTGTAGCTGTGAGTGCGCGTGTCGCGCCTGGTCGCGCGCGTCGTGGGTCAGGTCGGCGGCGCGCTGCGCGGCGACGCCCCGCTCGCAGGCGGCCGCCTCCGCCGCCACCAGCCGCGCGCGACACGACTCCAGCTCCGCGCGGACGCCCGCTAGCTGGGCCTGTCGCATACATACACTACATCACCTCATGCCACACTTAAACAAATTATTCTCAAGCTCAGATTGCCAATACGGTTAATCTACTGACATGCATAAATAACATGATAAATGTAAGTGTAGGAGAGCCATGCTTCGCCGGCCGAAGTGATACCACGGACTCACAAAAAAACCGCCGAGAATTACCGGAGCCATAATCCTTCCCCTTCCCCCGTCTCTTCCCAATCCTTAAATATCCAAAACCCTTATCCATAAAAGGCCAGCACCGCACTCGTAACTTCTTTTGGTGTTTCTAGTGTCCATGGGCGGCAGTGATTGCTTACAATCGGATAATCCCTCAGCCCGTTTGCCGACTTATCACATAAAAAAAGATGCACAACGATATGCTACTCCTTAACACTTAACATTATAGTAACTTCACCGCTTACCTCCAGATCTTTGTTCTTGATTTCGTGTATGTCAGCTAACTTCTCCAGGTCTGTCAGTTGCTCCTCGAGCATGCCACACGCTTCCTGCAGCGCCTTGTTGTTCTGTAAAACGTATGCAATAATACAATACATAAACAAACATATGACTAAAACAACGTCGATATCATTTTGACTGTGAAAATATCGAAGTATAAAACCTCTTCTATAGACGCAGATAGTAACCATGGAGCACGATTTGTTCCCGATACGATTTTTAATCCTAAAGGCCAGGCCACAACACTGCGTTGCAGCGAATCGCCACAGTATCAACATTGCATATTCATAGAATTCCATTTTACACCATTGTACAATAAGACGCTAACCAGCATTTTATTACAGCAGTGTCTGTACATTGTTAAAACACCTAAAATACAGAAGAACACCATCGTATTTGACTTTTAAAGATGAAGGAAGAAACGCTAACAGCGTTACAAAACTTTTCGATCACTTTCCACCCATAATCTTACTAATCTTATCACGAATACGAATATTGCAACTACCAGCAAATGAAAAACCCCTATTACCTCGTCTACACAGAACATTGAATGAGTGTCTATATGAGAGGACAAGCACAACCAGTGGTACACTAGAATGTTAATTACTTAATTATCTGTATTGTCGCGTTGTCAACAAGAACAGTATTTTAAAGGAAAAGTTACAATACTCTCTTTATTAAACAATACAAGTAATCCTCAAAGTTAAAATACCTGTACAAGGTGCGCCCTCTCCGATTTTACAATAGAATGTGATCAAATGTATTGTCATAGACTTCAAATAACTACCATAGGTAATATCAGTACTTATAAGGGAATAGGGACGCTATCGCACATAAAACTAAACCTCAAACCGTATTCTTATCGTTCAGCTTGTCATATTGCAGAGTGCTTGAACATATAGAGAAAAATTGTTTGTGTGGAATATGTGTCAGAGATTGACATAAAATCTGTAGAAGACACCTACCATAGTCAAGTTAGAAGGACGCTAAATCGACTGTTTATTAGCGCATATTTTTTAGCTAAGAACTTAAAATCCGTTAAATCCATTTAAGTTTTGGAGTCACTACTATGGGCTGGCGCGAGAGCAACACAGAATATAAAATGTAACTGGTGGTAGAAAGAGAACCCTTTGAGTCCAGTATGTGGATACTCCGTAAAGATAAGTACGGGCGGTACCGTGACGAAATGCTTGTTGATGGCGGTGATGGCGGTGTCGGCGGCGCGGCAGCGGCCCTGCAGCAGGTCGGCGGCCAGCGCCAGGCGCACGCGGCGCGCCCAGCCGCCCTCGCGCCCCCGCCGCGCCGCGCCCCCGCCCGCGCCCCCGAACAGCGTGCGCAGGTAGGCCGGCTTGGGCCGCACGGGCGGCTTCTCGATACTCTTGCGCTTGTACCGCGGCGGCAGCGACTCCATCGCCCTGCCCTCACACGGTAACCCCGGCACTGACACTAGATGCCACGATTCCACAGTTGTGCCAAGACACTGTTCTATTCCAGCACAGGACGCAGCACAAGTTTGAGCAACGAGCACAAAGTACAGAAGGTTACTAAAATATGGCAGGAAATTAATCGATGACTGAGAATTGCCTGCCCTTGTAACCGTGAGGACGAATGTGAAGACTATGAGTCGCGCACAGATCATCGGCCGGCGAAACAATGATGTTTATACAATGGGCTCAGCTGTGGCATTCAGACAAACACAACAACTGCTACGTTTGGGACACCCGATTGTGAAATATTAAACAAAACCTTTGAGAGCCATCAATGGCCGAATATTGATCAACTATTGTTCCTAAGCAAGCGCCGAACAATCGCTGCAACTATTGTTAGAAACGTCCAAATTGTAAGTAACCGTACTGGAACATGTGAGACTGTTTCAAATCTTCGCATAGAAATGGAAAACAATTAAATGTAAACAATAGCCATATCATTCACATACAGAACCGAAACGTATGCGACAGCTATTACTAAGATTTTAAAAAAGTTTTCTCTACAGCCTGTCACTCCTGTAACTTCATATATAAACATGTATAACAACCATTACATAAAAACGCAATTAACAGTATTTTACAATATAAGATTTATGAGATGTATACCATGTGTTTATGATGACATTTGACTCTTAACTTGAATCCTGATTCAACGACTAATAGTGGCGTCATGTATATCAGTGTACCCTATGAGTAGGGCCTCGAATTGCAATAGGTCAATCAGGTCATCATATACAAGTAGTTGGTGTGAAAATAAACAGTAGTACCGACCTGCGCGAGCTCTGCGTTTTCTCGGCGCAGCAGATGCAGGTCGTCCCTGAGCTGGGCGCGCTCGCGTGACGAGAGCTCTTCCTGCTCCTCAGCGTGCAGGCGGCGCTTCTCGCTGTACTGGAGCTCGCTCTTCAACTTGCGGATGTCATTGCGGGACCTGCGGGGACGAACCAACTTCAACTCACGACCAAATCAATAAGTACACCACTTATGACAAATATTCACTTTTTAGAACACAGCATTACTACGCCACAACTATGATTCAAATGCGATACGAACGCCCATGATAACTAAATAAATGTAACAGAGAAATGTTCAAGTGCGGCGCATTTGTTTGCGTCGTCGTATAACAAAGTCGGGCACTCCATGTCGCGACACTCGACACTACAGAACAAAGTTCGTAAGTATACGTCCTTACAGTGTAGGTAGGTAGGTAGCCAAGTAGGACATAAAGTCGCCACGCAACGATTCCTACACTCCCAGTGCAACACACATAATACTGAGTAAAATCGACATTTCGTTATTTATTTGTAAAATATTATAAAACCACAACAATATTGAACATCTAAAAATGTATAAAAGAGCTTGTTTGATACACACAAGTGATATCGCTTCACAGGCTTCATTGCGTCTTCACAAATATCTGCTTCAGCTTCAGACACTTGAAACACACTCGAGTTTATCTCGGTATGGCTATTCATATTAAACTTGACACATTTTTGCCTCGAAAATAATCACGGTTAGCATTCTTACGATAGTCTCCAAATAACTGGGTTAGATGTTTGTCATCTCGCACCTATCGAAGTGTTATCGCAAATATTTCAATGAAAACGCTATGACACAATATGCGACACTTTCGCCGGTTAGATGACGCGAGACTAGTATAAAGGCTATTATTGTACTGCGATACATTCAAATAATTACACGAATCATGAAATTGCGATAGTTTTGAGGCTTGAGGCGTCATATTGTTACGGACAGAATTAAAATGAAACTTAGGCGAGGAAATACCTACGTCGTTATACACAACATATTATGTTACTATGCATACAATCCCATAGTTGAGATTATTTCGTTGAGTGTAACCGCCAAGTAAAGAAGGCAACCGGCTACAGCGCAACGTGTCTTAGGTTCGATTCTCGCGCTGAACAACTCTATGTGTGATCTACAAATTGTTCTTCCAACAAGATGTGATATGTACGTGAATTTGTTTGTTTGTAAACGCACCCACGACATAGGAGATAATCCAAGTGTGGGGCAACGTTTTTTAAAAAGAACATTAAACTATATAACTTGTAAACATTTTTGGCTTTTCAAAAACCAATAACAACACGCCTTATTATAATCACATACCTGTCAACTTCTGCCTGTACCACTTCATGTGTCTTTGCAAGCTTGTCGAATTGCATCTTGAGTCGCTCCGCTTCCTTGGTGGCGAGCTCATGTTCCGGCCGCAGTTTGGCGAGCTCCGTGGCGAGCTCGCCGGCTTTCTGCTCCGCGGTTTTACGTGCCTCAATGGCGTTAGCCAGACGTTCCTCCGCACGTTTAAGGTCGCGTGTCGTCGACTTTGTTTCCACTGATAATTCATTATACTCGCGTTCCTGATAGGTACAACATATTACTATTTAGATTTACATTGTCATTTTAGAAAATAGATGAAAAAATATGTTTTCCTTTAATTTCAGTAACAAAACAATGTGATGTCAATATAAGTAACTATACAACATTTACCTTTCTCCATCTCGCTAGATTAGCAGCTCTCGCTTCTTGGCGTAGAGTCGCTATTTCTTCAGAACGCGCCTGGAACAAATATTTTTGTTAAAATCGTAACAAACAAAAGCGGAAACCCAAACCCACTATAACAAGCAATAAAATATTTTATATTCTAATATCCTACAAATATTATAAATGCAAAAGTCCCGATGTTTAGATGTTTGTTACTCAATCACGCCAAAACGTCTGGACAGATCTGGATGAAATTTGGTACAGGCATAGGATACACTCAGGACATACATATACTACTTTTTATCAACCACGCGGACGAAGCCGCGAGCGGAAGTTAGTATAGACATGTTCAAGCATTGTTAGTTACACAATAATCACAAAAGAAATAAGTCACCTGCAATTGAGCTTCAGCCTTCTCCAGCTGTTCCTTCAGCAAGGAGAGCTGTGCTTGTGCCTGTGCATCCCCGACACTCTCGGTGTCACTGTGCGTATCCTTCCTGGCGTCCCCCCTGGCGCTGGCCGGGAGGTCCCCGCGGTCACTCTCGGGCTGCGCCGACGTAGAGGCTGCGGCAGCGCAGGCCCCGCAGGAGCGCTTCTCTAGAGCACTCACTTCTCTCTCCAACTGTCTCACTAGCTGCTCTAGGGTGTTCACCTGTTGTAGGCATTGAGAATGTTTACTATGCTGGCGGTAGATTATAATAGCGGTGTGCTAATATTTTCCTGAGGTTCTCTAAAGTTACATAGCGAAAAGTCCGCGACACAGAACATGATTAGTCTAGGTGTAATGTGTAATTCATAGTAAATTATCTATTATTACTTCGCATATTTTGTGGGAAGTCGATCGATTCTCGAGTAGTGCGCTCGCTAGTAGAGGTATAGATCTTTTTATTATTATGTTTATAAATTGACATGTGCAGTGTTTGTGTTACAAAAATTTTAAAAGAAAAATATTTCGTATTTTATATACTTATTATCAGTTATTTACCAGGAGAATATTTTAATGGAAAAGGTCTATCCTTTTGTGGGGGGCCTTATTTATTTACATACCTATGTATGTAAATAAATAAGATAGGGTAGTCAAGTAACGTAGATTACAGTAGACTAGAGCAGATCTACTTGGCTAGAGTAAGGCCTAGAGCAAGGTAGAATGAGAAAAAAGCCGCTAGCAAAAGGCAGCGGTATCCCAAAGGCGCACAGGTGTGTGGTACCTTCTCCCGATGCCTGGCGTCGTCATGCAGCGCGGCGGCGGCGCGTGCCTCTGCGTCCCGCAGGCGCTCCGCCAGGCGCGCCTCCGTCCGCGCGCACTGCTCCTCCAGCGCACTCTCGCGCCGCACCGACTCCTCCATGCCACGCTCCAACTCCTGCACACACCACACGCGCTTATCCATGCATTCCATCACTATTATTACATTCTGTCGAGCTAAAATCATCAGCCCAGGTCGACCAAATTTATTAAATCCCACCCTTCAATTTACGACTATTCTGTATAGCGAGCCGAATAAGAACATGAATCACATTTCTAAAATAAATACATATCCAGACAAAAAAAAACAATATTCGTCGACAATTTAACTGCACGATTAGCGCGGTGACTGGGCAACTGACTGCCGCGCAACGTGTCGCAGGTTGGATTCCCGCACAAAACAACACTTTATGTGATCCACAAATTGTTTTTCCGAGTCTGGATGTGATGTGTGCATATGAATTTGTATGTTTGTAAATGCACCCACAACACAGGATTATTTTTTAAATCAATCAGAACCCAAAATACGAAAATGTTAAACTGTTAATAAGACAATTACCTGTACTTGTGCAAGTAGAGTGGAGGCCCGCACTCGTTCCTGCGCCAGCTGGGTTTGCAATTCCTTCACCTGGTCCGAGCACGTACTGGCCATGCGCTGCTTCTCACACAGACGTTCCTAAGCCCAGCACACAACAATATTATATCAGTCTTTATAGTGTAACTATTGCTAAACAACCTCTTGTGTATTAAGTAAAGGCTTTAAGTTGTGGCAAAACTTTCTCATCGCTTTCCTTATCGTGTTGTCAATAAGGGCCAAAATAAAGAAGCTCGCAAACATGGGTTACGTACATGATAGGCACTAAAATCATAGGTCAAAATCTAGACCATACCTGCCTATGATTTCGCATTCAAACCATGGCGAATTTTGCGCTAAAACTAAGTACTCTAACAACCCACTGTTGAAAAACTAATGATGTGGTGGGGGATTTTTCATTTACATCGAAAAACATATATATAGAAAAGTGAATTATGTTGCTGCTAACTTGCTTTTATAATATAAAACAATCCGCACTTACCTGTGTGTCCATGAGGTTCCTGTTAGCCTCGTCGAGTTCATTCCGAAGTCCCTTATTCTCCTGGTCCAGCTTCTCCAGCTTGGCCTCGATTGCATGCCTGGCTCGCGTTTCCTTGGCGGCATTAGCCTCGGCGGTGGCGATACGCGCCGCAGCTTCACGACTCTCCGCCTCTCCACCGCTCAATGTTTGACGACGGATTGCCCGCTCTTTTGCTATTGAGTCCTGGCAAATATTATGCAACTGTGATTAACGATTCAAACTAGATTTTTTTACTATCTACAAAACTAGGTAATATGATCCTGATGCTTGATCCTAAAGTTTGTATTTATTATTATTTGGAAATGGCATATCATCCCAGAGCAGTGGCGGACTGAGTATATGAGGGTCCATGATAAATTTAATGTAGGGGCCCTCGATCGCATGATAGGTTTCATGCAAAAATACAGATTTGAGATGGGTTATACATCTTTTAGTGCGGGAGTCATAGCAACTCCTATTTTAGCTATTTGATTAATCCAGCACTGCTTTGATGAGTACGCATAGTGATATTTTACGTATACCTAATCTAAACTATACTAGTGCCATAACCTCTACATTAATATAGGCGGACTTCTACAACAATACTATCGAATACTTACAACTTACCACTATCTACCTTCCTTCGAAGAAAACATATCATGGTGACCTAAAGTCATCTTAACATAAAATAACTACTAATATCTACTTCTACAGAAAATAAACGACCCAGAAGTGTGCTACTGGGCCGATAAAATAACAAATTCACAATAAATTATTAGTATAAGGAGTCTGATTGATGTAACAGCTGTGCCCATAATAAGGGTAGGCACAGTATCCATCAAAATATATAACCAACTATGGTGTGATGCAATGTAAACTCCATATTATTATGGGATGACCCACCGTTCATTTATTTAGACAAATCATACACCTCATATTACAAAACAAGAATTATCGTTTAGACTAGCTTTTAAACATTGAGACAGTTTTTATATTTTGAAAATACTAAAACTGGCTCAATGGTTTAGACCTGCACTAAAGAAAAACATTATTTTGTAATAAGGCTGTTAATGTTTATACTGAATAACTCGAAACTAAAAACTGTACTGTGTAACAAGGTATTAATTCGTGGCAAACAACAGAATAACTCCATAGTTCGTTATTCGATAAATGCAATGGTGTCGTGTCATGATGTCGGTTAGTTAGCTATGTTTACTAGTTGTCTAATAGATCGGTCCCTTGCACACGACGTTTTTAACGCGTGAAGAACGTAAGTAGATGCCATGTGTTTAGCCGAAGCTAGGTTGCCATTATTTTATGGCCTTTGCACACGATCTCAGGATTTGTGCCTTAAAAACGCGCTATAAGAAGTACTCATAGCATGTCTTTTATAAAACGTCGTGTGCAAAGGCCCTGCGATGTATGTGAGAGTAGTGCACTCACTAGAGGGCGCACGTTGAGCTCCGTGAGCCTGCGGTGCCGCAGCGAGTGCGCCTGCGCAACTATGTCCTGCCATACATCTCACAACTCAGTATTCGTTCTTTATTTATTTAATAGTTGATCCAGAAATATATAAAATTTAACAGAATATTAAAAGATATTTGAATTTGAATAAAATATATATTTTCACCAATATAAAAAATTGTTAAAATAAAAATAATTACTACTGATGCAAACATTTGTTATAGCATTTACCCCATCTGACATAAAATGTGGACCAGGTTGTTTTTCAACAACCGAATACGTCACCGCTGTGGTTGAGTAATGAGTAAGTATGTACCTTGTAGTGTTGTTGCTGGGCCCGCGCGGCGTCTGCGTCGGCCCGGGCGCGCTGGCAGTCGGCCTGCAGCTGCAGCAGGCGCTCGTCGTGTCGCTGCAGCTGGGCCTGCAGCAGGTCGCGCTCGGCGAGCGCGGCGGCGGCGGCGGCGCGCGCGCTGCGCAGGTCGGCGGCGCCGCGGTCGGCCGCGCCGGCCGCCAGCTGCTGGTTGCTGCGCTGCAGGGCCATGCGCTCCTCGCGCTCCACCTCCACCTGACGCTCCAACCGTCTGCCACACGGGACACGTTACGTTATTGTGACAAAGGGGCGGACTTCTGAGTTAGTTTCGACATTTCTTCTCAGAGTAGTCAGATAGGATATGCCAGCTACATCTAGTTTTTTACATATCATTTTGATGTGTATAATAAGGACTGCTTTACAGCCTATTTACAAAAATAAATTCATTGTTTCATGTAAGTATACTTTACAATGAACGAAGACAGTACAAGTTCCAACAACATTCATGATACCATATAACTGTACCATACTTATTCCTTGAGTATGGTATTGGTTTCTTATAACCTAATACTATATTTATCTTCAGAGACCCATTCCCATTTAACTGATCATGATCAGCCTCTAGATACCAGACTGTAGATATCTTAGCTCTGTACATCCGAACACTGCGATTCCTCTGACAAAAAACGAGGGACCCCCCACATATAGTTGTAGTATTAGTACTAACTTGTTCTGCAAGCTGAGCGCAGTTATCTCGGCCTGCAACCGCACTCGCTGTCTCTCAGCCTCAGCTTCGGCCTCTTGTCGGATCCGGTCGGCAGTGACCCCGGCCTGTGCCTCGGCCTCCGCCAGTTTCGCCTGCAACGACGAGATCTCACGGCTGCGCATCGCCGCGAGCTTCTCTGCCGACCTTGTGGTGCACAGATTTTTGAATTGTTATTATTTTAAGAATTATTAACTAATTACTAAAGGAATTTATTTATAATGCCATCAAACATCACCTTTTACACATTTGACATAATTATCCATAGTTGTATAGATTTTAATTTGAAACTTTAGGAGTGCATATTATAATTATTTTGTAGGTGAATGCTTAATCCTGCAAAAAGTATAAAGTAGACTTGATAATAAAAATTTTCTACATATTGGAAAAGATAGAAAAATATGTACAATACAATTCTAGAAAGACAAACAAATGTTTTAGATGTATGAATTACTAGCACTAAGCAGCCCTACTTGAAGCCTTACACACCAATTATGAATTTACCCTAATGCTTTTTTCGTCATTTCCCGGCACTAGTACTAGCGACTTTTTAAAGAAACACCAATCAGAACACTGCACTATAGCTGTCTTATAAATTGATGGCTTAGTTCCGGCCAAAATAGAACAAATACTCACTTAAACGTAGCGAGGTCGATGGCGGTACAATCATGCGAGGCGTTGAACCCTCCGCTGTGGTCCTCGTTCTCCTCTGCAGCCACGTACGAGTACCCTGCACCCAACACCAACTATTACACTAATACTAAAACATAACACTATGTTCCATGTCCTGTGATTCAGACAATCACAATGTCGTCTATGTACAAATAATACCAAGCCAACAGTTACATGAGTGTATTTGTAAACTCAAACAATAAATATTGTTTTTTTTTTGTAAATTGTAGGAATTTTTAAAATTAAATATCTTTTTTAATAATCTTTACAATATTGAATGACATATCTAAGGCACAAAGAACTTAAAACGTAAGCTGATTATGAATTACGACACGACATTTTATGCATACGCATATCTAAACACAGATATATAAAATAATTCGCTATAAAGTAAAATAATACTAACCGACAAAGGGTAGTTGTCCTGCAAAGGGTGGGCGAGTCCGGAAGGGCGCAGCACTGGGGGGCTGCGGGGCCCGCGCCGGGACGTTGAAGAAAGACGCGTCCTCTGCACCGCGCACACACGGGACCCAAGGGGGCACCTAAGTATACAAATAACCGCAAAAATTAGTAAACATTGCTAAATAGGCTGAATATCCGCAAGCGTAAAACTTGACAAGGAAATGTTTTCTGATCTTTTGGTTTTATCTGTTTACCTCAAACACATGGGATTGCAAAAACAAGATTATTCAAGGTATTCCTGTAATTCGTGTGTATCAAATAAATAGGGTGGGCGGATCAGCTCGGGTCACAGGGAAAGCGCAATAAGGCAACGCGGCCTCAACCTAGAGCAAGGGAAGCAACATGGTGGTTTTTAGTCAGGAAGAGTCTGACACTCCCTTTCGCGTCACCTTGAAAGAGAGAAGTAATTTGATGACTTTCCTCTCAGAAAAAAAAAAGATGAACGGATGGCCCGACAAACATTAAAAATATGGCAATACCTGGTCTCTGATGTTGTGTATGGGCATGTGAGTGAGTGCGGCGTGCTGCAGGGTGTCGAGGTAGGAGTACCGCTTGGAGGGCAGTACCCGCAGGAGGCCCGCCACCAGCCCGCGCCACTCGCGGGACGGACTCGCCGGAGGGGGCTCCCACGGAAGCTGCGGACTCGAGTCACGCTCATACCTAGCACAAAGCAATAAACATTTTCGATATTTTCAAAAGCATTACAACAATATCAGAAAAAAAACACTTCACGAAGCGAATACACAGGTATAATATTAAGGTCAAATAAAACGATATCTATAAGTACGTAATTATGCAGATCAATGGAAAATTGCTTTAAAATCACTTACTTTTGTATATTGCTAAGTATTTCCGCAATGGAGTCTTCCTCTCCCGTGGAGAATGGCCGCCGTAGCGTGACCATCTCGAACGCGATCACACCCAGCGACCAGTAGTCGCACGAAGACTGGACAACATACAAAGGGAACACATTAGTACACTATATTTATAATTTCACCATAGTATATCACTTTAAAAAGGACAGACTACGTTACGAAAATAAATCACTGCCAAATGTAAGATCAACAGTTAACTAATTACTTATGTTAGTAACTATTCACCAGGTTTCCTTAAGATTCAATATTTCAATGTTAAAACAAAGACTACATATCATTATGTCTACTCTACCATGCTATTTACAACATACTAATCCTTGCTACCTACTATCATACTGTAAAAGAAGAAGATCATACATCTAATCACCAATCAGATTTGCATTTTGTTTCCAAACATTCTCAAAGTTTAAAGTTCATGATTATATCAAGTTGAAATGGTTTAGGTACCTACCACACTTCGTGTAGTGTATGTTTGCTTTGAAATATTTGTCTTATTTAATTTCCTGTCTTTGTGTAAATTTGGAAAAGCACACATGAATATAAGGACATACATATTTCGATAATAAAAATATTTTTTGCTCAGTTATATTGAAGTCGTAGAAGACATGTTGGCATAGGTGTACATAGCCAAATATGGGCAAACAAAGTGACACCGTCAAAGTAAATAGACTACACCAAGTGTGGAGGTATATGAATGAGAGGGTGTAACAAGATGCGTGTGGTGTGTAGGTAAGTATAAGCACATGCGTGTGTGAGCGCGACCCACAATGGCAGTGGTAACGAGCCTGGCGCAGTACTGTTGACACACAGTATGGGCCGCGCAGTCCGCCGCCGCCAGCAGCTCCGGCGCCATGTAGTCCGCCGTGCCCACCGCCACGCCCGAGCACCCCCCCTCCGACAGCCGCGCCGACGAACCAAAGTCGCCCAGCTTCACGTGACCGCATCTATATACAACACTTACATTATTTCTGCACACTACTCAAGAACTATTGTATTGGTATCATTATTTTAATAAAATATATTCCATTAAAATATATCTGTTTCTTCCAATGTATATATATTATTCTCTAAATTTTACATTACCTAGCTTCACTGATGACCAGACAGACTACTCTACTATTCAATTTACACATTTCAATAGTATCTATTTATGGTTTAGTTGGAATAAATGATTTTGAGTTTGACTTTGACCACAGAAGTTACTAATATAATACCTGTGTTGAAGTTGATCATTAATGTTTATTAACTTTCTGTGCTAACTACTCACCTATCTAGCAGTATGTTCTCTGGTTTGACGTCTCTGTGCACGTAACCCATGCCGTGGAGAGCTTTGAGTGCGTGCGCGACCTCCGCGACGTAGAAGGCGGCGTCTCGCTCAGGCAGCGGGTGCGCACGGCGCGCCATTAGCCCCGCCAGGTCGCCCCCACAACACAGCTCCATCACTAAGTACAGGTTGCTACTGTCCTGTATAACAACAAATTCGAATTTCGCAACTGTATCTGACAACTGAACTGCTTTCCATGTTAAAATAGAATTCTGGTAAAGTCTTTCAACACAAAATGATCATTTAAAGAAAAACTTTTTTTTATATTTAGTTGATAATTTGTGGGTTTGCAGCCTATTTTGAAGGAAGTTAATTCTGAATTAAAACATTATAAAGTAGAAAATCAATGCATGCTGTTATTATCATGTAAGTTCTAAATGACTTACTTGGAAAGCATATTGCAGCTTCGTCAGCCAAGGTCCAGTGGCTGTGGCAAGCACATCTCGTTCCTCATCTGCACGCTTACGTGATTGTTCCTTACGGAGTGTTTTCATAGCATACACATCTCCAGTTTGCTTCTCCCGAACCATCTTGAAATAAAAAACGAAAATAGTACCTCGGGTACACATTTATATAAGCAAATTCATATAATAAAATAAATATGAATCCTTACATGAACCTCTCCAAAATGTCCCCGGCCAATGGTCTGTATCATATCAAAATCTGATATGCATACCCGAGTCCTGCGCAGTTCTGCCAATGTGCTCCGATCTACCAAACAAAATAATACTTGATTCATGAGGTTGTTACTTTACCAGACAGGTAGAAGAGACAGTGATATGTATCAAATAGATTTTTCAATTGTCAAGTTTCTAACATTTGGTTTGGAGCCAAATTAGTCTGCCTGTATTCCTAATGTGTACTGAGATATGCACCAGTAATTGTTCAAATTTGTTTTGATATTTATAATTTCTGTAATCCAATATGCTGATTCAACCTATTCCCACATGAAGAAACAAACTCAATTTGAAATAATAAAATTGGTCATAAAGACTTAGTAAATGTTGAAGTTCATGTTAGTTTCTTCCTAAACAGAATTCCAAATTCACATGTTTTGAACTGGTTAATCTATTCTTTTCCCTCTAAAACACATCTAAATTGGCTTCATTATACCAACACTAGTCATTACGTATGTATAAGAATTCAAACGTTTCCGAGATTCAACAGGGCCTTGGCAACAGGGGGTTGTATTCACTCTTTGTGTAATATATTTAGGATATAACTTACACTTGTCCAAAAACGCTTTAACCAAGTCATCACTCTTCTTGACCGGATCATCATTACATTCATCGTAGAGTACTGTGAGGGCATCCAATAGGGCTTCGCGATCTATTGTCTTCTTACTAAACCTCGTAGTCCCACCTGTCACTTTCCCCAAAATTATGCGGTTTAGCCGCGTGATGCGAACCGCGATTGCTTCTTTTGAAGGCTCCATCTTAAATTAACTGGCACAAAATCAAATTCACTTATACACGCGCATTTTTCTTTTATTTATTTATATTAAAAATTGTAATCAACATCTGCAATGCATCCAACCCGGTATTTTCGTCGTTATTATTTGAAAATTGAATTTGCCGACCTTCACTTCTATTGACAGCACAACCCAGTGTTGCCATTATTGTAATATTGGATTAAAAACTTGATGCGCCATCTAGGGTCGAATAGACTAATATAGAACTGATATACTCGATAATCTCAAGTTAAACCATAGATGCAGGATAAGAACGGCCAAAGACAATGTTCATATTTTAATTAGTGACGCTATTCGGCAACAGATGGTGCCATTAGTGCTGTATTTTTTTATACTTTAGGTTACGGTCAATGGTTTCGCTATCTATTCAACGTGCCAACGGTAGGTAGTCGAAGTTCCTATCTAGACTCTAGGCAATTTGCGTCAAACTATTGGTACCTACTCAGATATCGAAATTTTTTTCTGAAGGCTTTGTGGTTTGACATACAGATATATTTGTATGTCAAACCATATGAACAGGAAGGCAGAGGTGCACAATGAACATAATAGGTACCTATTCAATTGTAAATCCACTTTTCAGATTTTATGTTGTGGTTTTCTATAATAGGGAATGAGCCTAGAAGTGTACTATTTTTATCACGGGCACAATTTGAAACTCCGTACCAACTATTAGGTATAGAAAATTTTCAAAGAACTACAAAAACTAAAAAAAAACCTATAATTTGCTTAACCCCGGGTTAGGAGGGTTAATCGAAATCAGTGTAATTTTCTTATCAGTTGCAATAAATTGCGATAACTCGACAAATTAGTGTCCAATAAATTAAATATTATACCTGCGAACTGAATAAAATACGTATCTTTTATGCAAAACTCGTTTCATCAATAATAACAAAGTTACGTTAAATAATTAAAGCCAAGTGTTTATTTTATAACCCAAAGTACCTGATTAGGACTAAACAATAGCCGTTATCGTCACCGTTTGTGTCATAGTGTATGGTGTGACAGCATGAATCATAAGTCGTGGACACACCTGGCAGATTCTATAAGATCGTCAATTTTATCATTATCTACATAACTTATTATTATGTATCTTTTTAAATATTATTTCATATGTTGAACTAAACAATTAACCTTTTACTACTTACTCTATTCTGCTACTTACAAGCTGCCGCCCGCATCATCGCACGCGTCTAAAACTATTGCATACCAAGTTTTTTAAAACAGAGGCGTTTAAAGCGATAGCTCGATAAAATTACGCAAAACAATTTATAGCCTACAGCACAGAACATTGTACCTATACAAATATCCAGGTTCCAAAGATTACGCCCTACATAGTAACTTAAAAATTTTGCCTCCTTATAATATTACTATTGATTTATGTATTAATCGCTGTGTTGTACATTTCATTCAACACAAGCGAAGACCATGAGGAATTTATTAGAGGCTAATCTATGTTATAGTGCCTGTTGATAGGCGCCACTCAACAACGCCTGGACCAATTTTGCCAATAATATTATTTATTTATTTATTTTATAGGTTATGTACACATTTAATGAGACAAGATGGTATTGTGTATGTAAAGAGAAAGTTTATAGGAAAGAAATAAATTTTGGAAAATTGGGTCTCTTTTGTCGCTCGTGAGGTAGGCGGGTAGGCGGAATCCAATGGTAGTGTACATATAATTACCATATACTTATGTTATATTTATTCCTACTTCGATTATAAATAGGCAAATCGAAGTGTATAGGTAGGTTTTTCCGCAGGTACCTTCATCTTTTCATCTTCATCATTGTTGATATGCGGGTATTTTTAAATGGAGATCTCTTTACTCATCTGCATACTAATAAATTCATCAACTAAAGAAGTTTTACTATGTAATAGCAGATTATATAGGTATATAATATTAGAATAACTCATTGACAGGATGCGACGACAAAATTCAGATTCGAATAAGAAGGGTGGCCCTTCTTGTTCCTAAGAGGATCTAATAATAAAAATCTGCGTGGCAACAAGTTTTGCAGAGCAGATGCGCCATTCATCAACGATTAGGAGATTTTTGTTTAAGTCCCAATCCCAACCTGGAAGAAAGTTGTTAACAAATTATGTGTACGTGTGTTCCACTGATATCATGTCGGTTTTATGATTGAATTATTTCTTAACTATTAAGAAATTATTCTTCTATTATTCTAGAGCCAATTTTGATTATATTTTTTTGTTGTTAAAGTTAATAATTTCTAGTTCTCATTGCTACAAAATCAGGATCTGATTATGGCTTCCCTGAGAACTTTCGAAACTTTTAAGGGCACTTTTAACAAGTCGCTTTGTTCGTTTAGTGATTTAGTAAGTAGGCACCTAAATAAGTATTTCAAAGCAGTACCTATAATTTAAAGAAGCTGTGGAGTCAACTCGATGATGTAATCAAAAGACAGAATAGAGAGAATTCCTCCACGGTTTAGAACAATGCCACCTGAAGAAGAACAATGCCGCAAACCTCTGCACGGGCCTTGTAATAAGTATAATTTGTATTGATGAGAACTAAATCTGCTTTGATTGCTAGATGGTTTAAGTATACCTAGAGGTCTGGTGATAAAGTAAGTAGTACGATAGCTAAAAGAACTTCCTAATGGGTATCAGTTATCTTGTGTGCTTGATTAATGATTATGTTTTTTAATGATTATGTAATTAGGTACATACCTACTCTTTGATTAAGTTAGTTATGTTATAGGTGGGTATGTGCATTTTTAGTTTAAGAAGACAGGTAATGTTTTTTCTTATTTTTTTTTCCTTTGTATGTTTTTAATCCTAAAGTTTAGTTCATAATTAAGGTGTTGTATGATGATGATGAATCAAAAAGAAATTTTGATTGTGTTATGTTGGTTTAAATTAGTAAATAAGTACTTAAATTTAGATATAGGCCTAAGCTATCGCATTGGAGAAATCTGTAATGGTAGTATAAGGTAAGATTTTTAAATAAATAAATAAATAAATAAATTAATTTGTGTTGATGTCTTGATGAGAACTTTACATCAATATGGGTTGTAACTAGTTTGTACAAACTATCTGTATGGCCTTGTTTTAACCAGATAATTAACGAATAAAATGCGTCTAGTACAATCACCATCACAAACAAACAAAAAAATCCTAAGTATTTATTTTTAGATTGTAGACAATTTAACCTTTCAATGGAGGTTATTTGAGATACAATAGGTACGCGAACACCGGCTTTCGCTTGACGTTTGATGAATTAACTTAATAAGTAGTCACAGAAATAAACTTTATTAGATACATAAGTACGTTAATTGTGAATAGTTAAAAGCTTGAGGCACCGACTTCTAACATATAAGTGCGTGGAGTTGATAACTTATTTTTGTTTGATTTCAGTGCCGGCGTTAGGGGGGCGCGTGATGGGGCGATGGCCCAGGGCGACAAGTTCTGGAGGGCGCCAAGGCCTGAAGTTGGGGTCTCTTGCCTTTCTTGGTGCAAACCCTCTGTGCCCTATGCTCTGTGCATATGCATATTTTTTGTGGTTTTTTTTTTTCAGATGGATTTTTTGAGGATTTTTTGTCGAGGAGTAACTCTAACGATATCAATACGATCAGCAAAAAACTAAGAATTGATATTGCTTCCCTGAAGTGGGCGCCAATATAGTTTCGCCCGGGGTTTTCAGTTTGTTTTGGAAGTCTTAATTTTACACATCGATATGTAACGCCTTCAGTAGATACCTATTACGCGTAAATTGACGTGTTTTATTTCGTATTTCATTACGTAAGTCAGCAGAGTAGGCTTTTAAATCGGTTCCACGATTATAAACGTTCCCAACAGGTAACAAATAAACAAACAAACTCGTTACGCATTGAATTGTGTAAATACTTAGCTTAAATACACCAATTTTTCGCTAGTTGCCAATGTCCAGAGTCCAGGTGCTATTGTAATTCTCTGAATTGCTTTTTTAAACAAATAATATCTATTTGTGTACACATAACATTACCCAGCTGCCTACTTAAGGTAAGAATTAGAAGACATTATTATTAGCTCGTGCTTATGATAAATGTCTCATCACATTTATATTAAAACTGTTCAACGGGCCTCTGCGAGTTGGCTCCGGCTCCTCGTATGCCTTCCAAAGGTCCGGGACCCTGTGGTCCCGTGAAAGGAAAGAACGTATTCTTATAAAATTCTTACCTTTCGAAAGGGAACATCTTTATCTCAGTAATAGCTGGTATCTTTTCAATATTTAATTAATAACGCCAGGTTTAGACAGCTTAATATACTATACATAAATAACTGTGAAAAGTATGGATTACAGCCATTTCATAGGGTTTTACTTAAAATGTCAATCATTAAATGTGCAGCTCACGTGTCATCTTTATAATACTCATCACATTTCGATGCTCTTGACTTTACGTTGACACACTTTTCGAGCAATTTTAGCAGAAACTGTATAAAATCTCACGTTTCTAATAAGTACCTATATAAGTACGTGAAACAAAACAAAGATTAATTAGCTATGGCTTATCGTTAATTACAAGTTGTAGGTATCTACTTATTTTATACGTTTATTGTGTTTTATTTATTTAAAAACTTGTGAGAACGTATCGAATTAATGTTTAAAGGGCGCTAATGAATAAAGTTGATGTAAGTGACGTCGAGCCAGCGTTCGCTCGCTAGTTGGTTCTGACGGCGAGCAGTCCTCGTCCTTACGTTTGGCAGCGGCCGCGGAGTTTATAAAAGGCTGTAAGCGCTATGCGGTCACAGTTTTGTCCTTACTCAGCTGGAGTGCGCAATCTTGCTGCTCGGAATTAGAGCATTGAGTCAGCATTACGAGGTACTAGTAAACACGTGTTGTGAAGTGCGATGGCGCTTCTGCAAGGCCCGTCCCGCAAGCAGGCGGAGCTCATCGCACAGGAGCTGGGCGAGACTCCCGGGGAGATAGAGCGCGGGGTGCAGGACCTGCGCAGCATGCTCGCCGCCTCGCCATACCTGCCCCAGCCGGAGAACGTCGGTAAGTACTGCATACTGGTCTTTATATAAATTACAATATGTAATTAATTTATTTACATACATACACGTTACGACTTACGCCCGTAAGTTACGTTTATTAACGCATGAACAATCGTAAAACTTGATATAGTTGGAAGACATCAAATCCAGACCTTTTTTGTGAGGGCAAAATCCAATGACTTATCTCGCTTCGGGTGAGGAGAGAGGGAGTGTCAGACTCTTACTGACTCCCTCCCCCAGTTCCTTCTCCTGCCGAGGCCGCTGTACCTTATTGCGCTAGCCCCGCAACCCCTGCAGCGCCCCGACTGTGGAGCTATATTGGTTCTTTGAGGCACGGAATTAGGTAACTTAGGTATAGAAACTTTAATGTAGTCTGTATTTAAAAAAAACAATTTATCAGTTAGGAAATACCTAAAATTACGTATCTATTTTTTTAATCAACTAGGTACATATTTTTTGGTGAAACCTTTTTAACAAGCTAATTTTATACCATTGCACTATTCCAAATCAATTTAAAGTGAATGTTTTATCTTGTTTTTACAATATTATTTACTAGCTACAATCACACGGTTTTTTTGATCGTATTTGATCGTAGCGTTATGTTTGATAGCACTCAGGAACATTGTAGCTATCTACCAGTGAAAGATTTTTGGCAATCCGACCAGCGGTTTCAAAGATTACCCCCTACATACAAACTTACAAATACCTCTTTATAATATAAGTATAGATTTGCCTAAATAGGCTAGACTGGCCTAAGCTTTTAACGGGTTCTTAGTAAAGTTATTTTGAATAGCTTCATTATTAAGACGGGGTTCCGAGGCTCGGATCTGGGACATATAAGGCCGTGATTTTTCATGAATACGAGTCTGAGAGGTCCTCTCGCCCCGCCCAGGTACCATCGAGAAGTCACTTGGTAACTTTCCTATTCAAAAAAAAGCAGATTTCAATATACTTCTTATTTAGGCCAAACTAGGCTATTACGGGTATGTAGTGCCGGGTTTGGTAGAATATGAAGTAATGTAGCCGCACAGACATAGGCTGTAAATTAAGTCTTGCGACAAGGGCTTATACGAAAAGGAGTGTCTAGCGGGGCCATTGACCGCGCCGGTAATTATTTTGTATCCGAGACGAGTATTACACGTTGCGGTTTTTAATGACAAATTACACATGTAATGTTTTAATCCATAGCCAAGATAGTTTATGCAGGTAATGCCTTAATAGTGATCAATAAAAACAAAAAATTAATTATGAAGGTACCTACAGATTGTATTGGCAAATCACGAAAAACTAATAACTTTACCTACACAGTAATAAAGTAACATTATGCTGATTTATCGTACCAACAAATAAATAATGAGTACATACCTAGTTTGTATTGTGATGTATATTATGTACAGCAGCAGCAGCAGCGGCAGTTTCTTCACTGTTAGAACAATATTTTAATCCCCAAGCTAAAAGCATATTAATACATGCATGCATACTACCAAGCTATGTTGTGTCAACAAAGACCATACATAATCATCACTTATAGTTTTCATCAACATATGTATTAGGTGAAAGCACCATCAATTGACTATCCACGTCATTTCTGTAGCTGTTATGGTGACGCCAGTTCCGTTCTGACTTTCCGCTTTCCAACACACAGAAGGTTCGCGAAATATTTTATAGCTCTTTCACGGATCGATGGATCGCGAAAAACATGACCTGACCCCGAGATGTGGTTCTCCATATCTAACAGTAACCTAACCACATGTTGTTGTTTATCCAAACAAGTCACTAATCTGTGCCATGCGAGAAAAACCCGACTTGGATCGAATGCGTCTGTCGCTATTTTAGTCATAATTAACATTTTTTTGCGATACATCAATTAATAAAAATAGACTGTAGGTAATCTATATTCATGGGTTTTTTATGTTATGAATGTGGCAACCTAACAGACGCCTTCCCAGATTGTAAACAATCTGGCGCCTCCGCCCATGGAAACTTACGACGATTTTACTCCTCACAAAACGTTTTTTCGTGAGGAGTAAAATCATTAAATGAAATGACTTCTTCCGCCCAGGGTTAGGCAACAGAGAGTGTCAGACTCTTACTGACTAAAAACAACCTCGTTCCTTTTCTCGGACCGAGACCGCGGTGTCTTATTGCGCTAGTCCCGCAACCCCGGCTAAATGAACATCCGCCCATATAGGACCCCGTTTGTGGTGGTGGCGAGCTACCCTTACTCGCCGTCCGCAGACCCGCGCTTACGGTATCCGGAGATCATCTCTCGATTCCTAACGGTGGTTGGGGCGTGAGGAGGATAGCTCCCGCACGCGGTCCGCCTCCTTCATATTTGACCCTCTAAGACTATTGACAGTTTCTGCAGTAATTATAAGATTAGATGTTTAGGTACATAGCGCCACTTAGGGATGTTATGGATATGAAATTTCGGATACGGATTGGATACGGATATAGGAATGAATATTATACTGGACAGTAACGGACACAGATATTAATTATTTCGGATTATCCGTTAGTTTTGGATAATTTCTTTTACGGGTATTATAATTTTTAGGAATTTCAAAAGTAAAATACAAATATGTCGTGTCTCGATTAGGCTCAACCCAGAAACTTTTATTTGGGATTCGGTTATGGTTATGGATATTATTTATATCGGATATCCAATAGTTTCGGTTACAGTTACGGAGCTCCCTTACATCCCTGGCGCCACCAAAAACATTGTGTAATGTAGAATGTTTCTAAGTGTCCACATAGGTAGGTAAGATCAAAGATTATATTGACACTTTGACGTAAAATCTTTGGTTTTTTGGTGATAAGATGATGACGTAGACCGTGTGACGTAGGGTCGTTGGTTCTTTGGTGTTGAGATAACGCTGACACATCATCTCAACCCTCATTGAGCTGTCTTTGCCATACATACAAGTATTTGATTAGTAAGTACTTTAACTTTTTTTGCGAACTGACCTTGTGTGTGACTCATGAAGTTGTACAATTTACACTATCTACACGTAAGAAATCATGATTTATTCAATTATTGTTTTATTAATTTTATATACTTAATAAGAGGAGTTTTTTTACCACAAAATTATTTAAACAATAATCCAATAAATCATGATTTCTTAGTCAGGCTATCAAATCTCATCGTCAAAGAAAGGTGTATTGACCTCCTCAATCTTATAAAATGTAACAATAATTTGACAAGTTGTATTATGATATTCTAGGTACTTACTTTATAATAAGTACTTGTTCTAATTTGTGACGTGGCTTTGTGTAGCAGATTATGGCTACACTCTTTGGCACTGCGTAGGGATGTAGCCTCGCTATGTCGCTATGTATTATCTATCGCATTAATCACGGGGAGTGTTCTGAGGATTTGTTCGGTTTGATCCCCGCCGCATCTTTTCGCCATCGTTCCACGCGAAAACATTTTCATCCCCATCACATAGATAGTTAGCAGTCAACAACTGTGCGATTCTCGCGTAACTTTCTGCCCCGCACAACAAAACTTTAGAATGGTCTTCTGGCGGCGGTATTCCCGAACCGATACGACCTTCAAACCTTCAAAAAACGAGCCTACTCCTTCTTAAAAGGCCGGCAACGCACCTGTGACTCCTCAGGTGTTGCAGGTGTCTATGGGCGGCGCCGATCGCTTGCCATCAGGTGATCGGTCTACTCGTTTGCCTCCTATTCCATAAAAAAAAGATTAGCAAGTAGTCTGTCTTGATTAAGCATTAAATACTTAAATGGCATCTTAGATTACCCATTTCATTGAATGAATAGGTCATGCAAAACGTACCTGCCTAAATTATGGTACCTAGATTAGGTTAAGTTCGAACTGCGACGCACACAGAAAAAAAAACACGACGTCAACCGTATGCGTCTGTCACTATTTTAGTCATAATTAACATTTTATTTGCGAAAGAGTTATATTTATATGAATTAATAAAAATAGTCTGTAATCTGTATTTATGGGTTTTTTATGTCATAAGGTGGTAAACAAGTAGACGCGTCCACTGATTGTAAACAATTAGCGCCGAGACCTGCTATACCGGAGGAGTTACTAATGCTTTTCCGCTCTTTTGGAGTTATTAAGGATTTTGGGATCGGGGAAGAGGTGGGAAATGACAGGGTAATCGGTATTATAGACTAGCTAATCTCGGTTGTTTCTTTCGCTGCTCGGCTCCGGCCTTCCTCGATGAATGGACTAATGAACACAAAAATAATTATTCAATTCGAACCAGTAGTTCCGGAGATAACCACGTACAAACAAACAACAAACTCTTCAGTTTTATAATATATTACTTTATAAATTACTTAGTAAGAAATTAAATCGCGACCACAAACAAATTGAATCTACGTCAATTTATTTTTATTTTTTGAAGCGGGATAATCATAAATTGACTACCCTCGTCCTAGGTAGGACAAAAGGGAGTGTCAAACTCTTACTGACTATAAAACCCGTTCCTTCCCCTGTTCCACGCCGTAGCCCCGGTTTATATCTATAATTGAGCTTGCCCGGCATCCCTGTCTGATCATAAGCCCTACAGGACCTCGTCTGTGGCTTTCCAAGGCGCGCGCGGAACGCTACGCGCCGTACGCTGGGGTCTGGTTCTGGTCGTGTAGAAACAACAAACTTAAACTTCAAGAATAAAATATGTTTTAGGTAATACAATATAAGTTAGTCTAGCAATAAATAGCAACATTTACTTATTTGCACATCTCTCAAGTGCACTCTAATGTAGTGTTTATAACTAAACGTGCTTAACTTAACTAATGGTGGATTAACTATTTATAAGTACATAGGTATAACAAGTTGCTACAACAGACGTCATTTGAAATCGCTTAGCTAATATGATTCAACAATAAATAAGTAGGTATCTAAGTTCAAAAAAACATTAGCCGAAGTCGAGGGTCAAGCGCGAACGAAGTGGAAGTGTGGGAGAGCCAAGCTTCGGCACGAATGGTTCGGCTCGACCGGAGTGATACCACATCCCCACT